TATTATCATTTATTGCCACAGACAAAAATACAAAATTACATAAGATACACTTAACTTAAACAGTATCAGCAAATGGATCATTTTATCGCACAAGCGATCTCTGCCAAATGACCCAACAGAACAAACAAAAATAAAAATAGTATTTGCTGAATATGGCAAGTAGTGACAATTAGATATTATTAACATCACCAAATAAGATTAAGCAAGAAAAGAAAAACAAAGAGAAAAATAAAGAAAAGACACAAAAAGAGAGATAGAGAGCGACTAAAAGAAACTAAAAGAATCTGCCGGATATCAGTTGCCAACAAGTGAGAGCAGTTGAAGAGAGGAAAAAAGAGAAAGACAAAGAACAAAGAATCAGGAAACAGCCAGTTGAAGGGCAAGCAAGTGGCTCTTTAAAACATGTCTAAAATTAGTAATTCTAGAAATATTACGAATTTCAGAAGGCAGTCCATTCCACAGCGCAATCGACTGTACTGTAAATGATCTATGATAAATTTCAGTGCTATGAACGGGAAATGTAAGAATAGTATCAGAACGTGAACGAGTAGCAAGCTCATGAGTTGATAATTGCTGGAACCTATCTGATAAGTACTTTGGGGTGCAGTTATGAAGGATTTTAAATAAAATGGTTAATAAACGAAAGGATCTACGTCTCTCACAGGTTAACATCTGAATGTAATTGCGATACGGCGTTACATGCTCAAATCTATTTAGGTCAAATATGAACCGGATACAGTTATTTTGTAGCCGCTGCAATTTACTCAGAAGAGTCACCAGATCGGGATACACCGCGTCCGCATAGTCGAAGTGAGGAAATATAAGAGTGTAACAAAGATTACGACGCACCACAGGAGGAAGAGAGCAGCGAAGTCTTTGCAATGGCAGTAATGAATATTGTTTAATTTGCTATAGCATAAGTAACCAACAAAAATATTAGGATAGGTATAGGATCGATGGGCTACTCTATGTGTTAACCATTTTAGCGTTGATATTAACTCTCGAGGCGCTAGTTTAATCAATCATAATACTCTCTTTGTGTGCTCAGCCTATTCAGTCATAATACTCGCTCTGTTTACAGTTGAGCAGAGGTCGCTTGCGTCCGAAGCGCTACCATCGATATAATATCAGCACAAAAATTGCTTAACACATATTGCAGCACCTCGACTTAATCGAATTAAATCATATGTATTACATCACATTTTACATTCACAATTAACACAACTCGAAATCGCCTATTAATAAGGTGCTGCTGTACGTGATAACTATGTGTATCATGATTTATTTAGCAAAGGCGCAGTAACTAATTATATTAATTAACAGTAAACTGCTTAACATATGCTCATAGCCTCAGATGTAAACGAACTATGCTAATCATATAAAATGATATGCTCTCCATTCTCAGTTAACAGTTTAATGCTTGACTTGACAATAGAAAATGTATGATTTCACTTTATTAAGTGGAAGTGCAGTACTTGATACTATATGGATAGAATGTTGGACAACATATGTGGTAGGGCCTTGGCCGCAAACGGCTTAATCAGCCATGTCATAACATTCCCTTTTTTCAAAGCTACTCCAAGGTCGATTGCGATCGAAACGCTACAATACATGTTAACCAATTTTGTGTTAACACTACATCAACGGTATTGTAAAATCACTTTATTTGGTTTCCTGTATCAAGAACCGTTATGTTCCCATACTATTTTTTAATGTAAATCGGTGTAGACCGAACTGGAAAAGTAGGATCAATTATTGTGATGTTTATTTCTTATAAATATAAAGATCACTTGCAATTACATCGAAATTCGAAAGTTTAATTAAATCTAATTAAAATTTTCATAAAAATTTATAAATGTTGCGATAACATACACAACTTATACTTTGGAAATAATTGATTAAGGCCCACTTTTACCATACATCTGATAAACTATCCAGGGGATATTTACAGCGGTTTTAAACACTCTCATTGGCTAAGAACTAGATTTATTTATCAGATAAATTTTTCAAGAGGTGGTAAAAGTGGATCTAACTTGTGTAAAATAATGCATTGTGTTAAGAAATGTACTCATAAATACATCATTCAAATAATGTAAAATGAAATGAAATGAAATATTTTATACGTAATATCAAGTTTATTAATAATAATTAAGATGTGTAGCAAATATAGGAAAGTTTTTAAACATTATTTCAAGTATTGTTTGTTATTGTCAGATTACTTATTTATACGGTTCCCAAACAGTTATTTTTGATATACGATAACGAAATGATACGTATTTAAGAACGAAATTTTCTTTGGCGAGCGATAGCGAGGATATAAGAGTAACACGCATTGTTTATTAACAGTTGTAATTTATATATTGTGGAGTTACAAGAATATAGAAATTGTCGTCGAAAAGTGACAAAGATTTACTTTATGAAGTGTCTGAAACAGCAAAAACAGTAATTTCTGGACTTATCCCACCAAATCAACAAGATAATATGAGTTTGCTTATAAAGAATTTAAGAATTTAACTCTAAGACATTGAAATATGAACCTAAAGGGAATTTGGAATTTGTAGAAGAATGGAGTTATTGAATTTAACAATAGATTCAAGACTCAAGAACTCACAGTCATAGGATATTCGTCATTTCAAATTCCGAATACATTACAAGTCGTAGATTTTTTATTAAATGTATTAATGCAAAATGTGTGAATATTTTTATAACAATTTGTATACAAATTTATAACAATATTTTGATTATGTGTATTTTGTAATATTGGTTTGTAAAAATAAGATGATATTTAAGAATATTAAGTAGTTGAACTATAAAATATGTTGTCCAATGATGAGTTACGAAGGTTTCAATCAAATTTATTGAAAAATTCGTTAAATTCGTTTATCAAAATGTGTTTATTCAAGAGAAATATATTTTACAGTAAATGGAAACTAAAAAGTCTCTTATAAATTGATGTAAAGAATTATACCGTATTATGTTCTTTTTTAAATAATTACTGACCTCTTACTATCATTGACTATGAACACTTTTTGCGTTCTAAAAATAAATCGGATGGGTTGATGAAAAAAGTGATCGTGGTAAAAAAAGCCCATTTATCCTTTTAAAAGTGTTTGCTCTTTAAATAACATAAAACAACTGGAAGTACAAGATATTTAAATATTATTTATTAGTTTTCAAATTTTTTAATAAATACTACTTAAACATGCACGGAAAACTTTTGCAATAAAAACGTTAACTAATCTAATATGACATAAAATTGTCAACATTTATTTTAATAAAATTAGCACATTTATATGGAGTTGATCAATTAAACTTGACATATTGTAACGTGATATTACCAATAGTTAATTAAAAGTAATAAAAATAAAATCGATTACACAATAATTATAAGGGAATTACTGTGCATCTAATTGATAATTAAAACGTAATCATTACGCATAGGTGTAGATAAAATGATTAAATACATTATTAATGAAATAATTTATTTACTTACTCGTGTTCCATTTATTAACCAATACTTTTAAATTCATTTTTTACGAAAAAAATGTGTGCAAATCAAATAATTAAAATTTTACGCACATTTACGCACACAAGATGTGAAACTACAATTTTATTTATAATGATTTGATATTTATACTATACAATAGGCGGGGAGATGACGTTCATGATCATCAATAGCCCCTCTCCATATAATTTGTTTTAACATTTTTACGATGCAAATCTAAGGCACATGTCGCCCGCTAACGAAAAATGAAATTAACCATAATAAATTTTTGTATTCGTCATAGGTAGTTTTTATAGAGTTTTAAAAGGCTATTAATCAGTCGCAATAATTGGCTATTTTTTTAATATACCCATAATACGATTGGTTTTCCATGTAATTCATTCAATTAGTTTATTTAAAAAATACTATTTACGTAAAATAAAATAATAATTAAATTTCATCTATTTTTCTTTATTCATCTATATTTAAAAATAAATGTTCAATAAATTAAAAATTAATTAAATAAAATTATCAGACACAAAAACAAAGTATATTTTAAATTAAATTATTTGCAATGGTTATTAATATTCTTCAATCATTTCAATACTCGAAATAGAAACTTTTCTACACTTTCGCACTCGCATTCTGCCCTTGATATTCACATGAAAATGGATGAAAATTCGGGTAAGATAACTCACAACCTGTATCTGGCAGATAATATCATTCCACGAGAGAATAGGGTAACTGAAGAATAAAATTGAATTGTTAGTTATAACTTCCATTTTATGGGAACTTATTATAGATTTGCAATCGCCACTTATTTGATAAGACATGACAAGAAACGGAGTAAATGTAGTGATAAGAAAATGGTGAAAGTGAATTCGTACACAAGGTAATTAATAACGTGTAACTTCCGCCTGAACGACGTCGAACACACTATATTCAGCTGCCTGAGATGACGAACGATCAAGGAAAGACTGATACAGGAAGTCGGCCCCATTACCCCAGAAACAATTGATAACAAATTGATAGATAAAAAAGACACCTGATATAGCGTAGACCGGAGGAGATGCCCCTGTGGGCAGCCCCCTCCAAGCCATGTAAATTCTCTATGTTAAAACCTGAACTAAAAAGCAATGAGTAATTTTGAGTTTCATTATATTGTATTCTCCTGGAGCATGACAACGCTAAGGCGATCATTGCTAAGAAGACTGAGGGGGTGACTCTATGAGCGTAAGATCCTCCTCCCAGGAATGTAAGTTAAATTGCATTTTTGAATGTTTCATGTCAAAATACTCACCTGAAAATGGATGCCACAGCTGCGAAGCAAGCGTCTATGGAAAGACGCCGGAGAGGGTGCCCTTGGAATAATCTATCTTGTATTGATATCGATATTGATACATTTTCTATCATTTTTTAGACAAGCGTTACACAATCTTGCTAAATCTCGGTTATTTCATGCTATTTAACCCACCAAATAAAGCTTGCTCTAAATTTTTATTTATCTAATCTGAAATACTTGAAGGCTTCTCTATTATTTTTTCCTTCTTGTGTTATCTTTTCAATTTTTGTCTGAAGCATGATGTTTACTCTGATCTGTGGAAGAGAACTTTGATTATTCAGATTGTTAAAAAAACTAGTTGAATGGATTTCAATGATGTCAATCATGTTAGTATTTTATCAGTTTTTTGGCAAAAATTATTGCTGCTAAAATTTGGAAACATACTGACACATCAATTCTGTCTAATCAGCAGTCGGGTTTACGAAAAGTGTTTAGTTGTACAACTGGATTTTTTTTTGTGTAACGGATGACTTCTTGAGAGAGAACTTTTCGATGACACAAGCCGGGTCCCATTGTACCCACGCAATACAACAACACGCTACGCTATGCTACCCCACAAAGAGATTATCGTTAACATTGAAAATAATACTTCAACATAATTGTCATAAATTGTCGAAATAATATAGAAGGAAATCAATAACTATGTCGAGGAAGCTGAGATATTATCTGAAAAAGTGTTGAAGACAAAATTAAAAATAGTTTGAGATGACACCAAAAATGATCTGGAGAGATGTCAGAGACGGTGTTGAGGAGAATGAGGAATAATATTGAAAGATGACCTTAACAATTCCTACACGCAGTCTGAAATTTAATATAACCACAATTCCTAGCCTCACTCAATTAGGAGATTGAGAGCAAGAGATTCTGTAACTTTTATTGTAGTCGCTACTATTATTTATGCTGCCTGTTCGAGTGTGTTTTCTTGACTTTTGTCAATTTCACCTTGTGACAATATGATTTCGTATGATTATAATTGCCAAATATACATCACGACTATAGGAGACGAGTGTGAACGCAACTAGAACCAGTATGTTGTCTTGGACTAGTTTGAGCTAGCTAGAAAATTGGAAAAACCAAATTTTACATTGCTTGGTACAATTCTTGTGCTTGGTAATTTTAGCCGACTTCGAAGACGTCATGAAGTCATGATATCATGAACAATACTTATTTACAACACGCCACCTTACGTCAGGCCAAACAACGGGACGAAAACTAAATCCAATCTACCGTAATAAAATGTGGTTTAGAATTCACGATAATTTTATGACCACATTTTACGTTTCATTGCATCTAGCCAATATTGCAAAAGAAGGAATTAAAAAGAGAGGAGTGTGTACTCCATCTGAAAAGATGGTCTAAATTATGAAGCAAAATGCTGACAATGAATACATTGGATGAAAGTGTATCTTCTAAATACGTCCAAAAATGTAAAAAGATAGTCACAAACTCGACAAGCAATTATTAGAATGGAAGAACAAAGAAAAATCCCGATTCCTTGCGCTATACTTCAGGATTTTACCGGTATTGCACAAGGAGTTGAAGACCACAAATTAAAGACATTTATATATAGAAATGAATGATGTCTGATTTTAGATCTGCAAGAAGATATCTTGATGGCATCTGATAGTAAAATTGTGCCAGTACTTGCTTGACTACTCCAAAGCATTTGATAAAATAAACAACACAATGCTGTATTTAATATTGAATCATATTGGTTTGGTAACAAGCAAAGATTTTCCTAATCAATTATTTATTAGACAATGAACAGCAAGGAACAGTAAACGGCTACCTTTCAAATTCTGAATTTCCTGAATCTTCTCTATTATATAGTCCGAAGACCAAACAACTATTTCATTTTTTGAATTAATATAATTACTGGGACCTCAAGTCCTAGAGCTATATCTATAAGCACTAGACAACTGACAATTGTGAGTTAACCCTGAAGGAGACATTTTTGAGCGCTGAACGTGCGAATAGCAGTTGCTAAGCTCGACATGTAATGTAATAAAGTATTGAATTTATTAAGAGTGAATAGCATACTTTTAAGCCATGCGGAGTAAATGTTTTCTGGATATCCAGAAAATTAACAACAGTTGTATCGCGAACAATTTTTAAATAACGGAATGTGAGCGACATAGGGCCATGGACAACATATGATGATGTTTTTCTCCTAATACAAGGGAAGTGTTGGCATACTCGGGGGGTGGTGTTAGTTCATCTACCAAGGAGAGTGAAACATCCTCATGAATGCAAGCATCATTAGGAGTTTGAGTCTGGTTCGCAAAACCGGTCTGTGCCTGTTACCAATTATAGTTTTGTTGAGTAGTAAATCAAAGAGCTATCTATTCGTGGTTATAGTGTAAAGCACCATCCTTAGGATTGAGAAGTTCTTAAGATATTAGAGATTTATTTGATTATTGGTACTTTACGACTTTTTGCCAGCAGATTTTACTCTTAACTCTCTTAATTCTATCACAGGCTTCCATATACTGTCTACATTTATATTGTTGGACTGGTTTCTAGATATTCTGGTTAGGTTGATTGAACTTTCTCTTAAAAGCGACACCTGGAAGAGTTTGTTTAAGTTATCCATCCAGTTATTACATTTCCTCTATAATTATAGAAGCTGCGTTAGAAATATGATTCTAGGGAACGCTAATCTACTTAACTAGAACTAGATGGTCAAAGTAAAAAATTTGAAATGATATCAATAGTTGAGAAGGTGAGGTTTGACGTGAAATTCGGTTTATTCATCTTGGAAAACGTGGCAGAATAAGGCACTGTGACGATTCGGCCAAATTTTGACGTTGCCATAAATTGATGTACCTATGTTTGGCCAAATTAGAATTAAAATCGCCAGTAATAATATTATACAGACAAACATTACACAGTAATATAAGTACGAAGGCTTTCACGGCCGGTGTTAATTGAACTAAAACTAGAACTAACACTAGCACTATCACTAAAAACTTTCGAGTTAAGCGATTTTTGAAAAAATGTTTGACGTTTCGGATGTTTCAACCTTCTTTAGAAACAAGTTCGAAGTTGCGCAACAACTTTGGTCATATTGTTCCAATTTATCAGGTTTACCCAACCCAACCATGCGCTTTTTTACTTTGGTAAATAGTTTTTCGATATTTTTACAACTACACGTGTAGGCCGGTCGAGTGAGAAAACATTTTTTTTAATTCTTTTAATTCCATTAATGAATACTTTTTATTAAGTATTTAAAAATATTGTGATCGCTAACTTTTTTTGTTTTGTTAGTAATTTTCTACCAATTTCCGGCTTTGACATCATCAAAGTTACTAATAACTTGCAAAAATAGTGGTAATTCCCTGTTTTATTGACAATAAAGTACCGAGAATATTTACTTACTACTAATGTCAATAGAGGTATTCTTTACGAATCATAGTGGCCATTATCGCTTAGCTTTTTGCGAATTCACACCTTAATTCATTCATATTAAATTCAAAGAGTTTATTTACTCTTCAAATTGACCATGGAAAATGCTTTTTAATTTAGCTTTATTTATTTGTAGTACCTTTTGCCGCAACTTAAATATCACTAAATTATTACATTTTTACACGTGAAAGTAATTTTAATTGTGAATAAATAACGTAGATAAATTACGCATCTAATAAGCAATAATCAATTTACAAATGTGAATTTCAATAAACTTTAATCTTTAACTCGATTAAAAATGTATTTAGTTATTTAAGAAATCAAATATAAAAAGTTTAATCATAAACATAAACAATATATTAAAGATTGAAAGTACAATCGCGTGGTTATTAACCAGGTGTGCTTATTTCATAACAAACATTCTCCTATTCTATATCTTTCTAACTATATTTATTAGTTTATTCATTTTTTGTTGTTTATTATAAAATAAGTGAAATATAAATAACAATGATCTTTTCATCAATATATTGTAGCTAACTAAAATTTTTGTAGCGAAAAATCGCTATTTTTTAACCAAACTATAGGCAAGGAACGTTGATGTCCTGAGATTTAAGTTCCGAGCTTAACAAATCAACTTTACAGACATTAAAATAATTGTTGAATAATTGTTATTTAACTATTTGACTTTTGATTTGTTTGAATTCAAATTTAAAACAGATTACACTAGGCAATATGTTCAGCCCATTTTATACAAGTGCTAAAACTGCTGATTACCTCTTCAAGTTTTACTTTTGGTTCATATATATGAACTGTTTCATTATCTCAAACGCTATCATCACTATGTAGAGGTAAAAAGTCGTCATCTCCAACAATCCATTCGTTAAGTTCAGCTTCGTTATGCTGATGATTATCGGATGAAATTTGTTGCAACACGTTTCTGATTTCAGTAAATTCCTGCTGATTGTCCTCAAAAAATAGCTTTTCTTTACGGCAGTTAATGGAAGATCATCATCTGAATCATCTTCAGATGATGTAGCCGCAGAAGCATTATCAGTAGAATAAGAAAATATATTTGTCCAGCATTAGTTCTCCCAAGAGCGCACTCGTAGAAAGACTGCGTCCATCAAGGAAATATTTTTGACTTTTTGAAAAAGACTTTTTCGGTAATAAAGTTTTGTTAAACTCAACAAGAATATTAGCGTTTTTAAACGCTCTGGGATTTAGCTTTGCCAATAACCATCAGTTTGAGTTTCAGTACCATCCCCATTGGCATAATCGAGAAAAGTTACATTCTCTTTGTAATTTTTGCGCGCTGGCGTGGCGGTGCGATTTCTTTAACGTGTACTAATGTATAATATAGTAGTTTCCAAAATATGCTGATTCATCATTTATATCTGGGTAGATAATAGCTTATGCTTGCGATGTAACTTTATTGATCTTAAATTTTGTGGTGGGTCATGACTGCTGAAGATGAATGCAAGACGCATCCCCTGCGATGAATCTTTACTGGTTCTTCGGAGATTGTCATTCCTTTTGTTTTGTCGATGAATATAATCATGTTCAGTTGTTGAAATGTAAATTTGCTGCAGAGGTGCCGCAGGCTCTCTTTTAATGGCCTTGAGTTAACCCCGTTGCTAGTTTCTACCTGAATCATATTCGCTGATTTGTTGTTAAAGTGTTGCCTTCATTCGTCAATAGTTACTATAAATAATGTTCTGTGGTGTTCTTTCTTAAATTACTGTATTGTGAACTCCGAGACCTGCAACGAATGGCTCACATGTCGAATCATATTAATCGATTCGCTGTTACTGTTTCTTTCATTCGTCAATAGAACCGTGAATCATCTAGTGCCGTGCTCATTCAAAAGCAGCGAATGGTTTAAAACATTCGCGAAGTAAACTTTCAAAAGTTCCGTATAACATATTGAAGTTTGAAATTTTGCTGAAAAAGTGCAAAACTCCTACAAAGTTGTTCAAAAATTATCAAAAATATTCCAAATTACCAACAAACACCATACATAATGCTTTGACCAACATATACTCCATGTCCAACGTTAACGGCGTCAGATGGAACATTTTTAATGTAGTCAGATATTTTTTACATACTCTACAAAATTATAAATAGTTAAGGAAATGAGCAGTGTGAGCGAAACTACTGTTATTTACCGTTATCGCATACAGCATACAAGCCACCGTAAGAAACAGTAAGACCAATTAAGAAAACTAGTAATGTTAATCTGAAAAAGGTAAAAATGAAAAATGTGTTAGTAAAAGTTATATAATTTCATATTTGAAAATAACTTTACCTAGACATATTGAAAAGCCTATGAGATTCTCAAGCCGTTATGCAAACTGCCAAAACGAAATTGCTTTCATATGACTTAATAAATATCTTACCAGGTCATACAAGGTCTTGAGGTTATATTAACAGATAAAAAGTTGATAAGAAGAAGACTTAGCAAAACGAACGCAAAATTAAACAAATCTTTACTTATTTATTTAAATATTTTTAGGAACAAATTTCAGGTACACAAGTGTCCATTATCACGAAGCTGAATACCGATAACTTACTTTAAAAATTAATTTTATAGGAATGAAATAAACTGTTTTTGTTAACTGTTATAGCAGCTTGACCATGAAACACATAAAAAGCTATTTAATTTACAAAGATCAACAAGCTATGCATGTGGAGACTAGTGGAGACCGTTGTCGAAGAACCTCCTGGAAGGTGAACTACCACCTGCCCTGCCATCTTTCTGGTGGTCTTCATGGTAGACTGCTTTCTGCTTGTTTTTCCTCCATTGATACACGCGGTAGTTTGCATGCCTATTGTCTATATCACTGCACCATTCTATTTCTCGCTCTCTACTTCATCGTGATGCGTCTTGTTTCCCGCACTCGTCCCGAATGTTTTGTCTCTCCTCGTCTTGCCATAGTTTTTAAAGTTAATTTCAGCAGTCCCCAGCATGTTTTTGATCTTGATGGACCTTATACAGGTTTTATAAATTCTTATTTTGCGATCTATTTGCATGTATTGGTTTAACCAAATTGTGTATCTGCTTATGCTAGCGGGGTCGTGATTGCAGTAGATGTCCGTACCTAGATATCTGAATGTGTTGATCTGTTCGATGGGTTTGTTGTCCGCAACCAATTTGCACCTAACTGGTTCCTTGGCAAATATCAAGGCTATTCCCAATTTGAACGTCTAGGTTCTCTTTTAAGACGCTGAAAAATAATTTCATATATATGTTTAGCATTATTGCTCCTCTGTAGATGTCCGCGCAAGCCTTTTGTCCTTTCATGAAAATGAGATATTTGTGACGTTTGCAAAATGTTGTTAAACAGAGTCAGTACTTTTAAAGTAAACTTCTCTCAGCCGAATTTTAAGAGGTTGGTTTCAATTTTCAATTAATATTGTCTTATCTGTTTCATAATCTATTTTAGTTGTTTCCTCAGGGCTATTAATTGTTTAAAGTGGCTCGCCCAGATGTCCGAAGCGATGTTTTTTGCTTACACCTATTCATTTATCGGCTTCTTTTCGTTTCTTAGGTTTTCCGATATTTTTCCTGTGCCCATTAGAAATCGTGGTCAGCTCATGTCAGTTATGAACTGTTTGTGTGTATGTCCTATGTTGCTCTTTTGTAATAGCTCTGTTTATAATTAAGAAGTCAATCCTCTGGTATTGCAGAAAGTATACTTGTGTACTTGTATACCTGTATTTTGTGCAGGAAGTGTGTATTATTGTCTCTCAGCTTACTCCTGGCTCAAAAAACATCAGAATCCCGCCATTGTTGCTAATAATGAGTGTTTCGTTGTATTTCCATTTTAAATTAAAGGTTATTTTTATGCTTCAATAGTGATAACTTGCTTGTTTACTGCCAACATTTGGAGAACCTCAACAATGATTTCAAAGGTCGTTTCCAGGACATTTTAAAATTGAAAATACCTGAGTGGGTCCAAAAATAAATAAGAAATACCAGTTGGGATCCTTTTTCAAATATTAGCACAGCAAGAAGAGGATAATCCCAGCTGAAAGAAGATCTTATAGAAATGACAATAAATAATAAGGAAATAAAAATTAAATTCAAAAATGGCTACCAATAATTTTGATTACAAAAGGCAATACCAAAATTGTACCCTGGATTGTAGTCAATTGATCAACGATTTGTATGGACGTGGATTTAGTGCTGTAGCAACCCTGCTAACTGAAAACAGAAATCGTTTGAATGTTACTGAACTTACAGCTGTATTTAAAAAAATTCGAGAATGATATCAACAAATTTGTTAAGCAAAAATTTTAAGTATTTGAATGAAATGTTGACAATTTGCTCAATATCTTGAAAAGAGGATTCAAATAAAACGATTGAGATTTGGATCAACATAAAAATAAAGACTAATTCTTCTTCTAAAACTTTAATGAATTTGATTCAGAAACAATAGCAAACTGCTTAGTTATCAGTAGAACCTTTATTACATCCTTTTTTTAAAAATAACAGGAATTCCAGTAACACTTGTAAAATTTATATCGGATTTTAATTGAACTTCATGATCCTTAACAGGATAAATTTTAAATTCTCTAAGGATTGTTGCTAATAATAATTTTATGGAAGCATAAGCAATCTTTTTTCCTAAAAAATAAAAATTTATAAAAAAATAATTTTTTTGATGAGAAAAGAAAATACCCGGACATTGCTTTGCTCCATATCCAAACCATAACAACGTTTTTTCAGTAACAGATCCTTGTAAAAACCTATCCGGGTTAAAAACGTTAGCATTTTCAAAGTATTCGTTCGATTTAAAAATTTTTGATAAATGAAAAACTACTTGGGTATCTTTCGGAATTACCATATCTTTAACTTTAACGTTATTAGGCAACAATCGGTCCATAAATGGTGATGGAAAATATAATCGTACGGCTTCATTTGCAACACACTGCAAATAAGTCATGTTATTTAAATCATTAAATGTAATTTCTTTTAATTCAGGTCCAATAACGGAAAGAATTTCTTCTAGAATTTTTTCTTGTAATTCTGGACGTTTTCCTAGTTCATACAAAGTTAGCGATATTGGAATAACAGACGTTTCAAATCCCTTTAAAGTAATTTAATAAACAAAATTCTTTTTACATTTTAAACAACTTACACCTCCAATCGTAATATTCATATTATCGACAATTTTATCATCCGACATTCCACTATCAATAAAAGCATACATTAAATTGTTTTTAGCTCTTTGATCTTGCGAAACATTCTTGTGTCGTTTCAACAAATTTTCCATGATTTTTATTATATTTTCAGCGCATTTTAAAGATGTGCGGTAATTGTTTGTAAATTTGTACAAAATTCCTAATGAATTCATTTTTTTTAATAACAAATCGAAATATATTAGCCAATTTTTCATATATTCATTAATTTCTTCTTGTGTCATTTTAATTTGAGGATCCATCATTGATTCTAAAAGATATAAACTTACACTTACATTTTTATTTGAAAACTTAAATTAAAATATCAACCAATCATGATTTCAGCGTGAATTTTTCTCATATGGGGTTGTATATCAATCGGTTTTTCTAAATTCTCGTAAATCATTTCGATGAATTCGTTGTATTTCCTTTTATAAACCAACAAATGATTCGATATGAAACCGGGGGTGAAAGTCTTCATTATAATTTGTTTATCATTCCTCCAACTTTCCCTTGATGTTGTGGTCAACAAACTATTTCTAAATAAAGATTTAACATCAGCAAATGAAGCATTGTAAAAATAGTCATTTGATCTGTAAATTTTATCGAGAAATTCTGAATCCGTTGTTATTATTGTCGGTGGCAGTGGTTTTATCCATATTTTAATAATTGGGCCATATTTTGAATTTAATGATTGAAGAAAATTGATTAAACCTGTAACATTTTTAAATTATATAAGATAAAACGGTGTAAAGCTATTAATTACCGTCTGAATTGCGATATGATTTAATAATGTCGATTAATGTAGGACCTGGAATTTGATTAATATCATTATATTTATTAATGTAATTTCTATATCGCAGTATTAAATAAAAAAATAGTAAAATCACTAAAATTGCAATGAACATCTTTAACTCAACTGTTATTTAAAACTGCATAAATAGAAACAAATTTTCTGTTGATAAACTTATTTATAAAAAAAAACTAAAAGTTAAAGTTCGATCTGAACATCCAATAAAAACAAGAGAGTAATCAAGTGGTCAGATTTATACAAAAGATATTAATAAATTATGAATGTATTATTATTAATTTAGTTATTAGTGGTTTTGCGATGGCTTTTTAAACGCTATTTAAATTTTATTGAGATTAAATTTACCGTGTTGAACTGGCTTTAGTAATCAATATTATTACACCACAATATTGTGTATGTACAACATTCTACATCACAACACTGAAAACGATTTTTTACGTGAATATGAATTGGAGACAAAAATACGAAAATAAAAGGTAATGCTCGGGATTCGGAGCTTATTACAAAAAAATTTTTACAACAAAAGTTGTAGCAAATTTAATTCTTAACAATACTGGTCTCTTTCACTTTTGCTCTCAGATGCATAAATAGCAAGAAAAATGCGATAATATGAAAATTCGTCGAATACGTTGTTTGAAAAGATGTTAATGGTAATGCTCGAAATTCAGAGAGAGTTTAGAATAAAAGTTGTGGCAAATTTTATTCTTAATAATATTGCTCTCTTTCGCTTTTTTACTCAGATGCATAAATATCGAGAAAAATACGATAATATGAAAATTCGTTGGATGCGACATTGATTGTACTTGTCTGCAGAAACTATAGAGGAACGAATATTGATTCTGATCATTATCTGGTGGCAGGAACCATTAGAGCTTGAATCTCTAATGCAAAAAAATAAAGGTAATAAATAATAAGGTATAACGTGGAAAAACTGAAAAACCCAGAAACACCAGAGGCATTCATAAGAAGGGAAAACGAGGTGAAAATTAGGCCTATGAGATTCGATACAGCCTGGACACACTTAAACAGAACACTTGCTGAAACGGCAGAAGAAGTGTTGGGACAAAGGACAAAGGAACGACGAAACGATTGGTTCGACGAAGAATGTAAGAGAGCAACGAAGGAGAAACACAGAGTTGAAGAAGAGAGGAGAAACGGTTACATAAACACAAGAAGAGTACACAAAACAGAGATAGTGAGAAGATGGCAGGACAACTTTAACACGCAGACAGCGCAGCAAACGGCTGATACCATACGTTGAAAACACACTGGAGTCCTGTCAAAAGGGATTCAGAAGGAATTGCTCGACAATTGATCACATTACGTCTATAGGACAGGTATTTAAAAAGACATATGAATTTGATATTAACTGCCATTATATTTTCGTAGACTTAAAAATGTCCTACGACACGATTTTAGAGTAAAGTTATACTCGGCAATGATACAATTCGAGATACCAGGCTCTCTGATAGAGATAGTCAAATTAATCATGGAAAATGTCGAATGTGTAATCAGAGCCCAAGGACAACTGTCGAAACCTTTCAGCATGAACAGATGATTAAGACAAGGAGATGCCTTGTCTTGTAATCTATTTAACCTTGCCCTTGAAAAGGTGATACGTGAATCACAAGTGAACCTGAGTGGGGCGATATACAGGGTGATTCATAAGTAATGGGCCAAATTGTAAATGTACGTTCAGGAGGCCAAAATAATAATATTTTCATTAACAATAATGGGTCTTAGTCTGCTCCTTACTGAGATACAGGATGTTAAAGCGAAAAAAATAAAATAGATTTTTGTTAATAGATCAGCTACTTTTCTACATAATGACTCATAGTTGACTTATAGTTTTTGTAAGGGTAAACAATAATGTGTGAGAGGATTTGAGTTAACTCGTAGATGTCGCCACATGCGCCATATGAATTAGATGAAATCAGCTACAAATTTTTTATCGCTCATTATTTTACAACATACTTGTTTAATTTGGATAGCCCCATCATTTCTGTAGAAAAAAGCTATACTTCTTTGATCTTGAAAATATTAACGATTTTCGAGATATTTGAATTTTACTAATTCACTACACTACATTTCACGGTGGTCGACGTAGCATTAATCTGTTAAGACACAAGCATGGCATGGAATGTTGACATTTACCTAACCGTAATTGATAATTGATAACAATATTAAACTGAAACCATAAAAAAATTACGTAATAAAACAATTTATTGTACGCCAGTTAATAAAACGAAATACAACATTAGAACAGACTTGAACTAAGACCACTTACGACAACTGTTATCAAAACCTACATGTTAATGTTGTGCGAAGTTAAATTAAATTTAAGCTTAATTATGAGCTACTGCAAAAGGTTTTCAACATGACCACCACCAGCATTTATACACGCATTTAACCGTTTGGTTAAGGATTGTCTGACTTTAAAAAATGTAGCAGGATTATTTCGTATTGAATTGGCTGCATCTTGAATTCTATTCCATAACTCGTCTCGTGTATTTATAGTAGGTTCAGCATAGACCATTGATTTCATGTAACCCCACACATAAAAATCAAGTGGATTAAAATCGGGACTGCGAGGTGGCCACTGAAATTCACTACCACGTCCAATCCAACGGTGAGGGAATGTTTCATTCAGATGTTCGCGCACAGCACGTGAAAAATGTGGAGGAGCACCGTCTTGCATGAACCACATATTTCTTCTTAGTTGTAATGGAAGATCTCCCAAGAGGTCGACTAAGTCATTATTTAAAAAAATTAAATATGACTCTCCATTTAAATTAGGAGGTAATTCAACTGGGCCCAGTAATGTATTGCCTATTACACCGCACCACACATTTATTTTAAACTCGTGCTGGAAATGTCTATCTTTTTTTAAACGAGGGTTTTCGGTTTCCCAGGCATGACTATTTCGCCAATTAAAAACTCCGCGTCTGGTAAAGGTTGCTTCATCCGTGAAAAGAATGTTATTTAGGAATGTTGGATTATTATTCAATTTTCCTTTTAGCCACTGACAAAATTGAACTCTGATTCGATAATCTGTTGGAAGTAAATTTTGCACAGGTATAAAATGATAGGGATATAAATTTTCCTTGTGTAAAATTCTAGTCACGGATGGTTGGCTTATTCCAGTTGCTGCAGACAATCGACGAGTGCTTATTTCAGAATTTTGCGCAATTCTTACCAAAATTTCATCTTCTTGCTGCGGAGTGATAATCTTAGGACGTCCTGTATGATATTTTGGACGAAATGAACCTGTTTCACCCAATCGATTATAAATATTTTGAAATATCTTCCGGTTTGGCTGCCTTCTGTAAGGGTACATTTCACGATATTTTCTGGATGCTGCTTGCCCAGAAAAACGTTCTTGTGCGTAAACGCATAACATGTCTCTCATTTCTTCGTTTGAAAAGTGATTATGTCTCGGCATTTTGATTTATGTTAGGACAAGAATGAATCAGTTTACTTAACAATAAAATGTTTTAAACTATTCATTAAACGTAAAAGCTCATTGACGTTTCATAATTCATATGGCGCATGTGGCGACATCTACGAGTTAACTCAAATCCTCTCACACATTATTGTTTACCCTTACAAAAACTATAAGTCAACTATGAGTCATTATGTAGAAAAGTAGCTGATCTATTAACAAAAATCTATTTTATTTTTTTCGCTTTAACATCCTGTATCTCAGTAAGGAGCAGACTAAGACCCATTATTGTTAATGAAAATATTATTATTTTGGCCTCCTGAACGTACATTTACAATTTGGCCCATTACTTATGAATCACCCTGTATACGAAGAGTACAAATAATGGCGTATGTATTATAGGAAGAACGCAGCAATACATAAAGGAGGCATTCGCCAAAATAAAAAATGTCGTACTAAATATAGAGCTGGTCATAAACTTCCTCAAGTCTAAGTATATGTGTACAGGGTGGGCAAATTTGGGTGTTATTATAGGCTATCTCAGAAACTATAAGAGATACAAAAAAAGTAGGTGCCATGTCCCAAATGGCACCTACTTTTTGGTGCCATAATCCAATACCGCAAAGACCAAACCTGTATCTTCTTTTGTTTTTAAGTTATAGCCAAAAAGTCAAATTTTCCTGATTTCAAAAAACGCTCATATTTCGTTTATTTTTGAATTTAGAGAAATGGGGGTAATACATTCTTAAGACTTTTTTGAGTAGAATATACGGCCGTTGAAAAATTTTAAGGCCAGAAGGTTGCTTTTCACTATCTTTTGCGGAATAAGCGAAAACGGATTATGAAGAAAGCGATATAACTTCGAATTATATCAAACAACGACATGGACGTGGTTAAATTTATTAAAATCAACCGCTTGAGAGGGGTGGGTCATGTGATAAAAATGGAGGAAGATGAGCACACAAGAATAACAATATTGAACTTCTGGTTCCGACCAGAAGACCTTCTTCAGAGAAGAGGAAAGCTTTCGAATATTCGTAATATTTTAGACAATAGGAAACCGCCCCTCGAAGAAAGATTCTCCTATAATACAGCTTACACCTTGTAACGGAGATTGGATGCGAATATTATAAAATGACATAAACTTCCAACAACATACACTTCCAAATCATAACAAAAAACATATTTTAATAGCAACCGAGCAAAAGTTTAATTTTTTATATTTTTATTTAATGATTTTAAATAAAAATGCGATGGCCAGGAATTGTACCCGGTTCAACTGCTTGGAAGGCAACTATGCTTACCATTACACCACCATCGCCTATAACTTCAATTAAAAATATGAAAATTTCCGATATTTCAATAAAATACACAGTTATATTAACTAAAAGCATTTAATTTAATAAATTAGATAAAAATGTTTCGTTATCTCTATTCGCGCGCTTAACTTCATAAATAACTCGCCATATCATAGTTTTGACTACATATTTTGACTCTTCCGATAAATGATCAAGTTCGGCTTCAATCGATGAATAAAAGTGACCGTTTTTATGCGAAACTTCTTCTTTTATAACTTTTACATCCGATGATAAATTCAAAGAAATATAATTATTTACAATTTTATTGCTGCGAAAAAAAGTTCTAGTAATAATAAGTGCATTATCACCAACTAATGTTACACTTACACATCTGTCAAAATTTCGAATTTGAAAACTCTGTGAAGCGTTCCATCGTTATTCCAAATAATCAAACTTTTAAAATTAAAAATGTCAACCTTTCCAATTCTCCACTCATTTTGATGAAATGCCCTTCCAATGTACCAACGTAAGTTATTATTTTGATAACCGGCAACTACTATTCTATTTAACAAGTCGTCCGGAAGTTCTTTCATATGAAAATTTACGTATTCCCATTGAAATCTTAACGACTCTTGCGAACACATTATCTAAACAATTAAATCAAAAATAATATGCAATAAAACAGTAAAAGTAAAATTACTTTTATATTATTAACGTCTTCCTTTTTTCCATTATCTTCAGTAATAAATTTACCAGTTTTCGGGTATATTGTTCCGGGGACTAAAAAATCATCAATAATGATGTGACCGATATATAAACCATATCCAACGTGAAGAGCATCTTGTGGAATACTTTTATTGTAATCACGCCAATAAATTTCTTGGTCATAAACTATTAAAATTAAATCATTATAACAATAAGTAAATAAGCAATTATGTTTATAATACTGTTTTCGCATTCAGTTAGGTGAAATCCAACGAGTAATAAAATGAATCTAAACAAATACCTAAGAAATAATTTACAAATAATTTACATAACAAAAGTGGAATAAGATACTCAATATATTTTATTAATCTTTACCTCCACATATCTTAAAATCCTCTTCGAATTAGGTTTTTTATACGTTTTGATTTAACGTTATACTATAGAACGTTAAGAATTTGTTAAAAGATTATTACGTATGATGTTAAAATGACAGAAAAAGAGTTCTTGATAAAAGGTTAAAGGTTATAAATAAGGCTTTACGGTTTTGATATTAATTCCCCTTTACACATGAATAACCTGTTTCTTCTCAAACCTTGTTTGAAATGATCTAATACAACAATTAAAATGTAGAATTGGATGGTGTTAGACTCGTATTGATGCCAATAAATCTTCTCATTAATTTTAATCAATTTATTAATTTTGCATAGTTGTGAAGAGCCCAAGCTAGCTCTTCACAACTATGCAAAAACTCATCTAAACTTTTATTATGGGAAAAATAAAATTTAATGTTTCATATTTTCTTGTATTTGCTCAAGGTTGCATAATATCTTACTACTTACCCACAATTTAGCACTGATTTTTCAAACTATTCAAAAAGGCAAAATGGATAGCTCTTTGCTAAAAGCTAAATATTTTGCTAAAATTTTAGATCCAACTCGGCTCGCCATTCAAGAGCTGCGGGTTTAGCATCAAAGTTCTTCGTAGGATAAGATTTAATAGGGGAATCCATAGGGGGTAAGGAATCTGTGGATTCAGATTACCAACCGAGTCGAGGAATAAGTGGTGGAGTGGACGGAGAAGGAAAATAGAATAGAGAATATGGAAGAAATAATCGAAGTAATGAAATTATTGTATTACTCATTTTTATGCTCATCAATCTAACCAACTGTGGTGGAATCTCGAAGTTTGATAGTATTGATAGGAGTATAATTTGAATATGTCTTTGTCGTATTTCGAAAAAATGTTGTTTATTTGTCGGACACTGAATATCTGGTCAATTGTTGATCGTCCACCTCTAAGCCCAACCTGGTACTCTCCCAATATGCCCTCTGCCAGACGGTTCCATTTGTATTAAACGATGTTTGTGAATACTTTATAGACCGTGGTAAGTAGTGATAAGTCTCTAGAGTTTTCACATAGTTATTTGTTTCCCTTTTTATGTATTTGGCTTATCGCACTTGTATTCCGTTCCTCTAGTATCTGCTCGCTAATCCATATTTTATTTATTACATTGTGTATATCCTTTGCGATTGAGTCTCCCTCATACTTGAAGAGTTTTGCTGGAATATTGTCTATTCATCATAACTACATCTACATCTTCACCAAAAAAAATTGCAAAAAATTATTATTGGTTATGGTTACATTAAAAACATAATCTGAATCAACTCCTCGGTCATTTATGCATCTTCCATCTACATTTGCGACGTAGCATAGAATTCAGGTCAGTGATAATTGCATGGTGTGAGTAAAACATAATTTTGATCTCGTCGTTATCTAGTTTTTTCTTCGCGGCTAAGTACATTCCAAATATACCGATTATTCCATTCTAAGTTGAAATTTTAATTTCGTATATGTTGAAGTGGGTTGGAAATTCTTCATGTAGATGGTATTTATAATAATGACTGAATTTTAAATATTGAGTTCTTTGGTAAGTATTAGTGTGGCAATTGTTTGAAAATTTTAATGATTTTACTGTTTTTGCGAAGACATTATTCTTTTTTTCTTCGGTAAGATTTGGTAAACGCAAATACTTTGTTTAGTTTCTTTCTCAGTTCATCCACGTTACTTTGGTTTGTTTTATGCTGGATCTTTCTTCCGTTTGTGATCTGTTTACCTTCTTCTCGTTTCTTTATCTCTTCGCTTTTTTTAATCTTCTTCTTTTTCTAATCTTCATCCTTCGCTCCTCTTCCAGAGATGTTTTCCGATCTGCGATGTTATCTTACTTGTTTAGATTTGATCTCGATATACACAGTTTTATTTTGATGGAGTCTTTTATGATCTTGTTTGGCATCAGGTAGTATTGGAAAAATTCAGGTTTTATTTCCAGTGATTCAACGCTGATTGATATGCCACCAACACCTTTGACGCTGTATACTAATCGGTACTCTTTGCTAGTTTGTACAAGTATTGTTAGAGCGGATTTCCGTTAATATCAGCAATTTTCATATTTTTATAGGTAGCTAGATTAGTTTGAGCTACTTCCAAAATATTCTCTTGACTTCTCTTATAACAACCTTCTACTCATCCTCTGATTGCAAGTCATAAAGAAAACTGGATTTGTTCTTCTTCTAATTTATTTGTTATCTTTTTTTTATTTCTGTCATCAACCCAAGAAACTGGGGGCTCCTATATCGATAGTAATATATTTAATACATTGTAGGTTTCTTTCGTTTCCTTACTGTAGGTGATTAAGATCGATGGTTTCTGGTATCTGTTTTAAACCAATTCCAAATACTTTCTTATAGCACAACAATTATCTTAGGCAGTACATTTAGCAGCATTAGTCCAGAGAAGTTTTGCAACAGATGCTAATCAAGAAACATACATAAAATGACTGAATAGAAGAATGAATAAAACTTAAAACATTTATTGCAATAAATTAAGAAACGATAAATGAATAACAGATAAGATTGAATATAAAACTGAATTTTGCTTTATTTGACTACCGATTCAAATTGGATTGCTATTGATCATTAGATGTTCTGCACGTTTAACTTCATTAATCAACCGCCAAATTGAAGTTTTTACTAAATCTTTGTCCTCTTCCGATAAAAGATCAAGTTCAGCCGCAATTGATAAAATAAAAGAATTTTTCTTATTCGACAACTCATTTTTTATAACCTGTATATCCGATGATGTGTCCGCATGAATATTATTATTTACAATTTTATTGCTGAGAAAAAAAATGTAAAAAATTAATGTATAATTTTCTAAACAGTTACTTACATATCGGTTAAAATTTCGAATTTGTAAACTCTATGAAACGTGCCGTCGTTGTTCCAAATTAATAAACTTTTCACATTAAATATATCAACCTTTCCAATCCTCATCTCGTTTTGATGAAATGCTCTTCCGATATACCACGGTAAGTTAGTAGTATTATTTTGAGGACCGGCCTCAACTAATCGAAGTATTAAATTTTCTGGAAGGTCGTTCTCATAAAAGTTTACGTATTCCCATTGAAATCTAAACGGTTCTTGCGAGCACATTATCTAAGTAACAAAATTGATTAAGATTATAAATTTCGATTTAAATTAGAAACATTAAAAGTATTAATTACTTTTACATCATCGATTGCTTCCATCTTTCCATTATGCTCAGTGGTAAATTTTCCAGCTTTAGGATTTAGTGTTCCCGGAATTAAAACGCCGTTAACCAGACGTTGACCAACATATAAACCATATCCAACTGGAACCGCATCCTCTGGTATAATTTTCTTGTAATCACGCCAGTAAATATCTTGTTCATACACTATTTAACATAATTATAATAAGTAAACAAAGCAGAATAATAAAAATGTTTATATATTACCGTTTTCGCATTTTATAATTAAGAGAAATCCTAACAGAAATATAATTCTACAAATAATAGTAAATAACAGTAAATGATAAATAAATAATTTATTACCTCCACATATTTAGAAACTTATTATGAATTTCGCTGTCGAGAGCACATTGATGTTGTGGTATATTATAAAGTGTAGATAAAGAAGTCTTGATAAAAGGTTAAGTGAAAAGGTTATAAATAAGCCTCTGTAATTTTTGATATCGTTTATATTAAATAAAAAACATTATAACTTCATTGATTTTCAAACCAATACTATATGTGTAAGTATAACGTAGATAATTCTAAAAAAAATGCAAAAAATACGAGATTATGTATTTTTTGAACCTTTATTTCTTAAGGCATACGACACACGATCGTAATATAAAAGTTATGTCTAAAATGTACTCTATTTCTCCGCTCTTTTGTTAGCTGATATCTGATAGTAAAGCTCATCTGATAGTAGTCTACAGTTAAAGACACTTTTGACTGAAAAAAAGCCACAATTGTTCAAAATAATTTCTTTAATGACCAAGATCGAAATACGTATCATAAACACTGCAAAAATAAGTAACTCCACAGTACAACAAAGCGCAATTTGTAACGAGTAGTTGCAACTTTTCATTTTTACTGTTAAACTAGTGATGGAACGGATAGTGAATTTGCGAACAGCCGGATACCGGATTATCCGGCCATTATGGTTACAATTTTTGGTGCATATCTGAAGTGATACCCTATAATGCCACATTATTGCGATATTTGAATAAAAATGAAATTAATAAGAAAGCTGATAAGATATGTCAACTTATTTGGATTCAAGATACAAAATGAACTTTTTTGATGCCGATTTAACCAACGAAGCAACTCTAAAAAGAGGATACATTAATTAATAATTGGCGATATCTCCACAAGGATCCTTCAAGAAATTATTTACAATTTTTGTAGCCAATTTTGAAAATTATTGATGAAAATTGCAACATCAAAAATTTTATCAAAACTTCAAATATTGTTTTCTCAAAAACTAAAAGTTATTTTTCAAAACGGGTTGGTTCATTGGAAAGAGGACACTTTTATTAACACTTTGGGAAATTTTCATACTCATATTCCAAGAAATGGATTTTATACGAATTTTTAAAACTTAATCGGCGAAAATTGCAAAATTCGAAAAAATTGTCGATTATTTCAAAAATTTATTTCTCAAGAACTAAAAGTGATTTTTCAAAACGGCTTTTTGCATTAAAAAGAGGATACTTTAATTAATAATTGTTGATATTTTCACAACGATCCTTCAAGAAATGAATTTTATAGCGAATTTTGAAAGTTATCAATGAAAATTGTAACATCGAAAATTTTATCAAAACTTCAAATATTGTGTTCTCAAAAACTAAAAGTTATTTTTCAAAACGGGTTGGTTCATGGGAAAGAGGACAGTTTTATTAATACTTTGGGTAATTTTCATACTCATATTCCAAGAACTGGATTTTATACGAATTTTTAAAAATTAATCGGCGAAAGTTGCAAAATTCGATAAAATTGTCGATCACTTCAAAAATTTATTTCTCAAGAACTAAAAGTGATTTTTGAAAACGGCTTGTTGTATTAAAAAGAGGATGCTTTAATTAATAATCGAAAGTGATAACAGCAACAATTCTGTTAGTAATGAATGTGATGATGAATTACAAGCAAAGAGAAGAAAACTAGACGAAACTGCAACAGTAAGTATTAGCCTTAGATGTCAGTGTTGACCAAAATTGATTAAAGTCGAACAAAACACGGGGTGTTTTGTTCTTCAATGATCTTTTGTGGGATACAAGTTTAATGTCTGTGATAGCATATCAAATGATAAGACTCCTAATGTGGTTATAATGTAATGGCTTATCGTCATCAAATAAATTTCACTTTGTGTTTCTTTAACAACATACATATAATGGAGAATAAAATCAGTATATTCCAACAAGTTTCTCTCAACAAAATCAAAACTAACTCCTAACTAGAATTTGAAAATTGAAGCAAAAAAAGACGTTTAGCCGTCTTAGAAGTAAACTCAATGAAGATTTTTCTTTTATATTATGAACCTTATTAAGTCTCAAACTAACAACATTACCAAACACGAATAGAATAAATTAAGCATTTGCTAATTCAAAGTGTCAAACAATAATTGCCTAACCATATGTGACGTCACGAACGGGCCATCGAGCTCTGCTCCTGTTCCCGGGAAGTAGCACTCCTAGATTCTTAGACCCAACCTATATAACAAATTTTGCAGTGCATGTAGTAAATTAATAAAAAAATTAAATTTTAGAACTTTGGATAAAAAACGTTTATTTAAATAAATTAGATGTTTATTTCAATATTAGATTTGTTTGTGTTCTTAACTTCATAAATCACTTGCCAAATTGCCGTTTTTACCAAATCTTTTTTATCTTCAGGTAAAAGATCAAGTTCTGCCCCGAGCGATAAAGTGAAATTATATATTGTACTCGCAGGACTTTCATTAATTTTGCTGTCAAAAAAAATTAGAAAAATTAAATACAATTTTTCACATCCGCTTTTTACACTTACTAAGCATCCGTTAAAACTTCGAAATTAAAAACTTTATGAAGTGTGCCGTCGTTATTCCAAATTAATAAACTTTTCGCATCGAAAAGATCAACCTTTCCTATTCTCCATTCGTTTTGGTGAAATGCCCTTCCGATATAATATATGTTATTGCGGTCACCAGCTATTATTACTCGATGTGATAAATTTTCTGGTAGTTTTTTTACATCTATGTATTCCCAACTTAATCTTAGCGGATTTTCCGAACACATTATCTAAATAATCAAATTAATAAGAATTTAAATTAATAAAATTTGTTTGATAAATATTAATTTACTTGCACGTTATTGATTCTTTCCTGTTTTCCGTTATGTTCAGTGATGAACCTACCACTTTTCGGGTAAATTGTTCCGGGAACTAAAACTCCATCAAAATTACTTTGACCAATATGTATTCCAAATCCAACGTTAACGGCCTGTCTGGGAATATTAATTTTATTGTAATCACGCCAAAATACAGGTTGGTCTTCATTATTAAAAATAATTACAACAATATATAAATAAGCATAGATTATAAAATTATTTTCATGTATTTACCATGTGCATGTTTTACGAATATAAGAAATCCCACTAATAATATGGATCTAAATAAATAAAAATTAATAGTTTTTAGTGATAAGCAATAGTTTTGTTACCTCCGCATTTTTAATAAACGAAGAATGTAAGATTTACATTAACGTATATTCATATTTAAGAAAATTAAGTATCGAAGTGTTGATAAAAAGGTTAATGTTATAAACATGGTTCAACTTTGATATCAATTCCCCTACTACGTATTGGATAAAGAGGGAAAGAGTAAATGCGCACTGTTAAGTTGATTTTAAAGAAACGTTTTCTAATATATTTGTATGGATAGCTCCTAAGACATCTTCATTAGTTAGAACTTATTTGTAGATAAAATATTTTCGGTTTAAATAGAAAATGTTCTTAATAATAGTTGGTTAATTGTGGCGCATATTTTGCGTATATTTGATCATTAGAATGGATGTTCTTTTATTAGCTTTGTAATAAAACCCATGGTGGGCTTGGTAGCGCTTGATTTAGTGTAGGTTAGTGTGGTTTTCTACGGAGGGTCATGTGCTGAACTCCAGCTCAGGGGATCTTTGCTTAACCGACTGGGTCGAGAGGAGACAACTTATGCCGAAAACTTTCATCGCCTTACAACGTTGGCTAAGAGGGTAACACTTGGTTCCTAATAAGCGGACTTTGGATATCTGGGAACCTCTACTTTATATACAACAGCGTAAAGCCGGATTTATATTTATCTGACGTGTCGTGTTGTGACGCGTCAGAACGGTATCGGTTGAATACATTTACTATGGTGAGATTTATATTTGTGTGTCGCAATGTGTTGTGGTGCCTTGTGTTGTGTCGCATCAGCAGCGATCCCGATGTCCGTCAGAGCATCGGAGTGGGAAGTGACGCATAACGACAGATCAGACAAATGTACACCTGCCTTATGACTTGTCAGATTTACGTTTCTTCTTTCTTTCGATATTAAAATTAATTACATTTTACATTATCAGCATCGCTCTCAAGCTCTTTAACCAGGCCGTGAAATTCGCCTTTAGCCTCTCTCTTTCTGTTCACTGGATGAACCCAATATCTTGTCTCTTTTTCTTTTTCTTAGAAGAGTTGCCAGTACCATAAAATGAATATCTTCTTCATAATTTGAATCAGAAGATTCATTGGAAAACATTATAGACCCACGTATGAACTCTTTGAGTGCCACGATTGTATTGATTCAAAATATCGCCAGAGTGCGTCAGATTCTGGATTCGCGGGAAGGTAGGCTGAACCGCCCGCAGCACTTTGACCTCAGCAGATCCCTTGTACTTACTTCCGTCATTTGGCCAGCATTAGGGCCCTTCCAGCCATATTACCTTGGAGGCAAAAGCTAGAATTTGTCCTGTTTGTGCTGCCCTGATTCCACTCATGCTAATCTGGATATCTCCAAAAATAGATAACCTTAATGTTTCGAGGGCCACGCAGTCGCATAAAATGTGTTCCGTTGATTCCTCCTCCTCACCGTATCCTCTGCAGATGTAGGTGTCACTTATTCCCATGTTCAGTAAGTGCTTCTGTAGATGCCAGTGTCCAGTGATTAGCCCTATGACCAAACGTAGGTTCTTCCTGGACAGCCTCATAAATAAATCTGTTCGTTTAGGATCAGGGTACATCAGAGCCTCCTTCGCTTGGCGACACCCTGGTGTCCTGTCCCAGTAGTTTAGAAACTTCTTACTTGTTGCCTCTTTTTGAAGCTCTATTAAAGACCTTATTGTTGGGGCAATGAATGGTTCCGGCGATCCCGGAGATTCGCCTGCAGCTTTCCTTGCCAGTTTGTCCACCATGTCATGAAGCTTATTTCCCGAATGACCCTTTATCCGGCTGCCTCACAAAGATTGTTATGGCAGTCCTCAAGCAACGAGGATGAACAGCGATTCCGCCCAAGCGAGAGGAAGGCTTGTCTGCAATCAGAATATATTATAATTTTTTTATTACTAATTTTTTGGAAATTTCCTCAGCCGCCAGAGAAATGGCCACCAGCTCCGCTTGGAGCGCGGTGGGCCAAATTCCCAGCGGTTTAGAAATTTTTATTGTTGGTTCGACGGAATAAACCGAACCAGAACCAGTTTCCCTACGAGATCCGTCCACCCATACTTGGAAGACAGTTTCGTCAGGCCTGGATTGTTCTCCTACCTTTATTTCATACGGTCGTTCTAAGATAAAACGCGTTGGAATCGTATCTACCCTGCCATTCAGGAGCGGCTGTTTGTTACATGCGTCCCCCCATAGCTGGCTAGTCGATTTTCCACATTTCCCATTTGTCATTAGCCGCTCGCAGCCGGATCATTGTTGCTATCACCATCTCCTCAACGTGATAATTGAGAGGAGGAAGGCACAGTACATTCTCCATTGCTGCTGTTGGTGTGGTTATCATCGAGCCTGTAACGTAAAGACAAGCCAGACGTTGCAATTTTTGTAGTTGCAAAACAATCGTTTTATTTCTAACTCTTGGCCACCAGTTTACGGCGCCGTAAGTCATCATTGGACGTATCACTGCAGTGTATATCCACAGGGATATTTTGGGCGTTAAACCCCAGGAAGTCCCAACGGCCCTTCTGCACTGAGCGAACGCAATGCGTGCCTTATTTATCTTACCTTTGATATGCGGTCTCCAAGTCAGCGTTTTATCCAGGGTTAACCCCAGATACTTCACTTCATTGGCAAAGCGCAAGGGAACTTTGCAAAGCCAGGGCGCTCTAAGGGTACCCAGCCTTCTTTTCCTTGTGAAGAGGACCATCTCTGTTTTATTCGGGTTTACCGACAGAGAATTGTCTCGACACCAGCGTTCGATTATTCTCAGTCCAGCCTGCATTCGGTCGCATAGGACGTTTTCGAACTTCCCATGAACCAAAACGGCTAGATCGTCTTCATAGGCGCAGACATTGAATTTTTTAGATGAAAGTTGTCTTACAAGGCTGTCCAGGGTGAGATTCCACAGCAGAGGTGATAAAACCCCACCCTGTGGACATCCTCATTCAACGATCGCTCTTATTTTATTATCTTTATTATTATTATTAGTAGTAGTGTCAATTACACTATGGACGGCCCTTTTTGAGAGCATATTTAGAATCCAGTCCGCTAGTGCAGGCTAGACTCCTTTTGTCTCTAAGGGCTTTATTAATTGTATGGAAAGCTGTCCTGTCAAAGACTCTTTCGATATCTATAAATACTCCGAGAGTGGACTCTTTATAGCCCAAAGATCTGTCGATAACTCCTACGATATCTTGTAGGGCAGTTTCTGTTGATCTTCCCAGAGTGTATGCATGCTGGCTTGGGTGCAGGGGAAACCTTTCCAGTGTCGTTTCTCTTATATATCTTTCACATAGCCTTTCAAGCGCCTTCCCGACGAATGAGTAAAGACTGATTTGTCTATAAGATTTTGGGTCAGTGTAATCTGTCCTTCCAGGTTTAGGAATGAAGACTACCTTTACTTCTCTCCAGGATAAGGGAACATAGCGCAATGCTGAGTGCGTCAGAACACAACATATAAATGTAAACACTAAGCATTACGTCAGAGCGCATCACGACACAACACGTCAGACAAATATAAATCCAGCTTAAAGAAACTGAAAATGAGGTAGATGCAACTCCCAGCGCATTAAGGCAGAAATTGCCTTCAACAAGTAGAAACGTTACCCTACAACTAGTGTCTCTAAAACAAACACCATAAAACTACGGGAGAGTATTGAAAAGCTCCAGGTACAAGAGAAAAATCTAAGTGGCGCACGCAAACAAAGGCTAAACCTTGAGGAAGTACGATCTAAGGCCATACAGTCCATAAGTGAAGAGAAGAAATGGGGAAAGGGCATAACGCTAAGCTAGCGGCGACTGAAAGGCGTAGTACTCCTAGCGGAAGGAATCTTCAGCGGTAACAAATGCCTATAGTTACCAGTTTCAAGCCTAACCTATCGTGAACGCCTATTTCCCCAACAGTGCAGACGAGAAGTCTTCCGCATTCTCAAGACCGTTAAAGATCAAGACGAAGGTCTGAATACCAACGAATGGAGGGTGCTCAAAAGGACGACTAAAGGCAATAGTGCCTTTCTTACGTTGTCCGTTGACCAGCCTTAAAACTGCCAACTACAAACTTAGCTACAAATTCAGGAAAATTACACTGAGGTCAAAGAGCGGCAAGCCTACGCTACAATAGAAGGAATCCGAGTTGAAGCCAGGTACTTCTGGAAATGCTTCTTCTTGCAATGCTAATGGATGTTTACACATTTTCCATTTCTTTTCTATTCCTCGTGGTATGAATTATAGCCTCTATGTTGTGCAACCCAATTCATTGTCGAACTTTTTTTTTCTGCCATCCCTCTTCCCCTTCTAATTTGCCCTCAATTATTAATTGGAGATATTGTGATAAACTAGGATATTGGCATTTTGGTTAAAGATGATTTAGTTAGTGAAACTGTTGTTGAATCGTTTAATGGTTTATATGTAACGTCGAACGTGATACTTATCCTTGTTCGTGTCTTATATTAGCAGTCTTCTATTACAAGATTACAACATTTCTGTTTAATTTTTAATCTTTTAATTTTTGATTGTATTAAATTATTTCGAGCACATGCTTGTTTCAATCTAAATTTCAATTCCGACAGATAATTCTCGAAGTTGTAAATAAGATCTACCTTGTTAATTATGGTCGATGGCAAATTTGCGATTTTTCCAAACACTAATTCATGTAAAGTGTAACATGACACTCAAGTGCTCCATGAATGGATGTTTTGATGCTTGAATACGTAGATAAGTATTATACATTATCATAAAAATTTTTCAGTGAACCTAACGTTTCGTGATGATAATCTGTTGAACATAGTTTATTGATTTTTAATACATTTACCAAGAATTCCCTTGATCCCCTGATGTAATTTTGGATGAACACTTGCGCTATTGAAATAAGGAAATTTCGCAACGGGCAAAATTCGACATACTTGCTTAGTTCGCATTGTAAAGTTAGAATGTAGCGATTGCTTGCGTAGCCTTCTTCTACACGTCCTGCTAAGTTTAGATAAATTTTTTGTTGTTATTGCTAAAGGCTGTATATTTGGTTTTGAGTACTTATACATTTGGCAATCTTCACATTTCTTTACAAACAAATCTTTTCTTAATCCTGACCAGATATAGTATTTCTTGATGTTGTTTAACATTCAGTTGATACTCGCTCGTCTATCGGTTGGGAGCATATGAAAATCATTCAAAATTAACTATCTAGTCTCCAAATCATCAACACTTCAACATTTCTTGTTAACTGAAATTCTTGGACCTTCTTTTAGCATATTCCTGTTTTCTTTTAATTCATTTAACAGTTCATTTTTTATTATAAATAATTCCGGAATACTAAATTTTCTACATAATATATATAAAAAATATCTGTCAAAAACTGCGTTATTGATAGACGCTGATCCAGTACTCCATTTTATATGTAGAGTATCTTTATTTTTGTTGAACCTATTATTTTTTCTTAAATTCCTCAAACTCTGCTTCGGTCATTAAAGATAATTTGGTGACATGTTTCGGTTTATAATTAATTCCACCAACCCAGGGTGATCAAACCTTTCGTGGCGTAATGAATTCTGTGGTATCGTTTTGCCTGGTCTGCGTTCTTGTTACTGCACAAATCCTTTCATGCTATTTTATCCATTTCTTTCAATTCATTAGTTATAGGATATCTCGAAACGTGAAAGCGCATCCGCCGTCACGTTATCTTTCCCTTTTATATATTTAACAAGGGTAAGGATCTGCTACAGGTGATAACTCCTTCACTCTTAGTGTAAGCCAAAAGGATTAACAGAAAATGAACAACTGGCTGCTATATCCACTGATCGTAGATTGATGATGGAATTGTCATCAATTTTGATCAAGTGACACTACATAGTATGTTTTCAATATATAAATTGGATGTTTTCAATATATTAAGATACACAATATTTTATCTTCTTAATATTACTTATGTACCATATAAGGATAATCGCTATCATAAATTTAATTTAAGTCTTTAAAGTATGACCCATAACCTTTGATATCAATTCTTCGTTGTTTCTCTCTTATTAAACGTCTGCTGTAAAACTTTCGAGAATTATTAATTTGGTGTGCTGACGTATTTTAGTTTGTAGAAGCATTATTCATACTGTTAAAAAATGTTAAGGTAAAGTTACTGGAAATACTTATATCATTTTTAATCTTATCATTATTTAGATTCATATTACTTTTGGTATTCCTGCTAACTGTACGATGCGAGAATGGTAAATAAATTAAACAGATAAATAATAATTTTATATTATTTATATCTTTTCATACGTTTAAAATATTTTTTAATAGAATATGAGCGAGATATTTATTGGCGTCACTTCAATAAAGTTATTCCCGAAGATGCTGTCGATGTTGGATTTGGTGTATATGTTGGAATAAGTCTTTTGGATGGTTATATGATTCCTGGGACAATAAATCCGGAAAGTGGAAAATTTGAAGGTGTATTAAGCAGAAAGCATGAAAAAACTGATGAAGTGAAAGTAAGTGATAATTAAATTACAAATTCATTCCGAATTTATGATAAAATAATTACTTTAGATTTTATGTTCGAAAAATCCCTTAAGATTTAAATGGTTATACATAAACGGCACGGATCTTCCACCAAATCTTCCAATTTTATCAAAACGATTTGTAAAACTTGATAGCAATAGTCGAACATATTATGTTGGAAGAGCTTTCCATGAAAATCAATGGAGAATTGGGACGGTTTACTCACCAGCAATGAAAATTTTTTATACCTGGAATAACGACCGTACCGTACGTCAACTTAACCACTACGAAATTTTAACATATATGTGAGTTTAAAGTAAAGATGTTAATTAATTTTAAAAATTCTTATTACATTTTTTTTTGTTTTGTTTCGCAGTACTCCGGATAACATGGTATATAATAATCCCCAGCAAGATGTATCATCGGATTTAAAAACCATTAAAGAACTTTTAAATAAGAACAATTATTTCATATTATCGGTTGCGGCAGAAATTGATCTTTTACCAGAACCTTCAAAAGATTTAGTTAAATCGGCGATTTGGAGAATTATTTATACAGTGAAGCGCGCAAAAGTAACTAATTCTGAAATTTCGTTATCCAATTTGACCAAACAGTTACGAATTGAATAAACTTAAAATAAATCTTATACAATTAATAACATATTAATAAATCTATAAACGTTTTATTGAAGTTGAAGTAGTCTTTTAAAATCAACCCCAATCAAAACGTCAGATAGTTTGAACTTCAACCATAGAGATTAGAAAATAGCCTAATAATTGTGCAAACATTTAGGGGAATTATATAGTAACTCATGCCCATGTATCTCTTTGGTATACCAAACTTATAGTAATGAAAATAACATGGGCATGAAGTACACTTGCCTACTTTTTGCTTGAGGATGAAAGTGTTAAATTAGCAGTATTCAAGACAACTTGAATTATTAGCGATAGATGCAAGTGATCCAAGAACATGTTAAGGTTATGTGAGGTTATTTGCAGTTCTTTCAAAAAAATCTGTTCAAAAGCAAAATTTTTGAATTGTTGTGTAATATGAATGATGTTCAACACCCAGATTACAAAACAAAAAAGAGATACCAAGAAAGTTATGGAAACATGTTGACACATATATTGGATAGGTTAGTAAAAAAAACACTTAGATACACAAGTAGCTACATACATATATTTATTTGTCGTTCAAAAATCTACAAAATGGTTTGCAAAAGATTCTCGTATCTATTTCGCTCACATTGAGCCATTCTCTTTCATGCTGGTTTTCTGGAAAATAATGTATCACCTCTTAACACTACTTTAAGTCACTATTGGTTCTCACATTACGATGTCCCACAAGATTATATGAAATATACAGTATATGTGCCGCTTTTTCTGAGATAACTTCGATATCCTCAATTAACATACGCCATTTAGCACGTAGTATCCCAAAAGCACGTTTAATGCATTTTTTAGCTATTAAGCGAATATTGAAGGTTTGTTTGACAGGGTTACGATTTCTGGAAAGATATTGTCTCATCAAAAAAATCTTCAACGGATATGCCATGAGATATTTCTCTGTAATTTTAATTGTCAATAGTCTTTAATTGGTGACGTGTTCAAAGTTCTCTGTCTGGCGGTATATTGAATTACTTATTTTCAAGTAGCTTAAAGAGTTGTGAAGGTAAAAATATTCTGCCATTACTTTACTTTCATCTGGTACCAATCTCGATTGTGATAAATATTTTATCAGGATCAGCTACTGCTTGTAAGAATCAACTGCTTGTAGTCTGTGGTTTACTTCTGCAACAGTTTGTAATTGCTTTTGACTAATACCTAGGATAGATCCGTCAAATTGATTCCATATTATTTTACATGTTAGATGAACAATTTTGCACACTCCCATTTTCAAGAGTTGATGTTAAATTTTGGAATGAGAGTCCTGCAGAAAAGAAATAATATCATAATAATTAATAAAATAGAAATTCTTTCCAAAAGAAGGCGAAATTAATGCTTAATGTGAAGGTGAAATAAAAAATTTTAAAGAGGTAAGTTTCGGGTTGGACAGTATGAAATTCCGAAAAAACGTTCCGCTTTTTGATATAATACACAAAAGGTGAAAGCCATGTACAGGAAAAAAATTATTTTACAGAAATGGAAAGATAAGAAGGACATACTAATGATTTTTAGGTTACATGATGCTACTATGTAAAACATAACAACACGACAAGGTGAAGTACAAAAATCTTCATATGTAATAGACTACAATAGCAACATGGGTGATGTGGATTTAGCAGAATTTTTTTCTATACTACAGCAAGATATAAAAAGATATATAAAAGTATTATACATATAAAGATTTTTCATCATTTTTTGAGGATAACTACACTAAATGGTTACCATTTATACAAGAAGTTGGGGGTAAAAAAAGGCTCCAGAACTGGCAATTTCTCAAAGTAGCTTGAAAACAGCGACAGTTAAGGTGAAGAACAAATTGCAGAAAACGTTAATGATGAAGATTCAGGCACGATGATATGAGATGTGTTAGATCACGCTCTTAAAATCAAACTCACCGTTACATCACCCATCTCATCAGAATGACGAAATTGACAAGTGTATCTGAGAATAGTAACGTACTATATCAACAATATTGCACTGTTGCAAGTATCTTAGATTATTAAATACGTTTGTAGATTCAATAATATAAACGGTTCAGTTTCATGCACGGACTTAAAAAGATTCTTAGGGATTTGGTGAATATGTTGCATGTTGGAAAGTTAAAACCATCCAGTTAAGATTAAGTTTTATTTAGTTACCTACCTCGCAAATGAAGGCACTCTCCAGTTACTTGATCTACTTTCCCAGTAAACAAGAAACATCTGTGAAACATTTCAATTTTAACGTACAATGAATTAAATGAAAGATCGTAGAACTACGTCTCATATACGTGGTACGATTTTTACGAAACGTATCTAAAGATATGTATCAAATACATTTCAGTACGAATATTTATGAAATATCATTAAAATATGTAGCAGAAACATTTCATTTGAAACATTTCTCTACAAATGTGTCTGAAACATGTCTGGAATATCTTCGAGGAGGGTTCCGTCCAATCGGAACATATTTTTATCTTACCTTTATCTTACCTACATAAAGAAATAAGGCGCGACGTCCTGTCTGGGACACACCATCTGTTCCGATTCGCCGGAACCCCCGGCATCTTGCAGAGCTTATTTCTGTTTCTCTTTAATTTGTAATTCCATTAAATCGCTCTTCAAAAATTAGGGAGCTCCAATTTTGAAAAACTAATAACGGAATCCGACAACCTACATTATTTGATATATTTTGGTCAAATCCGCGAGGAAATCCACCCAGCCGTTTTCAACATAACGGCGTCTTACTAAACCGCGATTTTCCGTGAAACTATATGGAATATCGAAAAAATAAAATATGCCACTCATTAAGAACACATCAGGCTACCACCTGTTCAAAATTAAAATTTTTTCGTACGATAGTTTTCGAGAAAAAAAATCGCAAAGAAGACAAAGTTGCCGGTACTGTCAAAAATCGGGTACTTTTTTCATTTAACTCGTGATAAAAAGAAAATCGTAGATCCGAAAATTTTCAAATTAGCATATGTTACGTAGAAATGTTCAGTGATTACAACACACTTTGTCGCAATTTTTTTATCGAACGGTTGCGAAGATATAGATGTCTAAAGTGAGGGGCCTTGACATTTTGCACGGATAGTAGTGGAATAAAGTAACTTTATTCAAAGTAACTTTATTCCACTACTATCTACTATCTAGTTGGTGAAAAATGGAAGAACATGATATGACAAATCAAACAATGAAATGTCTATTAATATGTTAATATAAATAATAAATAGGATGTGATTGATTTAAGATTGTATTTTTCATTATTCCACTAGTGGAATAAAGTTACTTTGAATAAAGTTACTTTGAATAAAGTTACTTTATTCCACTAGTGGAATAAAGTTACTTTGAATAAAGTTACTTTATTCCACTAGTGGAATAATGAAAAATACAATCTTAAATCAATCACATCCTATTTATTATTTATATTAACATATTAATAGACATTTCATTGTTTGATTTGTCATATCATGTTCTTCCATTTTTCACCAACTTTACCTTGACAACTTTCACACTTTTACAAATATGTTACAAATGGAGTCGGTAAACAATCGAAAATAAATAGCACCAATTTAATACCTCCCAATGTTTTTTTAGTTAATTGCAATGTCAGAGTGAAATGTTAAATCATTTTTTGATAACATCAGATGAAATTTTGGATAAAACGTTGTATTACATGCGTGTTTTATTCACTTAAAAAAATTAAAACATAAACAATCTTGCGTGAATAAAATGCTGTCTAATACACTTACACAATAAATAACTATTACATTTCAGAAATAATTCAAAACCGTTAATGAAACATTTTAGTAACATACCGTAATTGTCAGCTGTATGTTGCAGAAATGTTTCATTAGAAACGTTTCAATGAAACATAAAAAAGGCCAGACATTAGCAGTTTCAGACACGTTTCAACTATATTTCAGAAATATGTCGAAGAAACATTTCATGTTTCAATAATATGTATCAGAAATGTTTCTGAAACGCAAATTTGTTTACTGGGTTGATGGCCAACATTATCAACAAATTTGTATTTCTTAATCAACATTAAGATCATTCTTAATCCTCGTCTTTAACGTTTACTGTTTTATGACCAATATTATTTAAGAATTGTTATTTATAAACTTTAATAGCATAACCCGTAGCCAATCATTAGTGTTTTATTTACAGAGTATTTTATTTTTATTAATTACAAACATCTAATCAACTAAATCAGACAATGATAAAGTGATATTATTTACATTGGAACGCTTAACTTTATAAATAACTCGCCAAATTGCAGTTTTAATTAAATCTCTGAATCTTTCAGGTAGTCCATCAAGTTCTTCTGCCAGCGATGAAAAATAGTAACCATTCTTATTTGAAAGTTCCTCTTTTATAGCTCTTAAATCCGATGATACATCCGATTGAATCGTATTTACTATCTTATTGCTGTTAAGAAGAATAGAAATAATTAATATACAAGTGATATAACAAAAATTGTAGTAATTTAATATATTATTTAAAAAGTTTTTCACTTACACATCGGTTAAAATTTCGAAATTAAAAAGTCTATGAAGCGTTCCATCGTTATTCCAAATTAATAAACTTTTAACGTTAAAAATATCAACCTTTCCGATTCTCCACTCGTTTTGGTGAAATCCTCTTCCAATGTACCAGTTTAAGCTATTGTTTTGGTAGCCGGCTGCTACTAATCTTTCTAGTAAATTTTCTGGAAGTGCATTCCCATGAAAATTTACGTATTCCCATTGAAATCTTGAAGGCTCTTGTGAACACATTATCTAAATTATAAAATCAAAAATTAATTTTTAATAATTACACGAGAGTTAAATATATTTCATTACTTTTACGCCATCGATTGTTTCTTTCTTGCCAAAGTGTTCAGTAATAAACTTGCCTGTTTTAGGATATATTGTGCCGGGTATTAAGTTACCATCAATTACCCTTGTACCAATATACAAACCATATCCAACATGAACAGCATCTTCGGGAATACTTTTATTGTATTCACGCCAATAGATATCATCTTCGTATACTATTTAAGAAAAAGAACTATAAATAGTTAAGTAATGAAGGTTAATGAAGGAATGCTTTTACATTATTTACTTACTGTTATGGCCTTTTACAATTAAGAGAAATCCCACTAAAATGAATCTAAATTAAACGAAAATAAAGCAAATAAGAATCTTAAAGAAACGTGCAATTTCATATTTTTACGTGTCTTTACCTCCGCATATTTAAAAAATCTACAAATTTCGTTTTTAAATCGTTAAACACACAGAAGACTAGAATATGTAAAAATGTATTGCTACGTTCGATATAAAAGCATAAACAGAGATAAAAGATAATAAAAGGTTATGGGTTACAAGTAATAAAACATCAAGTATTTATATTTATTAATTAAAATCATTTAAACGTTATTATTATTTTCGTAAGTGTACTATAACTATAATAAAAGTGTGTTCTATATATAAAGATTTCAACAAAATGTTAAAAAGTGACGATTGCTTATAATTCAATTTCTTCAGGAGGTAACTGTATTGGACACTGTATTGTGTCAATAACGAATCATCATAGTAATGGTTTTAGACCAACGGCTATTAATGAATGTGTGAAAAATCCATACTTACAATGTCTTCGAAAAGGAGCTGCCAGCACTGAGCAAAAATCGATTGTCTTTGATGTAGTATGCATAGCTTGGTTGAGTTAGACATCAACACGATTGTGCTCCACACAATTGATCCACACCGGCACAATACTCCGCGACGGGTTAGACCAGGTCCAATACTGTCACTTTTGCAGGATGTTATTTTGAATTCTGAGATTTATTGTTGTCTTCGTTTAGCGTTTTTCGAGAGTGACACCTAGGGTGTTGAATGTTTATTGTGACCAAGAAGTTTGTCTTTAAGGTAGATTTTAAGTTGGTAATTTTTCCCCTGTTGTTTAGGTGGAAGTACATCTTGGTGGCATTCGGCTGCAATCTCCAATTGCGGAAATATCTCCCCAGGGTAGCCAGGTTAGTTAGTAAAATTTGCTCAGTAGTCTCCTATTCTTTATGGTTTGTAGCAACTGCCCAGTAGTGTGCGTATCAGAATTTCTTTGATTGTGAGAAGACGAAAAAGATTTCCATACATGCCAAGTGATACAACTGCTGCAGTAGATGACCACGTCATGGTGAAGAGTGTACCACAGCATCAGACCACACACAATTACTGTCGTGCAGCAGATCTATCCCTTTTTTATTTCAGTTTTTGAGTGTCCGAAAATTGAGAAATATATAAAATGAGACGTTTTTCCACTTCCGCCACGAGCAAAAAGTTAAGTTGCTGGTCATGTATCCTGCTGGAACACTTAGAACTGGAAACTAAAATCACTTGACGACATGCGAGTCGACTGGTGTCTGGTCGCCGTGAGTGGCGTCAAATTTGATTACATAGGAAATGACTCAAAGTGAACTGGTTAGTAATGCGCCTCACTGAGCTCTTTTTCAGTATTGGTATGAAAACGGCAATAAAGCGCATAACTTTTCTTGGATGAGCAAATATGTCTGGAACTTACAACTTACAACAAAAAACAAAAATGCTTGGATGACGACGGAAGTTTTTAAAACTTAGTTTTTGGCAAATTCGTTACAAACATCTCAATTTACATAAAATGGTTTAGACTAAAATTGTCTAATTCTAATATTGTTAGTAACTCAGAGAAGCATAGTGTCCCTTATTTAATACTTTTAAAGAGTTGTTTCAGGTAGAAGTGGTCCAGTGAGACGCAATGGTCGATCCTTCTCGTTACGATAAAGTCGTGAACGTTAAACGTTGGATCCTTCTAAATGTTATTCGCATAATCTTAAATGTTTAATGATATCTTTCGAACATAAACTTTTTATTTCTTTGAATAAAACCACATTTTGTAAAGATTTTCCGGCGATATTTCTTTAGAAATAATTTTATTGATTCCCCGACATTGTTTCCGTCCCTTTCGTTCAAATTCGACCAATACGATTGGGTAAAGTTAACCGTCAGTATTACGCGTCGTTCTTCGTACTGTCGTTGTGCTGATCGTAGTTTACGCGTATTACGATTAATACAAACGACAAATTGTTTTAAATAAATACAAAGAGCTATTGATCACTATTGATAACGTGATTGTTAAAAATGCGTCAACGTTCTAGCACTATCTGGAAGTATTTCGATTTGGTTAAAACAAATACAACGGAGGATAATGTTTACGGCGAATGCAGACATTGTTCGAAAACGTTTGATACTCGAAATACAACCAGCATGTTTTTACATTTAAAAGCGAAACATGAAGTCGAATACCTCAAAGCTTTGGATGACCGTAAGAGCAATCCTATACGAAGAAACAAACGGCATTACGTGTAAGTATTGATAATTATTTGTGGTTTTATTGGAAAAAAAAAGATTTTTTAGCGCAAAATATCGAAAAGCCCTACCTGAAAAAGAAAAGAATGTTGAAGCAGAAGTAATCTTGACAAAGGAAGAGCCAATGATATTTTGTGAAGCCGAACTTCCCATTAATACTATCAATAATATTTCTAGTAATAATGGTAACAAATTAACTGAAGTTTGTCGTTCATCTCCTGTTCAGTTACGTTTATCTGATAATAATTGTGATCAAGCTAATAGTAATAATATAAGTGAAAATGAACTTAATGCAAATAAATCTTGCAAACACAACGAGGTAAATAATATTTTGCCTGGTATGTCTTTGGATTTAAGATTTATAAAAGAAAACATTTTGAATAAAAATAATTATTTCTTCTTGTCTATTGCGGCTGAACTCGATCTTTTACCAGACGACGCTAAAGATTTAATTAAAACTGCAATTTGGCGAATTATTTATGAAGTTAAACAAGCAAGAAGATCTAACATCCAATTGTCATTATCTAACTTATTGAAATAAATGTACTTAGTATTAATGTTAAAATGATTTTATTAAAGCTTTTTGACAAAAATTTTTTGATATTTAAATTTTAGAAACTTTAAACCTAATTTGTAATTAATTTTTTAAAACGTTTACATTTTCGCAAAAAATCATAAGCAATGGTACGCATAACACTACGCATCAGTTCCTCTATTAACAGTATCTAACTAGTCTTCTATTAGCAATATTATTTTTCTGTAAGCAATATCTAATCTTCTACAATCAGGAAATAATTTTCAGAAAGCAGTATCTAATTTTGTGTTGGCAATATACAGAATGATTTGTAACATACGGAACAGACTAAAAAGGTAGGTACATACTAGGGGTCAAACTGAAAAGATTTGCTTAATAATGTTTTGTTAAAAACTTAATAGTTACATAGATATCGCATGTTAATTTTTTTAAATAAAAATATTTATCAAAGTCATCCTTATTTTTGAAGGAGCTGTAAATGTAGACAATTTATTGTTTCAGTAGTTTTATTATTTTAGATAATACGTAATTTGTTAAAAGTAATAATAGATGTTTTATATCGTTGTGATTATTAAGTTATGGTCAAAACATTATTAAGAAAATATCTTCAATTTGGCCCTTAGTACCTACCTTTTTAGTCTGCTCCGTATGTTATAAAACCCTGTATAGTTTTCTGTAAGCAATATCTAAACTTAAACACAGCAAAATAACAAAAAGTTGAATTTTTATTATATCTGACTCTTGTTTAGTCACATTTCAATTGTTGTGGTGTATTATAATTCGTTTTCTTTTACGCATTGCAAAGAAAAAGATCCAGAACGTGCAAAACCTCAAAATAATGAGAAAATAATTCAATAATAATACAAGCATCCGCCACAGAGGATTGATTATTCATCATGGAAATCGGAATGCCGTAATTATCACTTCATTCAAGTATTATTTTTTCTACAAGTACATTTATTCTTGACGTTTGATTTCTTTTAATCAAACGCAATAAGTTTTCTTTCACTATTGATAATCAGGTTAGCTTCATTACTAATTTCCCGAAATTTTTTACTTTTCATAACAATTCCATTTTTGTTTATTTGGCAAATATTTCATCTATGATATTGAATTGGAGTTTGACAAAATAATTTCAATACTTTAGAATAACGTTTAGATTCGAGTGATTTGGTTTTATATCATTCAAATTTAAACGAGTTAACAAAGTAGATTATACTTTATTAGACATATGTATTTACTGTAGTAGGGACACCCACCCTGCTATTCTAGAGTCTGACAATAGCAAATAGCTTTCCAACAAAATTACTTAAACTTAAAAACATATTGATCTACTTTAAATGTGCAGAGAAGTCTAGAAATTGCTAACAAAAACATTGAAAACATGCTAACTATGTGAATATAAGATATTTGACATTGGAGTGAGAATATAAGATTTGTGCAACTCATGAAAAAAACAAGGTTTTTCACAATGGTATGAAGCAAACTCCTTATAACTCTTCTTGGCTTTAAAGAAAAGGTAGTACTATCGTAATGAAATTATTTTACACGGCACGTCAAAACTGAAGAAGATTTATGAAAAATTATACAGGATCTTGATGCGATGTGGAACTGTGTAAAATAATCACGCAACCCTCAGACAGAAAATTTCCTTCAATATCTATAAGGATTTTGATAACACTAAAAATATGTTAGATTTTACTTCTATTGCTTTACAAATATTATTTATTAAACTTACTTGTTACTATCTTCAAAAAATAAACTGAGCACCTTTACTTCGAATGGTTACAATTAGCCACACTGATATTGGTGACAAGATCGCGCAACAACAATTTATTTATCAACATTAACGGTAGGGGATACATTCAAGGTTCGAATCTTTCAAAGTTAAAATAAAAAAAAAGTTAAGTTAGGCATTGACGTTCACTTCTATTTACCGGTTGTCGAACGTCCGAAGGTTAAGGTCACTTCGCGTGGCCTCAATCTTCTAGATATTCTTGGAAATAGTCAAATTGAAAATCTTTAAATAATTTTTGAAAATATTTCGAAAGTCCTTGTTAAGAGCGGATATATGGAAATCTTCGGATATTCCTTCCTAAATCTTCAGAAAAGCTTAAAAAATACATTTTTCCATTTTCAAGTTGAAATTCTTGCTATAAACTTCTAAACCCCAACCGACATAAAGAATATTTCCAAATCCTTCCAGGATTCCAGAAACCGTTCAAAATTATCCTAAAGATTTTGAAGGATTGAAAGAAATTATTAGAAATCTTTGCAAATATGATGCATTTTAAAGTCAGTATAATTCATTCTTTATAAGTCAGTTAATATTTCAAAAGTCTTAATATAGACTTTCAATATTTCAGGAAATGGATATACAGTCGATTCCGCTTAATTGGGACACATCGGGACCGAGCCATTTTGTCCCAATAAAGCGGCTGTCCCTATAAACCGAAGTATGCATAAATTAAAGTTTCCATTTCGTTCTTTGAAATTTGTCCCAAATAAGCGGCTGTCCCAATTAACCGGTGTCTCAATTAAGCGGAGTCGACTGTATATAAAAATATCTGGAAAACACAATATAAGTTGATTTTCTTATAAACAATATAATTTCATTGGCAATAAGAGATTGAAATTAAACAATATACCTATTTAAACCGGTCGTTTCATGAAGCTTTGATACCTTTAATGCGGTAGAGGATATAGATCCTTCACGTTGCACACAATACTTCTGATTTATGAACTGCCTAAAACCGTATAATTTGAAAAAAAAACGTTTCAGTTATTTTGACACATGATAATTAATGAATAAATTATCTCAATTTAAAGTAAAGTAATCTTTTGAGAACGAACAATTATCTTCAGTCTCAATTGTATTAAACTTCCAAGCGAGCTTTCTCTTTGTTACAGAGAGTCGTAAGCGATGGTGGTGTAATGGTCAGCATAGTTGCCTTCCAAGCAGTTGATCCGGGTTCGATTCCCGGCCATCGCATTACTATTTTTACTGTAACATTTTAGGGAATTTGTTTATTTTTAAAATGTAACCTCAAAGAGTTACAATATAAAGATAATTTTGTATTTTCATAGATTCATTATTTATATTAACTGGAGTGTCTTACACAGAGCTTCTTTGCATTGTTATATATATCAAACAAAAATATAGGGAAGGAATGTGTAATTCTAAATAGGTAAGTAAGAAACAAGGATGGACATAAGTCCTCTACTTGTTGTGCAACAAAATCAACTTGCGGTGGTAAGGTAACAGGTGGCAAAAAACTAAATTCTTACAGATCAAGATTTAGTTGTGATGTATAGTATGGTGAATATAGTTTGGAATTATAACACCAAAAAACAAGTTGTGGCGATCTAAACTACGTTTATTTAGGATCTCCTTACGCGGCATTAAGCCATACTTTAGAACACGAATATCATCATGATAGGTTTCAGAAATGGAAGTACTCTGCGTAGGTACTCTGCTAGTGGTGTAAATGAGGGGAAACGACACAAACTCCTATTCAGTCACTGTGATTATGTTTCACTTTGGAACGCCATTAACTGGTCCAGTGTGCAGTTTGAGTATGAAATAACTTATTAAATATTATGATCATTTGGGTCAAATATAATATACATAGGTGTTAATATGGAAATTTTACTGGAAACAGAATAAAAAAATTAAATTCTAAAAGTTGTTTAATAATTACTCCTTTTAAAACAGTTTGCTATATTTTGCTTATTACTGTTCTAGGAATGTATTTAAAACAATTAAAAAAAAGTTAAAAAAGTAAAATCAATTACAAAAATTCCATTTCACGTTCTATACCAACAAACTTCAATTGCTCAGTAGGTCCATATCTATAATCAAAGAACAATTCTTCACCAGGTTGAATAGCCCGTTTAGCAAAAATTCCAATCCTGTGATCGCCATTAACCATCATAACTTTAGCATAACAATTTGGATTAATTGAATGATTCGCGAAACGAATCTTATTCCCTTTTCTTGTAGCATCAACAACAAAATCTAAGTGCAAATACAAATGATAAAAAATGCAATCAATATAAAAAGTAAAGCAATTAAGTTTAATTATAATACTTACCATTATTTAAGTTAAAAAGAAAGCTACACATGTACTTATCATAAACTTTTCCTCTCCTATCTGCTTCATCTTGAGAGATTATCTCACCGCAATATTCAGAAATAAACTCATTCTTTTGAGCGCTATCTTTCAAAAAGATACCCCAACCAGCTACATCAGACGGTGCCATTAATAAATGTTTATCTAAAACAAAAAAATTATACTTTAATATTTAAAACTAACATCCTTGTTTTGATTACTTACGTAATCCACGTTGCACGCTAACATTTTTACAACTAATTTTCGTAACGTCAAATTGATCGGCTCCGCAAGTTTGGCAAAGATCCGGATCGCATTCTCGCACGGCTAAATAACAAGGACATTGTTTCGTGTTGCATTGGGCTTTACAACGACAACCCGGAAAACGATTTTGACAATCGGAACTGCATTGACAAAATTTTTCGCAAAAGTTTTGAGCGCTAATACACGGACAATGCGCGTCGCAAGGTTGTCCAGGATGATCGCAAGGTGTAAAATTGTAAACGTGATTACTGCTCGAATCCTTTTTCAATTGTATTTTGCGACAGTGCATAGACCAAAGTCGATGTTTCTTCTTCTTTTTACTTGGAGGTGTATAATCCTTCATAGATTCTTCAATCTGATGGATGTCATCAGCTTCTTTTTGAGCAAAATGATAAACCTAATTTGGTGGAACAAAAAATTAATTAAGTTAAGTATTTTTTTTGATTTATTATCAAGTTAAATTAAAAAATTAACCTGTTGGCATGTTTTGGTTAAAATAATTTGAGCTATAGCGCAATAATTATTTAAAAACACTTTATGTAAAGCCCGAAAAAGGCTTTGATCAGATCCCGTCCATTCACAATGATCATTATCGCCCATTAAACCCAAAAGGCTAAATGATGTCGTAGTTGATACAGGGTTTCCATCGCCTGAATCTAAAATGAAACAGTTTTAGTTTATTAAGATTTCATCTTAATAAACAACCTTTATTATATTTGTTACTATCATTACTATCTTCAGAACTTGCTTCGTTGCCAGAGTCAACACTTTGTTGTTTACAAATCTTCCTTGGATTTGAAAGTTTGCTACAATCACCGTCTTTTATATTTTTATCTTTTACCTTTTCACTTTCATCTTGTTCTTGTTTTGCTAATTTTTCTTTTACACCATCCTAACACAAAAAGTTAAATAGTTTTTTACACAAAATTTAGAGTAAAAAAACACACCAAGTTCATATAGCAGTTGGCACCACACGGTTCATTAAAAGGTTTCAAATCAGGTCCACGCCGTTTTTGCAAATTTGGACCAGGATGACAAGCTTGTAAACCTAATAAATGTAACCTTTAATACTATCACCACCAAGACAACGAAACCACAAAAAATCATGATAAAAAAATAGAATGAAATGACACCTATTCTACATGATATAATGACCATCATGAACCACGGTGAAAGGTCATAAGACCCTTACCTTGGTGTCCTTTAGAGCAGCATAACAAAATATTGAAACCCGAAAGTCAGGTTTTTACAAAAATAAAAAATTTTAAAATTCAAGATTTTTTATTTTATTTATTTAAACTATTTTTTTTTGTAATTAAGTTCTTTTCGTCTTTTTTTCTTAGAAAAATCAGTTAGTACTTACGATGTAAAAAGCAATCATATTTGAAACAACGTCTACAAAAAAGAGTGTGAAATGAATGAAGAGTTTGTTCTCTTGGCACAGATTCTGCAGTTGGTCCATCAATATTCGGGGTACATTCAGGTGGTAAAGCATTTGGGTCCATTCTTTCCGTAAGCTCAACATATCTAAAATAATTTAATATGATAACCAGTTTTAGATTAATATAATCTTAACCTTTAACTGTGGACAAGGGGTCTCACAGAATTTTTGTGATTTTCAATTTCTAAGATTTATAATATCCTCTCCTTTCGCGCGCTCGAGCGTCTCACCAGCTTCGAATTTAGGAAGAAAGTTACGTCGATTGGAGTGTATTAGATAAGTTATGACTTTTCAAAGCTCTGAGGGAGTCTACGAGACCCCATGTCCACGTTTATCATCAATAGCAGTCAAATTTGTTTTAGATAATTTCATTTATTATGGAAGAAAACAATGAACCAAGTTCATCTGGTGTAAAAATAATATTGTCAAAAAAGAGTAATCCACCGCCAAGAAAAATTTTGCGAGTACACTTTTCGAAGAAACCATAAATGAAATGTTGTTAGATTCGGATTTATCGGGCGATGAGGAAGAAGGCATATAGCATATATGCATATGACGGAGAGCTAAATCCTCGTCATGAGAGTGATGAAGAGAGTGAGACGCATAAAATAAGAGATGAAGTGATTGACTATGAAAGCTCGAGCTGCAGTTCTGATAATAATGTGCCACTTTCGGAGCTAACAACAAATTAGTATTATTGCAAAAATCGATACAAGTCGATTAAAAAGCCACCATCCAATCGGATACCAACACCCCAACATAGTTTCGCGCTCATCTTCTTCAAGAGTGACTGCCCTGGATAGTAATGACGAAATTTTAAACTGGAATATGTAATATCAAAATATCGGAGTACATATGAAGTTTGCTCACAAAGACAGGCCCGAATTGAAAGACTTAGATTCGATCGAGTTGAATGCTATTTTGGATCTACTGTTCTCCTCGGCTTTCTTGAAGTCTAATAACGTAGATACGACTTATCTATTTGCAATGAGTGGCACAATACTTTTATTCTGCAATCATGCCTATGCTTTGATAATCCAACTGATCGTATTGAAAGGCAAAAAAATGATAAGGTAACAGCTGCATCATATATTTTTGATAATTTTGTTGCCAACTCTCAAAAACTTCATGAATTGGGTAGGTGTGTCACTGTAGATGAAATGCTGGTTAACACGTTGACTGCCATGAGAAGCATAACTTAAAGCATGGCAAAATTTCCACAATAGCCACGAGAAGCAACAGTTGATTCTCTTGCAGGTTTACTTGCAAGAGAATCAACTGTCAATGAATCAGCGGTTGTTTCTCAGATTGTTATAACGGTTATGCAGTTCAAAATACATGCCTGTAAGAACTGGAAGCTATAATTGGCCTGTGCCTATGTGAATCGAGTGTTGATTTTTAAGGCCTGAAATATTAGTAATTGAATTTCCATTGAAAGACAAAAAAACTGAATAAAAAATCTTATTTATAAACATAATACAAAATTCAAATACATTCTTTGACGTGCAGAAATAATTTATTTATGAAAAATTACTTGAAAATATAGAAAAATGTCAGGAGTATTATTTTGTACATGTATGGACTACATTTCAGTTGGGTGAACGGTTTAGCCACAAAAAAATATTTTCTAAATCTCCACAAGCGTGAATGAGTGATATAAGGTAACACTAATAACGTTTTTTTAATAGTTGGCTAGGTATAATTAATTTTAAAAACAAAAACAGTTTGTCACTTAAACTTGACAGCGGTATTCATATTTTTTATTTTGCGTTTTATCTTTGATTCATAATAAATGTTTAAGGTCCTCTAGCGGCTAAACTAAGCAATTTTTTATATAGATGAGTTAAATCATCATAATTTTAGTCAAGGTACGTGTGGTCTTGCGTTGTACACGTCATTTCGGGACACCTGTATAGTTTGATGCCAAACTTGTGCCTTTTCTTACTAATGTATTGGCGAAAACTTAGACGTCCTCTAAAATGTACTAAAGTTTCGTCTATACACACATTTACTTTGGGAACAATAGGCTTTTGGATATTTTTAATTCATATATTTGCCAAAGGAAAAATTTTTTGTAACTTATCTTCAGTTATTACTTCATTATTATGAAAATGCCTTGTTTTCAGCAATTTGTTAGCGTACAGAACACTTCTGGATCAGTATGATTTAATAGACGGAAACTGGCAGAGGCTCATCCAAATCAAAATTCCAATGAAACATTCAATTTCCTCTTTAGTTGTGTCATGCCATTCGTCAATCTTGGCTTTGGGTAATTTTTCAGCATGTCTACACTGGGCTGCATATCTGTTGGTCTCTGTTACCATATGAACCTTTATCAAAATATTCACCATGTATTTCTTCCAATACGCCAACATTTGTTTCGGTAAAATGAAATCATTTTAGATTTATTCCAATTACGTCGTTATTCCACTATCACACTTGTTCGCACTATTTTCATCACTACTTTCTTGCATATTTGCTTGAATAACATCATTTATCGTATCTGACGCGTCTTCAGTTGTAGCGGATGTGCTTGGCTTATTTCCATTTCGTGTTTTTTTTCTAGCAGATTCATCATCAGAAGAATAATTAGAACTTCCGGGAACAAATTCATTACCAGAGTCTTCAAATGGTTCATTATCGTCTTCGTCTGAAAGACACTCCTGCCACAATTTGTGTTGTTCTTCGTAACTCAATTTTACAGACACTTTTTATACCAAAAATTAGGCACTACCACCTGAATTCAACATATATCATCCACGAACTGTAAACGACTAAACGTACCATTCATATAGCACTGCATTTTTGCATGAACAGACTTGTTTTCTTATAAATCACGGTATGACGCACACGGCCAGAACGGCAATTTTTATTCCGCGTGAATCGTATACTGCTTCTCGATTGAAAAGAATAAAAAACATGAGTTTATGATAAAAAAAATGATTTGTAATTTACTAGCCTATTTAATTTTAAAATTGTTCCGGTCAGAATGGATAGACTTTTAGTGACTATTTCGGCAGTCAACGTGTTAAGTTTCGTGGGCGAANACAAATTAGTATTATTGCAAAAATCGATACAAGTCGATTAAAAAGCCACCATCCAATCGGATACGAACACCCCAACATAGTTTCGCGCTCATCTTCTTCAAGAGTGACTGCCGTGGATAGTAACGACGAAATTTTAAATTGGACTACAGGCCCGAATTGAAAGACTTAGATTCCACCGAGTTGAATGCTATTTTGGATCTACTGTTTTCTCGGCTTTCTTGAAGTCCAATAACGTAGATACGACTTACCTATTTGTAATGGGTGGCACAATAAAAAAATGATAAAGTGACAGCTGTATCATATATTTTTGATAAATTTGTTGCCAACTCTCAAAAACATCATGAATTGAGTAGGTGTGTCACTGTAGATGAAATGCTGGTTAACACGTTGACTGCCATGAGAAGCGTAACTTAATGCACGGCAAAATTTCCACAACAGCCACGAAAAGCAACAGTTGATTCTCTTGTAGGTTTACTTTTAACAGCCAAATGAATCAGCGGTTGCTTCTCAGATTGTTATAACGGTTATGCAGTTCAAAATACATGCCTGTAAGAACTGGAAACTAGAATTGGACTGTGCCTATGTGAATCGAGTGTTGATTCTTAAAGCACGAAATATTAGTAATTGAATTTACATTGAAAGACAAAAAAAACTCCATAAAAAATCTTATTTATAAACATAATACAAAATTCAAATACATTCTTTGACATGCAGAAATAATTTTTTTATGAAAAATTACTTGGAAGTATAGAAAAATGTCAGGAGTATTATTGTGTACACATATGGACTACAAAAAAGCAACTAAAATAAGTTTTTATAGCATTCTACACAACGATATCTTGACTGAGTGGCCTTGGTTTGCGCTTGTTTTCTGTCAGTTTTTGCAAGTCTCTCGTGACAAACCACACATCTACGACGGTTCTTAGTACCCACGTCTTCTAAAACATGCTCGCTGCATGGTTGTAGTGTTGAGTTGCGAAAAACATCCAATTTGCAACTTCTTGATGCAAAATATGACCATTCACCAAACCAGCACCCAAGAGCCAAGGTTAGGTCAATGGCCGGTTTTCTATACCATTTTACCTCTCTACGTAAAGAAGTTCTGTATGTCTTTATTTAGTCAGATAAATCAATATATGTTTATGTTATTATGTTTGTTATAATCAGAGCCGCGACGTTGTCGGGCAACTCATTGGCGGCTCGTCGTCTTACTGTAGAGACTCGGACCACATGGACCACATCACGCCACATATAGTATACCACGCCACTGGTTGAGTTTTAGTCGGACAATCGGCCAAACACGTATTGAATGCTGCACCGCAGAGAACCCTCCCAAATTTTACATGGGCCAGCATTCAACCAGTATCGTTACGTTGCGGCACATCGATGTGCTCGATAGAAGCATGTTACTACTACGCTATAACCCGTTCGCTGCTCTATACAGATGGTGACATCAACAGCCCGAAACGTCGTGGCTCTGGTTATAATCAATAACAACCGCTGGTTTTTGATTTTCATTGCCGTAATGAGTGACTGTTTTCAGTTCAGCGGTGTGATTTGTGCTGAGAGTGCAAACATCATGTTTATCCTTCCACTTTTGAATGACTACACCTGTGTTGCTTTCTGCTGCAACAGTTTCTCCTTTTTGTAGCTTTATATACAGAATGTGTTTTGGATTATATTTTCTGTTGGTACTCAGTGTTCCAACTAAGTGGGTATTCCTCTTCTGTATTGATACGCTAACGAAATACTAGTGTAATAATTATCCATATAGATTCTAACAGGTTGTCAGCCAAAGTAAGAACTACTTTTTCAGAAGAAGGTTGGCAATAAACTTGAAAATTATATGTGTATCCTTTATCGAGACATAGTTTATATAGTTTGATGCCTTTAATGTATTGGCAAAAACTTAGACGTCCTCTAAAAGGTACTAAGGTTTCGTCTATACACACATTCTCTTTCGGGACAATAGGTTTTTGAAAATTCTTAGTTCATAAATTTGCCAAAAGAGAAATTTTTTGTAACTTATCTTCAGTTATTACTTCATTATTATGAAAATGCCATGTTTTCAGCAACAACTGGAATCGATTACGAGGATTTAGATCTTTGATTTTGTTAGCGCACAGAACACTTCTGGACCAGTACGATTCAATGGACGGAAACTAGCAGAAGCTCATTAAATCAAAATTCCAATGAAACATTCAATTTCCTCTTTATTTGTGTCATGCCATTCGTGAATCCTGACTTTGGGTAATTTTTCAGCATCTCTACACTGGGCTGCATATCTGTTTGTCTCTGTTACCATATGAACCTTTATCAAAATATTCACCATGTATTTCTTCCAATACGCCAACATTTGTTTCGGTAAAATGAAATAATTTTAGATTTATTCCAGTTACACACTTGTTCGCACTATTTTCATCACTACTTTCTTGCATATTTGCTGGAATAACATCATTTATCGCATCTGACGCGTCTTCAGTTGTAGCGGATGTGCTTGGTTTATTTACATTTCGTATCTATTTTCTAGCTGGTTCATCATCAGAGGAAAAATTAGAACTTCCGGGAACAAATTCATTACCAGAATCCTCAAATGGTTCATCACCGTCTTCGTCTGAAAGACACTCCTGCCACAATTTTTGTTGTTCTTCTTCGTAACTCATTTTTTACAGACACTTTTTATACCAAAAACTAAGCACTACCACCTGAATTCAACATATACCTTCCACGAACTATAAACGACTACACGTACCATTCATACAGCACTGCATTTTTGCATGAACAGACTTGTTTTCTTATAAATCACGGTATGACGCACACGGCCAGTATGGCTATTTTTATTCCGGGTGAATCATATACTGCTTCTCGATTGAAAACAATAAAAAACATGAGTTTATGATAAAAAAAATGATGATTTGTAATTTACTAGGCTATTTAATTTTAAAATTGTTCCAGTCAGAATGGATAGACTTTTAGTGACTATTTCGGCAGTCAACGTGTTAAGTTTCGTGGGCGAAATCATTTAATTTTCTATATGATGTACTTATAACCAGGTACAGTACGCTCAAAAGCGTATCATATTTTGACAAATTTTGCATAATTTTTTTTGGGGTTACACCAATAAAATTTATTTTTCCACACAATATTTCTCAGCTTAAAGCTGCTTTATGGTTGTAAGAATAACAAAATTTGAGTTGAAGAATCGATTTGTTTTTTAGATTTTTTCCCAAAATCTATTTTTGGACGGTATTTTAATTTCTGCAGTTTTTTCAAATTTATTTTTTATTACCAGGCTCAGCGCAATGGACATTGAACAATTGTGGCACGCAGCGCAACGCCAGCTTTTTGTGACGACGATCAAGAAAACACTGAAAGCTGCTAGGCTCGTTGAGCGACGACCAGTGTAGAAAGTATTATAATTCTACAAAAGGAGAAGTCGAAAAAACTGATAAGAAGTGTTCAATTTATACAAGCAGCCGACATACTAGAAAATGGGCACCTATGGTCATATTCTTTCGAGTTCTCGATTTAAGTGGTGTTAACGTCTGCATATTGCAAGGTTGTATAATCAATGCCAAACAAAAGGGTTTTTTTGAGAAAATTAGCACGTCTCAAGGATGCCAAAGGAACTAAAGTTAACGTTAGAGCATGTTCTGGGTGATGATAAGCGTACAGACGATCTCCAAGCTAAGAATCTGGACAGAATAAAAGAAGAACATGTTGCACATCTATGTCCACAAAGATTACACAGGAAGACAGCATGTAGATGTGTGACATGCAATAAGCCAATATGTCTGTAATGTTCAAAGCCCCTTTGTAAGGAATGCCAATAATTTTGGTAATATTAACCTATCTATCCATCTTTTTTGTTTTTTTTTTTTAATTGACTATTATTAAAATTAAGAAAAAAGTAGATTTTTGTAAATGTTACTTTATAAAGTCTAAACAAATTAATGTTATCCCATGTTAAAGAAGATTAAAATGCTAAGTCTGTTAATTTTGATAACAATTTATGGTTCCTTACAATAACAATTAACCCTTTCGTTACTAAGAGCGTACGCATACGTTTTTGTATATGTGGGCTTGCTATATGATCTTGAAAATACTCCGTAACGAAAGGGTTAACTATTTCAACATTAAATCTTTTGACTTAAGACTTTATTCAAAGACCCATTCATAGTCTTTGTTTATCAATTTTACTAATAATTGCTGTCAATGTGTCCCCACACATATAGGAGTCTGTGAAACCCCACATCCAAGCTTGTGGTACAAAAAAGGAATGTCCATACTTAAATGTTAACACTGAGCTTTGGCCCTAAGCGACCTTGGCTTACTTTGTCAAAAGATCTATAAGCCTATCTGATAAAGTCAAGGCCACAAACGGCCAAAACACCACATATTAATGCACAGTTTCAGGTTGATATAATATTAATTATTGAGCCTCAGTCACAAGCAACCTTGGCTTAATTAGTCAAGGGATCTACAACTTTATCTGATATATAAAGCTATGATATGATAACCAGTTTTAGATTAACATAATCTTAATCACTGAGCCTCAGCCACAAATGATCTAGACTCAGTCAAAAAGATATGAAACAACACACACAGTACACTTTTGGTTAATTATCATTTTTGTGTTATAAAAGGATTAATACATTAATTACTTTTCTCTTAACTCTTCCGGACGACCCTTATCAGGAAACTGAGATGAAATGGCTTGAAAAATTGTAAAAATAGGAAATTCTAAATCCTCTTTTTTATCTTCCTTATCATCCTTATTTCTTTCTTTTTTATCTTTCTCTTGAAACTGCATTAAAGCATGAACCAATTCCACAAATAATTGATCATCTATAAACCCTGTTTCTCTATCCCCATGAACTTTTCCATCATAATTCTTTATTAATTCTTCAATAAACGTTCCATCTTGATCAAGAATCTCATCGCCCATATAAGGAATATTATGCAAAACAGTTTCATCTTCAACCATAAAGTTTTGTTGAATGGGAGCCCATGTATACATTGTAGGAATGGGTGTAACTGCATTGATAATTTTAATTGGCGTTACCTGAACATCACCCTCATTTCCAACAACTTCCGCTTTCTTCATACATGTTACGTGAACGGGATGATCGAGAAAATTCACCCAAACCGATTTGCTTTCCGTCCAACGTTTTTGTTCTTCGATGAGGATATCGGTCATTTTATTGCGATTGTGATTCCAAGTTACTTTTACTTCATCGGCACGTTTATAGCGTTTAATCTGTCGTAAACGGACGTATTCTTGCTTTACGCGTCTTTTCCACTCGGCACTTACTTTACTTTTTGACATTATTGCGAAGAACAAGGAAAAATGTCTGTATTTTTGCCGCTTTTTAAATGCAATTTGTTCGCGTGGGGATTGGAAATATTGAACTGTCAACACAAGAACTGTCAGTTTATATGTACATAACCTCACTAATTTTTTGTAGATTCCTGCATTTTATATTTAAGAAGAGAGAAAACTAATTATACAAGTTATACAAACGTTTTTTAATTGAATAATTAGATGTTAAGTTGTATTAATTTTTAATTTTACACTGATCTTTTCCATTTATTTCCTGTATAATTAAGTTTTAATAAAATTAATAGAAACGATCGACGCGAAAGAGATGGCGCTAGTTTGAAGTTTAAAATTTAAAATTTATTATTCGAATTTTATTATTTACTTTTTTGTATTAAATTTATATAACTTAACGTCTTAACCCATTTGTATCATAAGCTCAGATATGCGCTGATTTACTACTTTTATAATTATTTATTTATTTATCGTTGTGTTAATGTGTTATAGGATCCTTTTTTATCAACATATGTATATGTTAGCCTTTTTCTAATTTCTAAACATTCATTAACTGTTTTCAGAGTTAACATATTATAGCTGGAAAGGTGTTTTCGTTATTTTCATCACTGTCACTGTATTCATGCTTATCATCATTTAGCTATGTCTTCTTCTGTAAGTTCAGAACCATGTCTATTAAGTAGCTATTCAATATCTGACAGTAGCCTGGACATCGTTCTGTAAATTCTCATCATCATGCTATGATGTGACAACGTTTAGCCAGATTTTCCTCCAGCAACCAATTCAATACTTTGTATATAGTCAGCAATGTTGTAATTTTTCCAACATTGTGGTAAAGTTAGGTCAGTATCACTAGAAGAGGAAGATAAGTTGTATTACCTCTAAAACGCAAGTGGTTTCTTTTTATCTCTATTTATCTCTCTAATGGTTTGCTGATAAATCCCCCGAAGCATTTGAACAAAACAGAAAAGTAAGGCGGTCTTTAGCCACCTTAAAACCAGTATTCCAAAGAATTCCGGTCTCATCTGCATTCTGGATACAGCTTTGCTGCCACATGACCGGCGAAATCAGACTCTCTTAACACTATCACTAGAACTAACACTAGACCTAGAGCAATGCAAAAAATGCCAAGAAATTCAAATCAATTTATTTTTTATTAATCTCTTTAAACTCATCTTTTTTCAAAATTCAAAATGACATAATATTTATTCAAACATCACCTAACAAATTCCGAATAACCACCCTCGGATTAATAATTTTAAACTTTTGCGTACACTCCATGAGTTCTTCAAATTGGATGCTATTTAAAAATTCGTGCATCAAAACGATATCGTCAAATTCTGGATTTTTAAGTTCCTCATACACATTCTCAAGTTTTTGACGAAATGTGATTTCGCCAACGTTTTCAACGATAGCGCGCCAAGGCATGGTGGCCATTAATACCGTAAATATATGGTCGTAAAGTAAGTAGTACACCAACGGCGGATTTTTGTACGCCTCGTGACCTATTTCTCCATAATTCGTAAATTCATCTTGATAAAATTCGCCTTCGTGTTCACTGTCAAAATAATCAACGGGGCCGTATCGTTTGATTAAGCGATCTAAGTATTCCATACTTTCTGAAAAAATTCCAACATTTGGTGGAGGCTGTTGATTGGGATCATCGGGATCTATAATGTCAGTTACAATACAACTATCGCATTCATGCACGGTTGTGTCTATAAGTGATATAATAATATCAGTAGCTATATCATGTTTTTCCTTCTCTTGTAATTCAAACAGTAATTCCTCTTCGAGTTGTTGACGTTTGCGTTCGCGTAGTGTTTCAACAAATTCCTGGCCGATTTCCATTTGATGGCAAACTAGTTTTCCAATCGAAAGAGCTAAAGCTTTAGCTACCCCTTCTATTGTTGTTGCTCCTTTACAAAAACCCAATAACAGTGCTGTATAATTTACTGTTTCTGCATCTAATGCATATATTCGAAACAAAATCTGAAACAATTTATTAAATTTAAAATAACGAAAATTGTTGTAACTTTTGTAACTTCAGAGTTCTCTTAAAAACTTAAAAAACAGTTTCAAAATTTATTTTTGAGATATAATTGCAAAAAGAAAAGACTAAATAAAAATACAATAAGAACAATTACTATTCTGTAATTGCAATGTAGTGTTAGCAAATTGCTTTTCTGGTTAAATTTTCCACACGGGCGTCAAGGTTCCGTGGATGTTAGATAGTTTTATCCTATTTGTTCAGCTACACCTAGAAATCGATCATTTTGGCCTAAATCAAGATCGATACTGCAGAAAACGTTACTGTTCTTTTACAAGGTGCCCAAAAGAATGAGGTGTTAGGTCTGGAGATCATGAATAGCTTTTACTTTGCTAGGTAAAATGATTAACTATATTAAATGTTTAGTGGTAAACCTATATGTTAACGCTTCTATAGCAATCCTTAACAATTTCTAGGCAAAATGGGGAAGGTGGTGTTAAGCATGAAAAGAATTTTTATTCAAGAACCATTGCGACGTAACTAGAGAATCTGGAAGAGAAGGCAGAACGGGGAGTACCGGTGGGGACAGAAAAGATACATTGTTGGCATATGCAGATTGACTAGTGGTGGTAGCAACAAAGGCTAAAGAGTTGAAAGGGAATATGAAATCGATGGAGACATACTTTGAGGGGAAGGATTTCGAAGTGAATGTTGAAAAGACGAAGATTATAAAATTCTCCAAGGATGGGATTCTCCAAGATTGAACAGGGATAAATGGGAATGGAAGAGCGGAAAGGTGGAGGGGGTAGGAGAATTTTACCTTTAGAGCGGATAATGGTGTGGAGGCTCATATTAGGCAGCGAGTTAGAAAGGCAAGTAGATTATTGCGCCAGATATGGAGCTGAAGGGAACGAATATTTGGAAAAGAATTGTGCAGGCAGAAAATAATGTTTGATGGATTGGTGAGAAGTTTAATAGTGTGTGGAGAGGAAATATGGAGGTGGTAGGATCATAAGATGGTGTAGGAGATCCATAATGGACTCGGGGATATATAGTGAGAGGGGAGTTGAAGCTGGAGGAGTGATGAGGCTGGAAACAGGTAGAAGGGCGATAAAGTACGAGGATGGGCTGGTGCAGAAGAGCGACTTTAAGATTTTGGAAGAGTATTGGATTGAGATTAAGACAGGTGTGGGAGAGTATGAATGACAAGAAGGAAGGTAATATTATATCAGAGTAGAATACTCAACAACGGAAATACGAAGCAGGAGGAGTGAAGGGTCAACGTGGTGGTAGTGGTTGAAGTGTAATGCCATAATGTGGAAAATATAATGTGTCGTAGATAAAGTATGTACAACACCTAGTGAGAAGGATCCTGGTTTGTGCTCTCTTGGACTTTGATGGGATTTTATAACGTAATATCATAATCGATGGAAAAGTAGCTTGGGATAGATGGGTGAAATCAACGGTAATAGGTTGAACCTGTCAAATACTTGATTGAAGAACTATTTTTACTTCCGCAATTTTTAGCATACTCTTAGTTTTACTCGTACCTTCCCGCATCTCTATTCCGTATGTCATAATAGAACTTATGCAAGTTTTAGAAATTCTTATCTTGCTGTCCATTTGCATGTATAGATTGGCCCAAACGATCTTTCTTAAGTCTTTTGCTGGATCATGACTGCTGAAGATATCCAGTTCTAGATATTTTAACCGACTGACTTCTTCATTGGTCTTGCCTCTAAGTGCAAGTTTGCATCTAACTGGTTCTGTGGCGAATTTTTTTTGTTTTATCGGTAGATACAGTCATGTCTAGTTGTTGTCTTACTTGATAGAATTTAAAGAGCTATCATTAATGATCACCTTCCATTTCTGTCATTATTAGTATACACTGTATATATCATCTGTCTTCCATTACTGTATATATGATCTGCGTAGCATATCGTACTGACTTTATCGTTGCTCGTTCTACACTCCAAATTCAACCTCTTGTATAATTTTGTCCTTTATCAGGTTAAACAGGTATGGTGTTAAGCTGTAAACGAAGCAGATATAAAAGGGTTTGTTAAATTTTATTAACTTTTCTTTTTGCACTTTGATAATAAATAATGCGTCTTTTTGGACCTATTTTTGCTGAAACCTTTCTAAGACCTAGGAACTTTAACGCTTCTGTGCCAATCTTCAAGTATTGCTTCAGTTGCTCTTCCAGCTCTTCTTCACTAATTGTTATTTTCACCGTTGTTTTATAATCTTCTATTTTAGTTGTTTCTTCCGTACTATATAATTGTTGGAAATAACTCCCCCATGTTAGGGACTTTTATTGGTATTTTCTTGTTTCTGAGCATTTTCAATATTTTCTTCTGTGCTCCGTATAAGTCATGGTTCATGTCACTAGCAAATTTGTTCCAGTGATCTCTTTTAATGGCTTTGATTTTTGAGTTGATCCTATATCTACTAATCTCTTGTGTGAGCTTTTGCATGTTAGATAGCGTTTCCTTTTTATACTTGCGAGTTCGCTTACTTTTTCACTGAACTAAGGTTTGATATACATAATTTGTGGCTTTTATGTTAATTTTATGTATTCTTGTAGCATCGCAAGCAGTTTGTTATATACAAGTTTTAATTTGTTGGCACCAGCTTTCTGCTTCACATTTGTTTGTTATGTTTTGTTTCCATTTCTATGTATATTGATATCATTTTAATCTTGGTGGCTTATTCCAGGTGGTGTAACCTTGCCTGAAAACCTTTCTTCATTATTTGGGCTTGAGACTGGTAGTGGCAGCTGATGGACTACTCGAAAAAAAACTATCTAAAAAAACTTAAACGCAACAGAATAAAATGGTATTAGGTTGGCATACCTAGGCAAAACAGAAAATGAGTTTTTTCTCCAAAACGAATCATTTGGTACTAAACTGTACTTTTCAAATAATTGAACACCTAGTTAATGTATTGTGTTTTTTATGATTCACACCACGTAGTAAGTAGACGAAATGATACCTCTTGTAATTGAACATATAACTTCAAACTTTATAAATGGTGATATAATTGCTATTAAAATTACATTGGTTACATTTTCTTTAGTAGAAGTAGATTATAGATTAAACGAGCATAATCCAGTAAACAATAAAACAAGGGGATCTCTTTTAATTAAAGTAAAAAAGTTTGTTTTGAAGAATAAAAAAATCAAATTTATTACCTTCTTAATTTTTTTAAATCTATCAAAATCTTGTGGATTAGAGTTATCAAATTCCTTTTCGAACCAAAACCGTATAGAATCGTATTGGTAATCGTAAACAAATTCCTTTTTATCTTCGTCCAATTCTCGAAATTGTCGTCTCATATCCATAATTTCATCTTCACTTGGAAATTTAATACACAAATTGTACAAAATGAAATCTCGCCAATCAACTTTTTCAACGTTTCCATAAAACTCGTGACACAATCGATTCATACCTTTATATGACAATTTTCTCCACAATTCGGGTATTGTTGGAATTCCGCCATCATCGGGAATAAAAACTATCATATCTTGTAAAACAAATAAAAAAGCTTGTTCTGGAACAATTCCCCTTGGGGCATAATGAATCATTATTGTAACCAATTTTGTTAATTGGTCTATAGTAAAGCTATCAGGTTGTTCATATTCTGTTGTAATTTCTGTTGACATAGGCAAAGGATCTTCGAAAAGCATTACGTTTGGATCTATATAAAAATCTGGTCCTCGCAAAATTAATTGAGGTTGGATTGAAACTTCTTCTTCAACAGCTCGTGATATAACATCACAACAACTTTCTACGCTATCCATCTCTTTTTGATAACGTTCTTTAATATCATTATAAAGACCATGAAATGTATTTATACCACATGTGAACATATCCGTAATATCTTCATTATACAAAGAGAACAACATATTTAATCGAAGCAATGTTCGAAGTTTTTCGCCCTGTATAACAGCAGTCCATTCACTGAGTAATTTTGGAACTTGTTCGAGTACTTCAGGAGGGGGATCCGTAAATGTAACTCCTTTATCTTTACCTTTACCTTTACCTTTATCTTTACCTTTATCTTTTCCTTTTCCTTTTCCTCCACCAGGTTGAACTAAACCGCTATATTTTTTAATTTCTTTTAAACTCATATCTTCGTATGTTAGAGTTTTAGATAAAGCATTTTGAAAATCATCATTAATTGTATTTTGGTAAGGTGTTTCGCCTAATTCATAGTCAATATTGGTTAACATTTCTCGAACAAATATCTTATAATTTTCGGCGTTTGGAAAATCCATATAAGCAGTTAAACAAATTTGATTTAAAAAAACTTTGTCTAAAATTGCACATTGTCCTGGTATTTTCGTTATCATCACCGCATAATAATCGTTTAAAAGTTGCATAGTATCGCAACACCTATCAACTTCTAACTGCATAGCTGTTACATAGACGTTTGATAATTCAGAAGCTTGTTTAGCTAACCAATCTTGCAAAATAATATTTATTCGTTCTTGTTCAGCTTCTTGCATTCTTTGATCGCAAATTTCCCAAAGTTTTTCACGGAACTCGTGAATTTGACAATGTAACTCCGATTTCATTTCGTCGTCATCTCTTAAATCTTCATCGATCGAATTGTAAATTTTTTGAAAATTGAATACGTGAATTTGTTTATCATCCGGACGAGCTATAAAATCCCTCATGTAACGACGTACAAAATCCATGTAAGGAACGACAGTTCGCCAAGTTACGCGCCTTCTAAAGAAAAGCTCTCGAAAATCGTAAACGTAAACTTCTTCGACATTTTCCCATATTGTTGCTAAACAAATCTAAAAAGATTAAATAAATTAATTAAGTTGAGTAGTTGAATTTATAACGTGGTTTTAAAGAAAGTTGAAAATAATAAGGCGATGTCAGACGATTTAGAAGTTTTTCAGACGATATGGCATAAATAACTCATCATATTTTAATTTTGGGTGATGCAGTATTGCGAATTTAATTAACTGAAAACAACTTCGGCTTTGTTTTGGCATAATTGCCAAATTGTTGGTCTGGGTTTCATTCCAATTTTGGTAACTACTGAGCGTCGATTTGATGAAAGAACCAATATTTAGGTTAAGAATGCTAAAAACTATTAAATGTTAAGCTTTTGCAGTGTTTTGCAACTACCGTATCTTTTAAATTTAATTTATCACAGATCCTTAGTTACATCTTGATGAAATCCTTTCAATGATATAAATTTAGCAACACCTTTTAAATCGTCTAATATCATTTTCAAGTCAATTAAAAATGTCTTATCTATTAAAAGCACATTATAAGGATTTTTTTAATAAAACAAATTTTTAAATTCTTACTTGGAAATCATCGTCAATAGGTAAATCAACATAAATATAGTCTTCATCTCCAGCGTTTGGCGGAATCATTTCAACAAAGTCAACAATCGTTTCAGGAACCGGCGTTGGAATTTGAGTTTCTTTGTCGGCTCGTTCAATTACAACTTCAGCCTCTTCTGCAATTTTGGGTTGCTTGCCTTTCTTGTCTCCTTTCCCTTTATCAGCTTTATCTCCCTTACCTGCCTTTTTAGAACCTTTATCTGCTGGTTCTTCATCAGGTTTAGGTGCTTGCGTTTTTGGTTGTTCTTTCTTTTCTGCTTTCTCGCCTTTTTTCACTGATTGTGATTGGTTGACAGCATCCGGTTGAGGTACCTCCGCTTCCAAATATTCAACGATATCACCAAAAAGTTGAACTGAAGTTTTCGGCGGTATTTTATATTCACCAATGATGAGTTTTCCTAAATGTTTAATAGCTGCGAAATCTAATGTTTTATAATAAAGTGTGTAATGACATCCCTGGTTTTGATAAAAAATATCTAATGGTGTTAAAATATTCATATCTTTATCCATATCGATTATATGTGGGTTTGGTAGCGAATCAATGTCTTGTTGAACTTTAATTAAAGCTGTTAAATAAGTATCATAATCTAACACTGGTGCAACAACATCCGGGTTTGTTAAAAGTAAAGATACACGATATTGTGCATTCTTATCGTAATCTAATGATTTTTGTTCAACGTCGCGTGATGATATATCAACGAAGTCATCTAATACAGGTTCTTTTCTGGAAAACTGAACTGTTTCTGGGTCCACCGAAAAACTAACGCATTTATCTGTCGATTTACAAGAAGGTTGTGGCTTTGGATGACATAAATAATCGTCAAAATTCAACGGTGTCTCCGTTGGTGCATCAAAAGTATAATCGTCAACGGAACCAGATGTAATTGTGCGTTGATCAATCGTACAATTACAACTTTCTTCGTTAATAAATGTACCAAAAAAGACAGTTTCTTGTTCTTCCGGATGGAATTCCTCCTCTAAATTTTGTGGTTCCAAAGCATAACTTTGAGTTATAGAAACTTTTTTAGCAGTTAAAGCTTCTTCTAACAACACAGCTTGATCAAAGTTTTTCGGATAATTTATTAAAACCCATCCGTAAATACCAGAAAACGTCTTCAAATATTCAACAAACATCTTTACTAAAGTCTCATCACTAAGTGGTTCCCCTAAATTTAATACTTCGTAAGCTATTTTTCCCAATTCGGCTTTTTGCGTTAATTTAATTTCTTCACAAGGAAAAAGTCTTGGTGTTTGTATCATTTGATCTTTGAAAGGTAACTCTTCCGGAACAATTTCTACCACTTCCTTCCCCTTTTTCCCTGGTTTCGTACCTTTGGGGGGTGGTTTTTTCTTATCTTTGTTCTTTTTATCTTTCTTAACATCTTCAATTGCTACTTGTGTTTCGCTAACGAATTGCGATTCCGGAGCTTCAACAGTTATTTCCATTTTGTAAGCTTCCAAACAATAATTTATTGTATCTTCTAATTGAATCACTTTTATTTTACGTTCAACCAAAAGTTTTTCAAGAATTGGTACTACCGTTAAATCAGGAATATTTGCTATGCATGCAGCTACTTCTACTTTTGGTATATTCGGTGGGGTTGGTAACGCTGGTTTTGGGTATTTCGTTAATAAAAGTCTATAAATTAAAAAAAATAAATTAATGATTCGTTAACATTTTACTGAATCTAAAAGTTAATAAACATTATTCCATTTTAGTCATTTCTGAACCAACTTTTAGGGGCGTTGAAACAACGAGCGTTCTAAAATAAACTAAAGGAAGTGCAACATGCAATTGTTGTGATTGAATATCGAAGAAAACCGTCAAGCTACCGCAATGCCACAGATGCCAAAGATGTGGACATACAAAAAATTATTGCATACTAACTCCTAGATGCGTAAAATGTAATGAGTACCATGTTACAAAAGACGGTACCAAACCTAAACCAGCACCACCACAAATGTGTAAGCTGCCAACAACAACATCTAGCTAATTATAAAAATTACATATATTATAAAAATTTAGACNAAAAATAATAAGGCGATGCCAGACGATTTAGAAGTTTTTCGTACGATATGGCATAAATAAATCGTCTAATATCATTTTCAAGTCAATTAAAAATGTCTTATCTATTAAAAGCACATTATAAGGATTTTTTTAATAAAACAAATTTTTAAATTCTTACTTGGAAATCATCGTCAATAGGTAAATCAACATAAATATAGTCTTCATCTCCAGCGTTTGGCGGAATCATTTCAACAAAGTCAACAATCGTTTCAGGAACCGGCGTTGGAATTTGAGTTTCTTTGTCGGCTCGTTCAATTACAACTTCAGCCTCTTCTGCAATTTTGGGTTGCTTGCCTTTCTTGTCTCCTTTCCCTTTATCAGCTTTATCTCCCTTACCTGCCTTTTTAGAACCTTTATCTGCTGGTTCTTCATCAGGTTTAGGTGCTTGCGTTTTTGGTTGTTCTTTCTTTTCTGCTTTCTCGCCTTTTTTCACTGATTGTGATTGGTTGACAGCATCCGGTTGAGGTACCTCCGCTTCCAAATATTCAACGATATCACCAAAAAGTTGAACTGAAGTTTTCGGCGGTATTTTATATTCACCAATGATGAGTTTTCCTAAATGTTTAATAGCTGCGAAATCTAATGTTTTATAATAAAGTGTGTAATGACATCCCTGGTTTTGATAAAAAATATCTAATGGTGTTAAAATATTCATATCTTTATCCATATCGATTATATGTGGGTTTGGTAGCGAATCAATGTCTTGTTGAACTTTAATTAAAGCTGTTAAATAAGTATCATAATCTAACACTGGTGCAACAACATCCGGGTTTGTTAAAAGTAAAGATACACGATATTGTGCATTCTTATCGTAATCTAATGATTTTTGTTCAACGTCGCGTGATGATATATCAACGAAGTCATCTAATACAGGTTCTTTTCTGGAAAACTGAACTGTTTCTGGGTCCACCGAAAAACTAACGCATTTATCTGTCGATTTACAAGAAGGTTGTGGCTTTGGATGACATAAATAATCGTCAAAATTCAACGGTGTCTCCGTTGGTGCATCAAAAGTATAATCGTCAACGGAACCAGATGTAATTGTGCGTTGATCAATCGTACAATTACAACTTTCTTCGTTAATAAATGTACCAAAAAAGACAGTTTCTTGTTCTTCCGGATGGAATTCCTCCTCTAAATTTTGTGGTTCCAAAGCATAACTTTGAGTTATAGAAACTTTTTTAGCAGTTAAAGCTTCTTCTAACAACACAGCTTGATCAAAGTTTTTCGGATAATTTATTAAAACCCATCCGTAAATACCAGAAAACGTCTTCAAATATTCAACAAACATCTTTACTAAAGTCTCATCACTAAGTGGTTCCCCTAAATTTAATACTTCGTAAGCTATTTTTCCCAATTCGGCTTTTTGCGTTAATTTAATTTCTTCACAAGGAAAAAGTCTTGGTGTTTGTATCATTTGATCTTTGAAAGGTAACTCTTCCGGAACAATTTCTACCACTTCCTTCCCCTTTTTCCCTGGTTTCGTACCTTTGGGGGGTGGTTTTTTCTTATCTTTGTTCTTTTTATCTTTCTTAACATCTTCAATTGCTACTTGTGTTTCGCTAACGAATTGCGATTCCGGAGCTTCAACAGTTATTTCCATTTTGTAAGCTTCCAAACAATAATTTATTGTATCTTCTAATTGAATCACTTTTATTTTACGTTCAACCAAAAGTTTTTCAAGAATTGGTACTACCGTTAAATCAGGAATATTTGCTATGCATGCAGCTACTTCTACTTTTGGTATATTCGGTGGGGTTGGTAACGCTGGTTTTGGGTATTTCGTTAATAAAAGTCTATAAATTAAAAAAAATAAATTAATGATTCGTTAACATTTTACTGAATCTAAAAGTTAATAAAAATTATTCCATTTTAAACATTTCTGAACCAACTTTTAGGGGCGTTGAAACAACGAGCGTTCTAAAATAAACCAAAGGAAGTGCAACATGCAATTGTTGTGATTGAATATCGAAGAAACTGTCAAGCTACCATAATGCCACAGATGCCAAAGATGTGAACACACAAAAAATTATAGCATACTAACTCCTAGATGCGTAAAATGTAATGAGTACCATGTTACAAAAGACGGTACCAAACCTAAACCAGCACCTCCACAAATGTGTAAGCAGCCAACAACAACATCCAGCTAATTATAAAAATTACATATATTATAAAAATTTAGACAACAAAAACAAGCCAAAACGCCCAACCAAGAAAGCACATATCTTTCTAGAACAGCCACCGCAGCTGCTTGCGCATATCTACAGTTAGCTCAAGCATCTCTAGCACTGATACCAACTCTCAATCAATTTTAACCAACATCCTAAAACCCCGTTTAAATCTATTATCACCATATTTTGAACAAATTAAAAATTTTATAACAACACATATAATACCAAAAATATTCAATATCTAGATAATCAACAAATTTGACACTCCTTAATTGGTATGCCAATGGCGTTAAAAAGCAACGAGCGATTCTGATTGCCTTCTTAAGTTCTTAACCACACACAATGTATATATAGCATAACAGAGATTCATCAAAGTAAATCTGAAAAGTCTAATATACCCAGACAACAGACATCATCGTCCTACCTGCAGATAAAGTTGACGAATCTTTTGGATCCAGCCACCTATAAGAAAATAAATCAGGATCCAACCGAGAAGATAGTAAGGAAGATGAAAGAATTGTTAAAATCTACAGGAATCCCAGCAGAACAACAGAGAAGCTTATTTGTATAGGCGCCAGTACCTCCAAGGATATATGGATTACCCAAAATCCATAAACCAGATGTCCCACTACGCCCTATTGTTAGTGCCATAAATTCTCAAACCTATCAACTAGCAAAACACCTTGCCAAGATTCATATGTCAGACATTCCACACATTTTGTGGAATCAATCAGGAGTATGAAGTTAGACCCCCAGGATATCTTCTTCAGGATCTCTATTCACCAGAGTACCAGTCAAAGATGCCGTGGATGGTCNCTGCTTGCGCATATCTACGCGCAAGCAGTTAGCTCAAGCATCTCTAGCACTGATACCAACCCTCAATCAATTTTAACCAACATCCTAAAACCCCGTTTAAATCTATTATCACCATATTTTGAACAAATTAAAAATTTTATAACAACACATATAATACCAAAAATATTCAATGTCTAGATAATCAACAAATTTGACACTCCTTAATTGGTATGCCAATGGCGTTAAAAAGCAACGAGCGATCCTGATTGCCTTCTTAAGTTCTTAACCACACATAATGTATATATAGCATAACAGAGATTCATTTAAGTAAATCTGAAAAGTCTAATGTACCCAGACAACAGACATCATCGTCCTACCTGCAGATAAAGTTGACGAGTCTTTTGGATCCAGCCACCTATAAGAAAATAAATCAGGATCCAACCGAGAAGATAGTAGGGAAGATGAAAGAATTGTTAAAATCTACAGGAATCCCAGCAGACCAACAGAGAAGCTTATTTGTATAGGCGCCAGTACCTCCAAGGATATATGGATTACCCAAAATCCATAAACCAGATGTCCAACTACGCCCTATTGTTAGTGCCATAAATTCTCAAACCTATCAACTAGCAAAACACCTTGCCAAGATTCATATGTCAGACATTCCACACATTTTGTGGAATCAATCAGGAGTATGAAGTTAGACCCCCAGGATATCTTCTTCAGGATCTCTATTCACCAGAGTACCAGTCAAAGATGCCGTGGATGGTCTTCTCCAGAAACTCATCCCGCTGGGTGTGCCGAAGGATGTTCGAGGACTGGTGGAGTACTGCCTATCATCGACATATTTTAGCTGGAAAGGAGAATTCTACGAGCAATGCGAAGGGGCAGTCATGGGATCATCTCTGTCACCTGTGATCGCCAATTTGTACATGGAGATATTTGAAGAGGAAGCGTTAAAAAATAGTCCATGGAAACCGAAGTTTTGGCTTTGTTACGTCGATGACACTTTCGTGATCTGGTAACACGGAAAAAAGCGACCCCAGGAATTTTTAGACCGTCTAAACATGAAACCCATGATAAAATTTACAGTTACTAAGAACAGTTACCATTCTTAGATGTGTTGGTCACTAGCAAGATAGATGGGGCATGGAAATTAAAGTATATCGAAAGAAGACGTATACGAATAAATACCTGCAGGCTTCATCCCATCACCACTCACAACAGAAGAGGTCCGCGATTCAAGCCTTATTCCAGCGAGCAGAGAGGATATGTGATAAAGAAAACCTAAAGAAAGAAGAGAGTTTCCTACAAGATGTACTACAGAAGAACCGTGACGGAGCGAATTGCAAGTGTTTGAAGAAGAATGATATCATGGTACAATACGGTACGGACAGCAAAATACAAAACGGTATTCCGATAGCCAAAAACAAACTAACCCCATTAAAGGGAGCGGTAGTCTATCGGCTATCGTGCAGTTGCGGGAAATATTAACGTGCAGTAACATCGAATGTCGCATCAAGGAACACGAGAGGGATGTCGAACTGAGAAAAGTGCAACAGTCTGCAGTTGCAGAGCATTGCCACGAAGGAGGATGCATCATACATTACATTATTGTCAAATTTTAACCAATTTCGTCACTTCGAACTTGTTTCTGAAGAGGGTTGCAACATGGCATCTGAAACGGTAAACATTTTTTCAAAAGACGCACGGCTTAACCCGAAAGTTTCTAGGTCTAGTGTTACTTTTAGTTTAATTGACACCGGCCGTGAAAGCTTTCGTACTTATAACTGTACAATGGTTGTAAAAACTAAGATACAGTGTCAATTAAAATAGAATCATCAAATAAAACAACATTCATAATCGCTGCGGTATATAAACAGCCAAATAAGAATATTCTGAATTGTGACAGCAGAATTATTCAAAGCTAAAGAACCAACAATAATAATAGGTGATTTAAATATCAAACACCAAGCTTGGCGATGTCTTGGCAAAGCCTCAAACTCTTTATGCCACAAAGTTTTGAATCTTTTTAATATCCATAATTTTCAAATATCAGCGCCAACTGACTTTACATATGAAATATAGAACTGATTATCAACCACATATCTTAGACATTCAATTAAGTAAACATTTTGCCAAGACCATCCAATAATGTACTATCTGAGCTGGACTCTGATCACCTTCCACTAGTAATTAAATATGATACAACACCTATAACGATTCCAAGACAAAATTCTCTTCTAAATGGTAAAATAAACAGGGAACTATTTCAAGAAAGATGTGCAAAAAATCTAACCAATCATTTCCCGCTAAGCACAGAAAAACAAATTGCTACAAGAGTCCCTGACTAGCAACCACCAAAAGCACAGAAGAAGCAACAAGCAAACAACCAAGTCAGCAGCGAAAAATATACACTTCCCCAAATGAAATACTAAAATTGATTAAATAAAGCACTGCCCTCGTCGAGAATGGTAACGTTTTAGAAATCCAGAAACAAGAACATTATTTAATCGGTTGTCTCATAGTATCTATGTAATATCAAACAAGGTGAGCAGGAAATGTTGAGGCCTACTGGGAATACTACAAAAACCGAAAGAAATTTCGCCAACCCAACCCTACAGAGAATACGTGATGTTAATCTTACAGCAAAACACATAAGGCATAGGCCTGCTAGGCCCAACGTATTCACTGTAGGGTTAAGGAAAATAGTAAGGCTTGTATATACAGATTAAGAAAAGGCAAAAATCTTTGCAGAACCCTTAACATCATTATAACGTCATTTCCAATTTTATGTTGCATTGAGAAAAATTTACCAAATAGTAAGATTAACATGGAACCAACGTCACCCAAAGAAATTCCATAAATAATCAGATCATTGCCAAAAAAGAATGGACCTGGCTATGACCTTATAACAAATATAATTCTAATGAACCGCCCGTGTAAATATTATGCTTTCTTAGCAAGCCTAATTCAATGAATGTCTAATGATTGGATACTTTCCAGAAGTAAGGAGGAAAACAAATCAAAACCAGAAAGCTATACCTAGAGCAATTAGTCTACTATGTATCCTGCCAAAACTTTTAGAAAACAAAATACAAATAAGATTACTTGACGAACAGCAACTATTACCAATCTTTCCAGTTTCACTTCAAATAAGGTCACTCTACAAGTCATCAACTCCAGAAGTCGGTTGACCTAATAAAGGATGATTTTGAAAAGACAATGTATACAAGTACTCTTTTTCTGGACACCACACAAGCTTTTAACCGAATTTGGCTGGATGGGCTAAATACAATATTCTCAATCCTTTTAACGTTCTATACTAACTGAACCTTTTCTATCAAAATCCACAACTGCATCTCCTCCAAATCACCTATTCGAGGTATACCTCAAGGAAGCGTCCCATCTCCAATCCTTTTTAATATGTATATGCACGACATTAACCAAATTATTGATAACGATATATGTAGCTATATTCGCTGACAACACAGTCCTATTCGCTACAGAATCAAATCGTAAAAAGCTATGTTCACTTCAAAATAAGTTATTGAGACCAGCTGAATGGTTCATTACTAATAAACAACTCTACGCAGAGAATTAGGCATTAAAGCAATTCAACAGTTCATCATAATGAAAAATAAAAAGTTTCATGAACAACTACACATGTGCAAATCAACCGACCTCTACCGATTGGGAAGAAAAACATTCATAGCCGTCTAGAACCAAGACTTCCTAAAACTTATATTTAACCTGAACAATATTAATTTTAAAGTTTGTTAATTCTTACTACTAGGAGGTGAATATGGCTCTTCCTGTTATTCGATGTAAATGGTGTAAAAAGTAATGAAAAATGACATGTATAATATTTGTTTAAGGTTTGCTAAATAAAATTATTAAAGAAGAAAACATTTCTAAAATATATTTTTAACCAATCTTACCTAAAAATAACATGTCCTAAAATATTCATAGCAAGTTTAATATCATCAAGTTTATCTACGAATTCACTGGCGTGCGCATCGATTTCATACGGCCAAACAAAATTACAATAATCCTCAAAATTTCTAATATCAAGAGTATTTTGCCTATCGATTTCTTCGAGAACGATCTCATCATCAAAATCATCGATGGGCATGTAATCGATGATCGTCTCAACATCCTCGACAACATCGAATATCGATTTTCCCTTAACGAATAAATCGGCTAGATCTTTCTTCATTTTTGGGGACATTTCCTCATCAAAAGCCTCTTTATATTCAGCATCACGAATAGCTATGTCTACCATATCTCGAAGGGCTTCCGTACACATTTGAAGACGACGTTCTTTCATTAATCGTATTTTTTGCGCGTAGATTCTTCGATGAAGTTCTAAAGTACGATCCCTCTCTAGATAATAGCGACTTCTTTCGTCCCCCGATTCTTTTTCTTTGACAAAAACATATTTTAAGATTGCATCATCAGCTTGCTTTTGCATTTCTCTTTGTATTAGAAGTCGATTTTGGGCCATTATTTGTTTTTGCTCGCGAATTTCGAATAATTTATTCGCCATTTGTTTCTCATAATTAGATTGTTTCAAAATTTTTTTTGATAACTCCATTTCTATAGCTTCTTCTTGCTGCCGAACAGTTTCATTCCAAATTTTTGTAACCATAATCGTTTCCATTTGAGATTTCATTGCACGTTCTTCTTGTTCCCTTTTAAATTTATTTTTAAGTTTTTTAACGATTTTTTGAGCTTCACGTGGGTTTGGATCGGGTAAGTCAATTTCTTGGGCATTTTTTTCTTGAGTTTTTAATTCGTCATAAGTTTCGCTAAGAGATAAAACGTCGAATGTGTCCGATTCAGGTTCAATTGGTAGGGCTTCAGATACTGTACGAAATCGAAAAGGACGAGATGGTTTTATGTCCGATTTTTCAATCGATGCTATATAAGCATTTCTTGCTTCTTTACATCGTTCTAATAATGCTCTGTAACGATCTCTGTGCCATTGAATTATATGAGCTTGATCTTGTAATGGTTGACTTAAAGGATTAAGTTGTATATCATCGCCTATATCTTTGTATTCATCAGTAACAATTGTACATTTAAAACGATTATTGGAACGAAGTTTTTCTCTCATTACATTTTGTGTGGTGTAATGTAATTGATCTTTACCTGTTAAAACTAAGTAAAGCTTATAAAATAATTTCACTGTGGAAGATAATTTGTTTTTTGTAAAACAATTGATCGCATCCTCTTCTAAACTCGGATCCAAACATTTTAACCATAATGTTACTCTTGTTATATTTGTTAAGGTATCGTGGGTATCATGGATGGTTTTTAATTGCTTTTCGGTTATTATATTGTATTGACGCAGAAGTAAGGCGATAAGGTGACCGTTTAAAACAGCTTCAAGAAAACTATCATCGTGAACGTCTACTATTACACCCAATTTGTCTCTTAGCCATTGTGTTATAACGTCTCCCATATTTTTTATATAATTTTTCTTGACATAGACTAATAAAAGGTGTCAATTATTCTTTTTTTTGTAATTCATTCATTTTTGACACAATTTTTAACAAAAATTACAAAAATTTGGAACGAAACTGTTCGGCAGCAAAAAAAAGTTACAGAAATGGAGTTATTAAAAAAAATTTTATAACAATCTAATTATAAGGAACAAATGGCTAATAAAATATTCAAAATTCGTGAACAAAACTTATGGCTCAAAATCGGCTTTTGATACAAAGAGAAATGCAAAAACAAACTGATGATGCTGTCTTAAAATATATTATTGTCAAAGAAAAAGAATCGGGGAACGAAAGAAGTCGCTATTATCTCGTGAGGGATCGTACTTTAGAACTTCGTCGAAGAATTTATGCGGAAAAATACACTTAATAAAAGAACGTCGTCTAGAAATGTACATATATGGAAGCCCTTCAAGATATGGTAGGTGCATCTGTTCGCTATGCTGAATATAAAGAAGTAAATGTCTCCAAAAATGTCTAGCTGATTTATTCGTTAAAGGTAAATCGATATTCGATGTTTTTGTTTTTGTATTTGGTGTTTGTTTTGGTTTTCTTTCTAATTCGACCCATTCTAGTTTTCACACGATCTTCCTTAGGAAATTTATTTCAGCCGCTGTTATTCATGATTCATGTTTATCTCTATATATGGTTTTATAGATTCTTATTTTTGTATTGGTTCCTACTTCCTTACCTATAATTGAATTGTTAGTAATAAATAATTTGGTAGTATATATTTTGTTGTATTTCTTTGTCTTTTGTTCAATTCTGAATAATAATGGTGCCCAAATTTATCTTCTGTTTTCAATCTCTTCCCGTGTCAGAAACAAAAACTAAAAAACACAGCTATGTCGATAACTGGGTTCTTGCAATAAGATGTAGACAGAAACGCCATCTAAAACAATCATGATCACAAAACTGAGTTAACATGTTTCCATCTAAATAATAAACTCGTCGACAGAAAAGAAGAGAATACAAAGTGTACCCACCACAAAACACCTACGCGTTACACTTGATAAAAGCTCTTATTCAGAGAACATATAATGAAAACAGCGGAGAAACTAAAAACGAGGAACAATATTATACAAAAACAGTGTGGAACAACATGGGGAGTATCGGCCACCACTCTGCACTCAACAGTCCTGAGCCTCGCTTCTCAACGCAATAGTGTGGTTTAATAGTCCTCATACCACAGAATCGATCCTCAATGTAATAATACGAAAATGATTGCAGGGGTTATCAAATCTACTTCAATGGAATGGCTCCCAGTACTAAGCCATATATCACCTCCAAACATGCGCCATAAAAAGAGCCTTTTTTTTCAACCTAACGAAAACCTACTAATATACGATGATAATGAGGACACCAACCATACCCTTCTCCAATCCAAAAATCCACCGATCAAAACTGCAGCCACTGCCGCAGATGAAGAATTCAACATGATTAACGCTTGGCAGCAAGAATGGATAACAAGCCTCTTGGTTTTGTGTTAGCGTTGTTTGTCCGAACGGGAAGCTGGTCCATCTATTCTGGACAATACGAGAATATATCTGAAAATGTAACCCCCTCGAATTTATTGGACAAATGTCCTTGTGTCAATAATGTTTAGACTCTGATAAGAAAGGGTCTAGCTATAACAACAGTGTAAGGTTTCCAGAAAACAGGAAAAGAAGACACGCAGAGAGGAAAAGAAAAAAGAGAGTGAGAAAAAGAAGTTAAAGTCAAAAAGTGAAAATAAGAAGCAAACGACCGGACCGAACAGTATCTAGTATATTACACCGAATCTCTTAAGGCGGCGCCAGACATGCGGCATTCAGCAAGTGCTGAACGACTGCTCGACAAATGACAAGCAGTTGCGGAGCTCGTCATATTTTCACCGATTACTCACAAAATAACGTGCTACATATGCAAGGTCTATAGAACATAAGGTTACCCAATGCCGATTTTCCTCCTCTGAGGGGCAAGGTGGGTCAGTGACGTAGCTGGTTCTATGAACAACACAACACGATGTGTGGTTTAAATATTTTGTATAGACTGTAACACAGTATAGGCACGTAGAGGCTATCTTTTACTCTGACTGTATCGAACCAGTGACGTCAATCTGCGGGGTAATAATTGATACTACAGAGGCATAGGGAATTAGGTAATCTTATGTTCTATAGACCTTGCTACATATGCACGGTTTGTCCTATTTGAGTCACTGTGGGAACGACGAATATTCACAGATAAACGTATTTAAGTACAGATCGCCATGGATAGCGATGCAGAGCTTGCCATTCATTCAGCTGCTTTTGTTGTCATGTCTTGTGGTGGTATGTTATTGAACAGTAGAAAAAAAAAGCGGAGAAGAAGAAGATGGTGGATGGTATCACTCTATCAAAGTAGACAAACGTAGGTATTAACTAGTGGTGGAACGGATATCCGACAACTATCCGGTATCCGGCCATTTTTTAAAATTCGGTCGGATACCGGATAGTTACCAAATATCAGACTTTGGCCAGATATTAAAAATCTATTACTTAGTACGCCACCATTCACAAGAATTAGTATGTCTTTTACATGTTGGACACTGCAAATAATAATCAAGTTCAACCCCAATAGGACTTTTTCATTGAATACAACTTTATTTATACCAAGTTTGTCATTAGCAACCTCACTGTAACAATCCCAATACAATATACAGGGCAACCATCTTGTTGAAACGATATTTCTCTGTAGATATTGAGTGGCAAATCTTCTAATAAAGTTGTTAAATCATTTTGGAGGAAATACAAATAACATACAAAAGTATGAATTTTTTAAATAACATGTTTTTTGCAGAAAAACAGGCAATAATATTTTTTATGATAAGAAAAATGGCAAGTGTTGTACCATTTTGAAAACTTGACTAAACAGGCCATCTTTTAAAATTACTTACCAAGGGTGTTGTACTACTCCTTTTTTTTAGAAATCGTGTGTCAAACTTGATAGACATAAATTCTTTCAACCTTAACTCAATCAAATTAATATATTTTTTTGCAAAACTAACGATTTTTGTTGTTTGATTTGTCACTTCTACAGTAGCATGGTTCATAAGGAATACATTATTAAAAAAATCACTATTAAATTGCGAACATTTCTGACCGTAGTACCTAAAGATATGATGTACAGGACCGATTTTTAACGTTTTCAAAAATATGTCTATTACCACTTAACTAAGAGACATGGAATTTTTTTCTCATTTTTACCAGAACAGGTATGGGTTGGCCTCTCACCCGGTGCCCGCTTGACGTTGAGTTTCGGGACACCTGTATAAAATCTCTTGTTGCAGTTTCATCTAGTTTTCTTCTCTTCGCGTGTAATTCATCATTACTAACAGAACTGTCGCTGTTATCACTTTCGATTAATAATTAAAGCATCCTCTGTTTAATGCAAAGAGCCGTTTTGAAACATCACTTTTAGTTCTTGAGAAATAAATTTTTTAAATAATCGACAATTTTTTCGAATTTTGCAATTTTCATCGATTAAGTTTTAAAAATTCGTATAAAATCCAGTTCTTGGAATATGAGTATGAAAATTTCCCAAAGTGTTAATAAAAGTGTCCTCTTTCCAATGAACCAACCCGTTTTGAAAAATAACTTTTAGTTTTTGAGAAAACAATATTTGAAGTTTTGATAAAATTTTCGATGTTGCAATTTTCATCGATAACTTTCAAAATTCGCTATAAAATTAATTTCTTGAAGGTTCGTTGTGAAAATATCAACAAATTATTAATTAAAGTATCCTCTTTTTAATGCAAAAAGCCGTTTTGAAACATCACTTTTAGTTCTTGAGAAACAAATTTTTGAAATAATCGAACATTTTTTCGAATTTTGCAATTTTCGCCGATTAAGTTTTAAAAATTCGTATAAAATCCAGTTCTTGGAATATGAGTATGAAAATTTCCCAAAGTGTTAAAAAAAGTGTCCTCTTTCCAATTAACCAACCCGTTTTGAAAAATAACTTTTAGTTTTTGAGAAAACAATATTTGAAGTATTGGAAATATCGCCAATTATTACTTAAAGTATCCTCTTTGTAGAGTTGCTTCGTTAGTTAAATCAGCATCAAAAAAGTTCATTTTGTATCTTGGATCCAAATAAGTTGACATATCTTATCAGCTTTCTTATTGATTTCATTTTTATTCAAATATCGCAATAATGTGGCAATAATGGCCGGATATCGCGATATATTGCGTTCTAGCTTAGTAACTCATCATTCTTTCAAACGCATCATTCATGTAATATGGGTATTAACAGCATATGGCACACATTGTTTAATTGATTAATCTTTTTGTTAATATGATATGTATTGAATGAAGCTCTTATTAAACTAATTTTCACAATTTATTCCTGATAGCATTTTGATTACTTTAAAATAACTTTATAATAAAGACAGATGTAACTAAGTACATAACTAAAGATTGTCAAATTTCAATCAAAAAATGCCGAAATTAAGGGAAGAATAACCGTTTAAGGAAAATCATGTATGAAAACAGTTTATTATTTGAATAAACACAATGGAAAGTAATTAGCAAAATTGGAAACTGAAATGAAACATCTTTTTTGTCATTTACTTGTTTGATATTATTGTTATTTTTAATATTTTATATTCAAATACTTTTGATTGGTACTATACAGAGTAGTACATAAATAGAAAATTCGGTAAATCTGGGTCAAACAAAACGAATTTTTTTATTAAAATAAAACCATTGCTTTGAATAAATATATAATTTACTAAAAACAGATCAATAAAGTTTGATGATATATTAATTTACTAAAATATGCATAAATAATTTATTGTCGGCCATTGTGCCATATAAAATCTAGATTGTCGATCGCGTTTGCGCTGTGAATTGGGACTGGCGTGAAGTTAGTTTCGTTCGAGTGACGTTTGTGCGAACAGGAAGCCATCATTTTCGTTCCCCAAACAGGCGGCGAACATTGCGCGTTTTCTCTTTTGGTGTGCGCAGCTTGGCAGCATTTGTTCGCGTCAGCACTGGTTTTTCGTAAAAACGAAATGTTTCCCTAGAAAACCGAACGTCAACGTTGCTCCCCCATTTAAAGGTATTATTATATGCGACGTGCTAATTTTTACCAAAGACAATACATCCCGACGCCTTTAAAATCGTTACGACACGAATTTACTGACCCGGTCCCGACATTTTTCTTTTCGAAATAAGACGAAATTAAAACTATTTCCCGGTTCTCTAGGGGACTTACTTTTTATGTTTTACCGATTTGACGCTGTCAAAAAAACGATTTTAATTTTTATTTTTGCAGTGTTGTTGATGTTATCCTTCATTCGCACAACCTAACCCCAAAAATAAGTACCTACTCTACTTTTAAGTAACGTTGGTTTTTTTGTACTCTTTATGTAATCACTCGGTCGTGTTCTTAAAAATGGTATTTAATTATTTAAATTATAATTCTTAAATAAAATAATAGGCAATTTTTTTTTATTCAAATTTATCACTTTATCTTTTTCCCTTATTTCAGAATGTGTTCTAAAGAGGCCCAGGATAACTCATTTTGTTTAGTATGTAGTGGGCGAGTTGGAGTATCAACAAGAAATGCTATAAACATTTTTGGAAATGAGGTTAGTTCATCAATTTCTGATACATAAAATTTATATTTTAATTTTTAGGTTAGTTCTTCATGCAATTTTAAATATCACTCAGTTCAATTTTCATTTTTATTCAATTTATTATTAATTTTAGGTTATCACCTGTTCAAATCGTCCGTTAAACTTTGTAATATCACAAATATTAGGAATAGATATTCAAGAAAATACAGTACACTCGCTCATAATATGTAAAAAATGTTTTAAACTTGTCAATGAAGTAGATGAATTAGAGCAAAGGTTATTAGAAATCAAATTGGAATTATCCAATAATTATAAAAAATCGTTTGAGAAAAGTAGACTTGGAGAGGACGACTCGGATGAAATTATAAATCAAAATAATATGGAATTGAAAAACGATGGAACGGCGGAAAATAATGTTCCGAAAAAAATATTAGATATACCATCCTCGGATGATGAGGATGGTGATGAAAAGTTGAATCGAAAAGATAATTTGCACACCCTTGAAGATATTGAAATGGAATTGGTTAAAATTCATGGTGATGTTGGGAAAGATGTGTTATCAAAACATGATAACAGTGATGGTCAACAATTTGCGGAATTTCAACATGATGTCATAGATAATAATACTGAAAATCGTACTGACTCGGACCTCGATGCTGATGATCATGATAATGGTGAGCTTTTATTGGGGACATCACAAGTTAATGAAAATACTTTGAGTAAGTTATTTTAATAACTTATAATAAACAGTTTATGAAAATGAGTTGAAATCAATATTTAATAGGTTTGAATTGAAACAAATTACAGGATGTATCTAAATTAAGGGGGTCTTTCATATAACTTTTTGGTCAAAACCACTTCTCCTCCAAGTTACAGCCCTCTAAAATTAGGGGAAAAAATTGTTTTTCTTTGATAAATCCACTATGGAGGAATTTGGAAGGATGAAATTTGGCAAATAAATATAACCCTAATATGTTTTTACAAAAGGCTGAAAAAATCAACTTTGCATTATAACTTTTTAATGCATTTTTCTATTTAAAAACTTGATTTAAATAGTGGGATTTAATACGCAACTTTTTTGTCTGTTGACATTTTCTCCTAAAATTGTTAGTTTGATCACAAAAAAATAAAATAATACACAAGCTCAAGTGAATTTATTCAGAAATTGGTTATTATTGGTTAAAGAAGTGAAGTTATGTCAAATTGATCTCAGCAATATTTTATTTTTTGTGATCAAACTAACAATTTGTTAGTTGTAAAATGTCAAGAGATATGAAAGTTGCAGATTTTTACCCTTAACTTTAGAGGGCTATAACTTGGAGGAGAAAGAATTTTCGTTGAAAAATCAACCCTTAAAATCTTTCGCATCAATTTAGATACACCTGTATAATAAATTATAATAATTGTTTAAATCAGAAATAATCCCAGCCGCCTTCAAAGATGTTGGCTGCTCTAATTATCATGAACAATATTTATGACGTTTTGTTTATACAGGGTAATTCAAATTCGACCCCCACCATTGGGAAAATTGGGAAAGAGTTGCCTTAGGAATGTTTTTTCAAATTCACGAAAAATAAGGAAATTATAGGGAAAAAACGAAAAAGTAATTTTTTTTTTTTTGCCATATTTTAAAAAGTAAAACAGCTAGATATAAAAACTTTGTTGAAAAATGATGAGCTCTAAGATAAGCAACTTTGCCCCCATTTAACCATTTCTGTATCTCTTATGGTTTCTGAGATCCCAATGGTGGGGGTCGAATTTGAATTACCCTGTATACAGGATGTCTCAGACCAGTCATTAGACGTTTCTGGGGTTCTGGCCAAAATAAAAATTTGAGAGTTCAGATTTAAGTATAATCAATTGCGTTCTCTTCGACTAAAATATTTTCAGATTTATAGCACTTCTAATAATTGAACCTTGAGTAAGCAACAAATGAATAATATTGAGAAAAACGGCATTTTCGTTTTCATCTCTCCAAAAGTAGACAGGCTCAAACTATTCAAAATTGTTTGGTGTCTGTCCATTTTTATCACAGGACTGATGACAGCTATCATAAGCACAGAGAGCATACAGGGTGTTTCTATAAGTCGTGGCATAAATTTAATCACTAAAACTAGAGATAAAATGATGACGATTCATGTAAAAATTTTTGAAGAAAATAATCTAAAATTTTATTTTGTACTTTTAAACTGGTTTTTATTTTATATAGAATTTAAGTCTAACCAGTTTCGGCACTTGGCCATCTTCAGAGACTCTACAAATAGATTAACATCTCTCATCTTATCCATTTTACAAACAAGTTTCTTAATATTTCTTTTTGTGAAAAAAGATCACATATCAAAGTCGAAATCAGATTATTAGTTACTAATTTACAAAATTAAAGATTAAAAAGTTGTAAAATGAAATTAATGAACGCACTTTTTTAACAAAAGAAATATTAAGAAACTTTTAATCTTTTAAAAACATACTAACTTCAGGTTTAAAATGTCAACCTTAATTTTGACATATTTGTAATCGTCGTGAAAAATCCTTTAAAATGAGTCCAAACATGATACGTTTAATTCCAATATTACTCGAGATATAAGCAACTTCCGGTTTGAAATGTCAAATTTTGACATATTCTTAACTTTTATAAAATGTCTTAATATTTGTAACAGAAATATAATAAACAAAAATTAAGGTGGGTATTAATATTTAAAAATTAAAATGATCTTCATTGTTGCTAACTTAGGGTTTAATGTTTTTTATTCTAACTTTTTTGTTTTTTGAGAGAAGTGCGTCCTACCACTGCTACTAGAACTAACACTAAACCAAGAACTAGAAACATTCGGATTTAGTCGCACGTCTCTCAAGACGGCTAAATCCGAATGATTTTAGTTCTAGGTCTTGTGTTACTTCTAGTGATAGTGCTAGTGTAAAACTAGAACTAACACTAGAAATAGAAATATTCGGGTTCTAAGTCTAGTGTTAGTTCTACTTTTAGTGCAATAAAAATCGTATCTAAGTCGGTTCTTAAACGTATGATGCAAATTGGACTTAAAATTGTATAACGTGATTGGCGCTTAGCTTTATCCTTTAAAACAAATAGTATTTTAGGTTTTTCGGTATTCTGGTTCGGTTTCGGTATTTTGGTTTTTCGGTTCGGTATTCTTTTTCGGTACTTCCAAATTTCAAAAAGTTAAAGTGACCAAACGATCTAGACAGCCGTTCTCGGCACCAAAACACACTCCATCATGTTGGTTAAGCATGTTCTGAATCCTAAATTGATATCCGAAAAATCGAGTGTTTTCCGATCTTTTGAACAAGAGCAGATTTTTTTTAGAAAAAATCAAATAACCCGAGAACGGCCGAATCAAATTGCAAAAAGTAAAGTTATTCATAAACCTTGAAAATAGACAAATCCAAATATGTAAAAAAGTACAGTAGGTGGCGACTTCCGATATAGCCGGAACAGCTAGAAATCTGAAAATATTTTAGTCGAAGAGAACGTAATTGGTTATACTTAAATCTGAATTCTCAAATTTTTATTTTGCCAGAATCCCAGAAACGTCTAATGACCGATTTCGCTGAGACAGTCTGTATTTGAAGAGAATTTCTTATATAAACAGAAATAAAAAATTTTATATACAATTATTATTTATAATTCCTGGAGGCTCAATAAAAAGGTTGCGAAACCCTGGTTTAAATATTAATAATAAATTAGATCTGTTTATTTATTAAAAAGTATATTTTCATTGCTTACAATCTTCAATTTCCAAGATGTATCAAAAGTAATGTGCCAAACAAAACCTTCAAAAATAATGAATAAGCTATTTTAAAATTAAATGAAAACTTCAAGTTTTTTGAGGTGTGCTTTGATGTTATTTATTATAATTTTGAAAGAATGTGTAGATTGTGTTTGATCTAACTATTACTACTAATTATTAACATGGAAATATGTAATCCACTGTAGGTGACCTAGTTAGCATAACTATGATTGGTAAGAAATTATGTCAAACATTCAAAGATTATCAATGATCCATCAATTATTATTATTAAGCTAATTTAATGGCAGTGTTAATTGCCTGTGCCATTAGGGATTGCACAGTTTATTCTAACCATAATAAATCTACCATCCATTGAACAATTTTTAAAGAAATGTCGCAGAACAAGCAATTTATCTATTGTCTCCTAAACGAGATCTAAAGTTTGTGTTTAATAAACTTACTGAAGAGGAACACCGTTTTCAAACATTCAAAAGCGAATTGAAGATTTTTTACCCATGCTACCGATATTATTGAATGTATCAATTTCTTAGGTCAATATATTGAAGACTGCATTTTTAGTTAATTGGACAGATGGCTGTTGTTTGTTTAGAGCAGAATAAAGTTTTTTTTTCAGTGTCTGATTCGTTTCCTGTCGTTGAGGCTCCGCAATTAGTAAGTCATCTTTATCATTTTCAAACATATTTTGTTGATCTTTTGATGTTAAACGTAATATAAGTTTCTCTAATGTTTTGCTCTAATATACTTCGTTATTCTTTATAACACATCTATTATTGCCAGCTGTAAACCATGTGCTAAACATAATTGGTGGCTTGAGAGCGTTGATGTGCCTGAAGTACCAGGCATTTAAAGTTACAAGACAAGCTCATTCTTTGTTTTCAGAATGGTAAAACACGTTTTGTATTTTGCCGTTTCACCATGATCAGTACCAGTTAGATAGTAGTGCCATACCGAATATTTATCATCTGCTTTTCGAAATTACAAATGTTTCATCCATATTGGTAAAAGTTGATACTAGTTTGAAATGAAATGCCTTATTGTTCCCAATAGCTTATTTTTATAAATAATCTTGTCATGAGTATGTTAATATTTTACATTCATTCGAGAAATGCACTTAAGATGATAAATTTAAATGTAAAATGCAAAATCGCGTGATTGGCAATGAAAAGGCGTGTTAAAAAAGATTTTCTGACTTACCTACATTCATTCTCTGTTCGTGTATTTTCTTCCACAATAAAAAGCAACACAATTAATTTCACTACCTAAGCTATAAATAACCTTATCTAGCTCGGGGAAGAACACAAATATCGAGCGAAAAGTAATATCGAATGAGTGGTTGCAGTGTCAACCGATAGATCGAGTCTTATTCTTCAAAAAATAGTAAATTAATGAAATAAACATAATACCAAAATCATAACCGATTTCTCAGGATAATTCTCAAGATTTAAATATGTAAGGGATCCAGGGATTGCAATCCCTATCTGCCATATTCTTTTTCCATGTTCTCTTGGACCATCCGCGGTTTGCCCAAAAAGAAAAGTTTACTCTGATAAAGTTGGAAGCAGGATTTTAGTTTCCCTAAACAAAGTGGTACCTGACAAGTGCTACATATCCAGTCCTTATGCAGTGGCTTTGCCTTGGTGCTACATAAAACGCACTATCTTCTTGATCCACGTTTAGACTGATGCGCAACAGAGTTTAATCTGCATTTGTGATTCATATTTTTTAGCTCTATTAGAAAATGTTATAATGTATAGGTGTTCCATTTTCCAGAAAACCTTAAAGTGATCAACAATTTTTATTTTAAATTTAGGTTAACAAAAAATAAAAATCGACGTGGTTCATGACGATATCTCGAACCGTTTTAATTCAAATTAGACAAAGGGTATTACTTATATGGGTATTATGATATTTAATCTTTTAAACAGCTTATATCTTTTAAATGTGTAGAAACAAATACTTCAAAATTGGTTTCAACACGAATTTTCTCTTGATTTTTCGTTTGGCACACAATTTGGATACATCCTGTACGTTATTTATCTTCTCTTATTACTTTATTTATTTTTTTAGAAGATGTTCACGTTAAAGTTGAAATGGGTGAAAACGACGAAAAACCAAATATCTTAAAAAGGAAATCACCACCTCCCGGTAGCATAAAAAAACCGCTAAATAAAAAAATTAAAGAAGAGACTCTTCCACCTGTAAGTTTATAATTTTTTGTTTCAATCTATGCTTAACCTCTAAAAGCTCTGCTGAATACAACTGTATTTAATTTGCGAATCGATAATTCAACAAAAAAACACAGAAAACAAAAATTAGATGTTACAATTCTAAAAACTGATAGTTTTTAAATACCATTTATGAATTTTAAAATGTTTGGTTCTATGGATTTTGAAATAATACGAGTTAAATAAAAATAATTTCAAACAGTTTTTGAAATGTTGGTAACAAGTTTGCGAATTCTTGTTCCAGATCTTACTTCGTTCAATTCCATTATGTCATTATGTTTGTTGTATACACTACGTACATTCCTTGTTGAAATCATGACGTTTTTTGTTAAAAATTTGAAATTAGGGGATACTGAACACTCTCTCCCCATTTAAGGAGTGCCCCAAGGACGGTGGAATCTAAGAAAACTGCTACATCCTTTCTTTTTTCGTAGTCCACTACCGTTAACAACGAACCCTCACACTACGTCACACCACATGTCAGCTAACTGGGTGACGACCATTATTTACAAAAACAATGATTCAACAACAATAATTTACAACCAACTTTGATAAATCTACCTAAAGTATGATTCATACAAAAACAATTAATCAATTATCCGAATCTACCACCAAAACAGAACTTAAGAATATCGAATTATGCTATAACCTAACTTGTTCTAAATAATCTATACTTATAACTAAATAGCTCACTTTAACTAATACCCTAACATCATGTACACTTGGCGAATCCCTCAGGTTCAGCAGGAAAAGTGGAAGTCGATGCGATAAAAGAAATGTCTTAATAAAAGTACGGAGTGAAATATTTGATTATATTGGTGATGATAACTTCAAAACATACAGAGCACTTGTGGATTTAAATCCTTATGGCAGCCACTATCCATTACAAAAAGTGAGTGCGTGGGTCACGTTGAAAAAAGAATAGGAATCCGACATAGAAATGTAAAGAAAACCGCAAAACTTGGCGGAAGGGGCAAATTGTCAGAGCCTTTCCAGCATCGTAGTGCAATTTTAATAGTTTAATAGATTTTTCCGGTATTATCCATGTCTGGAAAGCATTCCCTGATGCGCAACCTAACGAGACGCCCGGTAGGGGAGCGGAAATCGCCTAGGGAGCTGATTTCGCACACTCAACATTATATTACATAAATTATACAATATGTCCGTAAAGTAACGGATATAGGCGATAAAATCATAATAAACGGTTTATGGAAAAATCCCTGAAACGTGTCTAAAGATTTAAATTTTTTGGTGTAGATTTAAAATTTTTTCCGCCATTTTTAAATGAGTTATGGCGTCATCGATATTTTTTTTAAATGGCAATCTCCCATTTTTATTGCGGAATATGAAAGAGGATTTTTTTCTGAATCTAGTACAGTCAATATTAATATGGATTACATAAGAAAATTTTCGAGAAAAATTACTTTAAAGTTTAATCACTTCAAATTAGTATAATGATAAAAATAGCAGTAGCCATGAGTAACTATGGCAACCAATTATTCTAAACAATTCCCTGAGTGTCAAAAACTGATTTAGTAAAGTTTCTTGAAGTGTGGTGGCGCGCCATCTTGTTGAAATAACTGCCATTGGAATTGAGTTGTGTCAACATTATCGGAATGGAAGGAATGAGACTGCTTTGAAAAAATTTAAACATCTCTTTCCTCTTAACGTTTCCTCAAATCTTTTGCGGATATTGGGACAAAGTGTTCGTCATCGTTGCAAAAATTGCGATTCATTGCTCGTGAATCAGGTTTACTTTATGGGAATGATATTTTACAGGTTTTAAAATTTTATGAACCGTTGATTTGCTAATGTCCAAATTAGACCCAATACTCCTTACAGTAACATGAGGGTTCTCTTGCCCAGCCAAAACCACGATTTGTTGAACTTCCCTTGCAACATATAGTAGGCCAGACTTCGAGATGTGGCCATGTTGTTTAAATTTAGTCACAGCTAGGCTCACCATACTTTGGCTAATGAGTTGGCGATCACGATATGTTGCATTAAAAAGGTCAACACTTACTAAATCAGTTTTTGACACTTAGGCAATTGTTTAAAATAATTGGTTACCATAGTTACTGCTATTTTCATCATGTCAACAAATCTGAAGTAGTTAAACTTTAAAGTAATTTTTCTCGAAAATTTTCTTATGTAACCAATATTAATATTGACTGTATTAGATTCAGAAAAAAATCTTCTTTCATATTCCGTAATAAAAATGGCGGAAGAAATTTAAAATCTACACCAAACAATTGCAACAAATTTAAATCTTTAGACCCGTTTCAGGAATTTTTCCATAAACCGTTTATAATGATTTTATCGCCTATATCCGTTACTTTACGGACACACTGTATATCGGGTAGGTAAACCAGCCAACCAACCTTGTAACGCGACCTCAAAGATCTATTGTTGGAGAGATAACTGCTATCCAAAAATCGAGAATCTGATACGATTAATAGCGGGGCAGTGGCATAAAACATGTTCAATCGTCTTCTCGTCCTCCGCACATATTCGGCATTCATCATCGTCGGCTAGGCCCAACAAGTTGAAGTGTGTCTTTAATCGGCATTGCCCAGTAAAGACACCCATTAGAACTTTAATGCTGCTTTTTTTAAGGCAGTTTGACAGTGGCGATGTTAATAAACAACTTAGCGTGTCTCATTCCAGGAGAACTGGTCCACAGTAGGCGAAGTCTCTCTTCAACCCACAGTCCAATCCTATGTTTGGCAAATATGATATACCAACTAGGCTCTGGCCTCAAACACGCTTTAACGCTGCCCTCTCGTGCTAGCTCATCTGCCGCTTCATTGCCAGCAACCCCAGAGTGACCTGGGACCCAGATCAGAGAAACTTTGTTATTACAACTCAGTGTGTTTAAAGTTCTTTTACTTAGCCGAGAGCGGCTTGACTGTCTGAGAAAAATCGTACTGTCATGTTCTTCCCCCCTCTCTCAAAAAATGTTTTAGCACCCATGTCAATAGCAAATACTTCCTGAAATACAGTACAGTACGTACCCAGACACACTCAACATAAATATAATAATAATATTTCTTAAAGAATATAAGTAGTAAAAGTATTAAAGTTTTTCATTTACATCAAAATATTTTAATAAAATCAATATAAGTATGCAGTATACAAAACGTACTATAAAAGAGTGTATATTGTAAAATCTTTTGTGTCACACATTCTTCTACAAACTCTGTACAAACTTAAGCTTCTAAACCACCAAATTTTACTATAATATGCCCTATAAGCGGTCCTCACCAACATAGTTACGGTTAAGCGATTAAAATATACACAAATTAGACAGTTTAGATTCCGGTCTATGAAATTTGTCCTAAATAAGCGGCTGTCTCGATTAACACTGGTTTTAATCCCAATTAAGCTCAATCTGCTGTATAATATATAAAATAGTAGAAAGCCAAAGTGGTATTTAGGATATTTGAGGTGAATCTAATCGCATTTCGTTGCGCGACATAGTTTTATTAGATCTCTGTCAAAAATCAACTTCTTCAATCATCTTTTTTAAACAACTTTAAAATAATTTGAATATGTAAGATTCTATTATAAGCTGTAGAAGATGTTTTCTTTGTAGAAAATGAACGATTACTGCTTTTCTAAAACCATGAACCAAATGTTTTAAAATTCAAAAATATTACCTCTAAATTTTAGCACAACTTTTTCAATCGAAAGATACTCGAGATATCGATCTGTATCTTGAGGACCATTAACTTTTACAGGGAATTTCAGCATAGTTTATGAAGGTTATATATATATTTTAATTAAAAAATAAAAGTTATATATTTTTGTATGAAATTTTGAATTAGATTGTTGGAAGAGATGGTAACATGTACACATGTTTGTTATGTGAAGGAGAAGAAACAGTTTGTGGCGAAGCAAAAGCAATAATGCAACATATGAAATTGATCCACGACGCCCGATTATATATTTGCGACGTTTGTGGTGAGGATTTCCGGAAAAGAAACGAACTTTCCGTACATTTAGATGAGCATGTCGCCACTGAAGAAGGCGATTTTCAATGCGAAGTTTGTAATAGAATTTTTAGTAATTTAAGATTATTTCGAATACACAAAAGAATGCATTATCCCCAAAATAAAGCATGGACTTGTGAAACTTGCGGCAAAAGATATAGGTAAGAAAAATTTTGATTTATTATTTAAATAATTTGGTAATTTACGATAAAAGTACCTTTTTCTTGAAACGTCACTAACGTGTTATTGTTCTGACACGTCCGTATTAAAAATGATTTAAATTTTTACAAAATGTATCAAAAGTTATCATAAATAACTAATATCGAAACTAAAAATAACATACTAAATAAATTTTTGTGATTTATTTTTAGTTCTAAAAATTTATTAGACGAACACATAAATACACACACAGGTATTCGACCTTATATTTGTCAACTTTGTGGTAAAGATTTCGCATCGAAATATACATTTAAAGCTCACGTAAAAACACACGAGGTTCGTCCGAGACCATTTCAATGTTTACAATGTAATAAATCGTTTTTAAGCCAACAAAATTTAACGCAGCACGAACGGACGCATTCGGGCGTTAAAGAATATTCCTGTCACCTTTGCGATAAACTGTTTGGTTCCGTGCATAATTTAGAAGTCCATTCGATCGTTCACACCAATCACAAACCGTTTATTTGCGGTCAATGCGGAAAAGCGTTCGCTCGAAAAGCGGAAATTAAAGATCACGAAAGAACGCATACCGGCGAACGGCCGTATCAGTGCGAAATGTGCGGCGCCACTTTCAGCCAAAGATCAAATTTACAATCACACAAAAGAGCTACTCATTATGACGATAAAAGATATAAATGTGAGGATTGCGGAAAAGGATTTAAAAGGCGACGATTATTGGATTATCACGTAAAGGCGGTTCATACAGGGGAAAGACCGTTTAAGTGTGATGTTTGCGACGCAACTTTTGTTTATCCTGAACATTTTAAGAAACACAGAAGGATTCATACAGGTGAAAAACCGTATTTGTGTGAAGTGTGCGGAAAAGCGTTCAATAGTCGTGATAATCGCAACGCGCATAGATTTGTTCATTCGGATAAGAAACCATATGAGTGTTTAGTATGCGGAGCTGGATTTATGAGAAAACCTTTACTGTATCAACACATGCACACTCAAGGACATTTAAATGATACCATTGTGGTTAATCAACCCAGGTTAACAACTGATGATGATCAAATTATTACCGTAAGTATCAAAAATCTAATTTTCAAACAGTAGATACTTAGAGCCACTAAGAATGCGCCACGCAAATTAAAAATAATAAAATTAAAACCTTTATTTGAAGGTAATATATTCTATTTTAACAGGTTAACGCAGATGGTGAAATGGAAATTGTTGAAGGTGATGTAAGTAGATTTGAAAATGTTCACGAAGCTGATGAAGATTCAAAACTTTACATAGCCGACTTAAAATCGCATATGTTAGTTGATGGAAAAGTGTTTGAACATGCAGATGGTTCCTTAATTGTTGGTGAACATTTAGAAGAAGATCAACTTGAAGAATCGGAAGCTGTTGAACATATTATTATAGATGGACAAGTATAAGAAATCAAATTAAATAATTTAAAAATTTTAATCATATCACTTTTGTAGCAAATACAATTTGCTGATGAAGATGGTGAACCTGAAGAAGATATGGAAGAAATGGATGAAAGTGAAGGTGATCACGTTTTGTCCTCGTCAAATGATTATGAAAGAATTATAACCAGCGCGACTTTGGCAAATGGAGAAACACAAATTATTCAAACTAAGGAAGGTCCGGTTCAATTTGTGCAAGTACGTATACCTAATGATAATGGAGAAGAGGAAGATGCTTGGTTAAAAATCGTTACTAATTAATTATAAGGATAGGTATTAGTTACAAATGAACCTAGTTGTATTATTTAGAAAAAAAAATTGATTTTATTATGATGATAACTTGTAGATAAGTAACTACTCTTTATATGTTTGAGTTCTGATAATCGTTTAATTTTCAAATGTAGAGTGGATATGTTAAAAATAATAAAATGATATGATTCCCAATCCATTACGTTTTATTGGCTAACTAAGTAACGTTTGTTATTCTGTAAATACTTAATTATAACTTGTATATAAATTACTGTAGGTAGTATTAATTTTACGGGAAATGTTTTTCCGTATTTTTACTTTTTGTAATTTTTAAGGATTTGGTGTTGATAGAATAAAATCAAGACATAACTTCAACATTATTATATTTTGTTTCCCCTTTTTGTGGAGTTCACTACTTCCGTTTTGTATCTATTTGTATATGAAAAATAAAAGATACATTTTTATTCATTCTTTTCCTTAGAAGATTTATTTTTACCTTAAATCTCAATTAAATTTCAAACCTTTACTAGTTCTCCATACTTAAGAATATGTTTTATAATTATTTATTGTAAATTAGATATTTGGCTACTATGTTGTTTATATTTCTATTCTTAGTTATTCGTTGTCCGCAATTTTATTAATATTTTTTCCATGTCTAAATAGTAAAAAATTATTAAATTATTATTGAAGTAGTTTACTTCAATAATAAAAAAATAAAGTAAAAGTTAAATTAATTAACAACCCAAAATATCAACGAGCAAAAATGAGAATCAAGAATCAGAATTCTTGCGCATAGATGTTTAGATCAGCCGAACGAATGCTCATTCGGCTAGAACACAAGAACGCTTTGAAGAGACCGCTCCGATGAGTGAGCACGTCCGAACACGCAAGAAGGGTCTAAGCAATTGTTCGCACGCTCTAGTGTCGTTTACATCAAGCGATCGAACATTCTTAGAATATTCCCCAGAATCTTTGAGAACACAGACAGAACAACGAAAGAATGCTCTTCATCCGTTTACACTAAAAAAATATGATAGAGTGGGGATAGAATGAGCATTCGCTCGTCTGATGTAAATCGGCCCTAAGACTCACGTTAAAGATGGAAAACATCGCCAGAAAAACTGAAGGATGTATTATTTGAGTGTTAGCGAACAATTTTTGCTGGATAATATGCCATGGTGAGTACATTGTTTATTATTAATCTTAATGAATATAAGTTGATGAAAATGATAGTTTCATTGTTCTTTCATTCATCGTTCTCTGAATCGTCTATATTCAACCATTTGATTTGACATCCGCTTTATTTTTTACTTTTGAACTTTACTTCTCTTGGATGTCGAGATATAACTTTAAACCGAAGCATTTTGGAACACTCTGAGGTAAATCCGCATTCTTACTTTTGCTGTAATCATTGGTCGCTTTCACATCCTTATCGCTGCTTATTTTAACAATCTGCGCTCTCGATCTAAGTATCTGCATGCCTCTTACTTGTACTGCTTCAGGGACCTTAATCATCTCTTTTTGAATTTTTTGTTGCAACATTTACCTCACTGGTGCCATAACCTACCTTTATGATTAATATGTTTTTTCTCAGGTTTTCTAGCTACCATCGCCCCGTAGGACGTAGTGACCTCTTAGAACTGGAACTACAACACCAATGAGACCTGGAGGATAGACTGGGGAAGGGGCAGATGGGAGGGTTGATGGTGGGAGGTAGAAAGGTGCAGATGTTAGCATACGCGGATGACATCGTGGCCATGGCGAGAGAAGCGGTGGAGATGAAGGATATGATAAAGACATTGGAAAGATATTTTAGGGGGAAGGAGCTGGAAGTGATTGTGGGGAAGACAAGGATGATGAAGTTTTGTAAGGGTGGGAAAAAAAGAACAGAAAATTGGAGATGGGAGGGAAAGGAGATCGAGGAGGTTATTGAGTATACTTACTTGGGGTATGTGTTTAGGGAGGATAACAGGGAGGGGTCGCATGTGACAGCTATGGCAAAAAAGGCGAATAAGGTGATGGGACAAGTATGGGGTTGGGGGAAGAGAGTCTTTGGAAGGAATGTGGCAGCGAGGAAGATTATGTTTGAAGGTCTGGTTAGCAGTGTGATGATGTATGGGGCAGAGGTATGGGGATGGAGGGAGCAGGGAATGCTGGAGGACGTGCAAGCTAGATATTGGAGATGGGTGCTTGGGGTGGTGAGAGAAACACCGGGGTATATAGTGAGGGAAGAGGTGAAGGTGGATAAGGTCAGAGTGGAGGCGGGTAAGAGGGCAGTGAAATATGAAGAAAGAATAGAAGGGAGGCCAAACTGCGGGATCTTGGGGGAGTGTTGGAGGGAAATTAGAGAGGGAAAGGTCAGATATGGGAAAGGAGACGGAGACAACTATTATAGACGAGCGGGCTACTCGGTAACTGAGATAAATAGTAGACGAAGGGTGGATAGGGAAATGTGGAGGGAGTTGAGAAATTGGGACCGAGATGTGCAGAGACAGGAAAGAAGGACACAAATAAAAGAGGGAAGGTATAACGAAAGGTACAGGGACTTAATTACGGAGCGGCTGCCTAGATACTTGTTATTGGAAGGAGATGAGGAAGGGAAGAAGTTGGTGGCTAGGTTCCGTTGTGGAAACGAGGAGAGAGCTAACAGATACTGGATGGCCGATGAGGAGAGGTGGTGTAGGCTGTGCAGGGAGGAATGGGAAACGTTGGAATATATGTTGAATGGGTGCAGTGAGTTGAGGGAGGAAGAGATGGACCGAGGGCAGATCTTAGGAGAGGGGGAAAGAGGAAACGATGGATGAGAATGGTTGTGGGGGTGAGGAGACAAAGGGATGGATGAGGGATGAGGAAGGGGATGAGGAAGAGGGTAGAGGGTGAAAATATTATTTTAATAATGTAAAGAATTGTAGACAGACTGTTGTATACAATAAACTCTTAATTAATATGGAGAATGTACAAGCGCAGTATGGGAAGATCACCAACAGGAGATGGGTTGATGACATTGAGGAAAAACCTGGGAAGAATTGGCTACAACCAGCACAAGAATAAAACGAGTGGAAGATAAAAGAGGAGGCATATATCCAGGAGTGGATGACTAAATGCTGAGAAAGAAGAAGGAGAAGAAGTTTCAACAAAATAATGCCAACAAATTCAGCTGGTCAAACAAGTGATGTATTGAAGAGGAAATTTGGTAACCCCAAATGTAATCTCGAGGAATCCGGTAAGTATAACAAAAACATACATTTTGCTGGGAGGTCTAAATGGTCGCTAAACATGGGGTTACACATAGAGACCAGTGATGTAAAATTACGGTAATTTATAGTTTGTGTAAATTACTGTGGTAAATTACGGTTTTTTTTTCTCAAAATTTATTCTCGCGTAATTTAAGAATTTTTTTGATAAATTATTGCGGTAACATTTTTATTATTTTGATTCAAGGACAGTAGAATCTAACTTGATTTTGATGAAATAAAACCTTTATACAAACTGCAAGGGAACATTTAAAATAAACTGTGTAACAAAATATGAAACAAAATATGAATTCTATGTAATTCAAACAAATAATTCAGAAAAGCTTCTTTCTGTTGTGCACGTTGTTGGTGAGCAATTTAAGATTTCCGTTTGCTACTTTGCTTGAAGATGTAGTGCAACAAAGAGACTTTCACCATATAACAGAATGCAGCTCACCCGTATCCAAAGCTTTCCATATGAAACCGTTAGAAAATAATTGTTCTTTTGATTTATAATAGGCAATTTCAGTCATAACTTTTGCTACATTAGATCCATTAACCAGAAGCGGCGATAATTTATTGATATATGTCAATGCTGCAATGTACACGTCGTTACTGAGATGTTTTCCCATAATTTTTGGATCTAGTAAATTTGCTGCTAAGTGTAAAGGTATTACAGCCCTATCTCTTCGTGCTTTTAAAAGTGATAGAATTGTTTTTACTTCTAAAACTGGGCATTTACTTTGTAGTTGATCATTAAAATTTTGCAAATAGTCAACAACATGAGAAATGCAAGGTTGGAAAGTTTGTACATTTTTTAAAATTACTGAAGTGGTATTTAAAATCGCGTTTAATATTTTCGTCTAGAATACTTGTTTTGTTACAGTTTCTTCAGTTCACTTTATCGCATTACCAAAACACCGAAAGCGCATGCGCAGATACATTCTAATAATTTATGTAATATAGGTAATTTATGAAAAATTTGTTTGGTAATTTGCAGTAAATTACGGTAAATATTTTGGTAATTTACAAGGTAATTTACAAATTCACATCACTGATAGAGACACATCGCAGTCCGGACAATGGTAGGCATTTCCCGTCTAATATTCTTGCCAGGACTATCGCGCATCCTACTGCAGACGATACAGTGTCTAGTGGGATTTTCTTTCTTTTTAGTTATTAAAAAACATTTAGGGAAATGACGTCCGGGAAGAAAAACATTGGAAGGTTGCTAATATTTTTCCACAGTTTCCCAAATTACATCCATCCTATATTTCAGTGGCGTTTTCTTCCCCCCTCCTTTTGGGTAAATTACAAATGAGTTTCATAACGCTAAATCTAAAGGATGGAAGAAAATCTTCCTGTTGTACTTTCCGTTTTATTTATTACTAGTCTTTACTAATCTAATCTATTACTAGGTACGAGTTGTTTCGGAAAAAGACAAATTATCATGAGTTTACTTGAATACCCTAATATACAATTTATTCATGTTACATTAAAACTGTTTACTTCGTTTGGTTAAAAGGAACTCGTTATCAGATTGATAACGGAAGTTATTCTTGGAAATTGATAAAAATGTTACAGAATTACTTGCAAATTTCGTTAGTTCAAAAACCACAGACCAAAAGGAAGAATGTTTAACAAAATTGTAATTATATTTTGGGTACAACTGATTAAAAGTTTATTATGTAAAGATGATATCGGTGAAATTACACTTTTTAATACTGGTTCGTATCCAAATTTAACTATGCATTGTATCAATAAAAATCCAGAAAGTGAATCGGCGTTGATATGGCTCAATGATCAGATGAGGGAAGAAATATTAAGTGATGGGATATTACCTAAAAAATACATTTGGAAAATGAATGAATTTAAGGGGACATTTTTCCAAGATGTTAAATTGCAAAGTTCTTTGGACTTCGCCTTTAACTATACTGGATTTGTACTTGATAAACGTTGGAACGGTAAGAATTAAGAATAAATTATACTTGATTTATCATTGAGAATGCATAAAATTAACAATATTTAAATTATTAAAATAGATTTTAAAGAAATTCAAACGGAGGGACATGAATTTCAAGAATTAACTTCAATTTCTCCTTATAGTCATGTATTCACAATAGACTTTTCACTCCGCATTAAAGAAGATGGTTATGTGTATATCTCTGACCATGTTGATCCATTAAAAGCTAGAAATACCTACTTCATTATATTTGGTGGATGGTGGAATAATAGTGTTGGTCTTCGAAAATGTGGTCCAAAAGAAATAAGTGAAAGTGTTTATTATTATCCAAAAGGCGATTGTTTCAATGTTAAAGTTTTCGTAAGTTTTAACCACTCTTTTATATTCAGATCTAAAATTCTCAATTTTGAGAAGTTACTCAATAAGCGAATCTCTTGGATGGCGGAACTGTGTATTCCGTTATTTACCAAGATGATTTTCAGGGAATCTAATACTCAGATAGAACTTTTTCAGGGTAAAGCAGGGAAGTCTCCAACAGTATCAATAAAATACTGGAACCATTTTAGAATCGAAAAACAGCTTGATACCATAAACGTATATCAATATGTAGATCATACCTTAAAGCTGTTACTTACTTTTAAAGAGAAAAAGAATTTTTTTTCAGCAAAAGCTTTAATCAGAACTAAAACTTTAGGATATTGGAAACCTCACGATTGTATGGAAAAACATATAACCCAAATTTAAATTAATTTGCATTGTTTTAGATAAATTTTATGCAATAACGAAGAGTCGTATTAAATCTAAAGCATTTTTTGTTTCATCAGAACGTTTATGCGTAAAAGTATATTTTAAAGCATGCCCCAAATGTAAAATAAATTTAGAAATATGGAATGATACTCATAAAATAGTGTCCAAAGAAGCAACACAGGAGGGAATAAACTGGGAAACTATAATTTTAAAATCCGAACAAAACGTTAAAAATGTTTCGTTGAAATTGGTAATCGTGGCGGATATAAAAAATGAATTAGAGCCTTATTTTATAGGCGATATTGTTGACTGCAGTCAAGATAGTAAGATTTATCATTATCAAATAATTAAAACAATAAAACTTACGTTGATTTCAGAAACCGATCAAATTCAAACCAATCAAATCGATAAAATGCTTCACACTTGTTGCCATTCAATCAAGCACGCAATAAAAATGTGTCCACGATATTCAGTTTGGTGCGAAGCTAAAGATATTACATCAATTGATGCTTGTAATTGTTTTATGAATAATAACAAAAAACATGGTGTTTCACTATAGTGTGCCAAAAAATAATTTCTTTATGTTTAGCAATCTTTGACTTGTCGTTGCAAAGTCGACAACTTTGATTCCCAGCTTTGTGCAAGGTTGTGCAAAACCTGAGAGCAAACTTAGGTCCCCTTTGCTGAGGCAAAAAACCTCTTTGGTTTTCTTTTGCGACTGAGTTATCATACTTTTCGCCTATCTGTGTCCTAGAAGTTGTTCCCTGAGTCCTCCCATGTGCTAATATATATTCATAAAAAGTTAAAGAGTTTTAAAGTTAACAAATCGAAAGCTGACCAAGACTACTCCAAAAAAATATTTCATATCGCTTTAAAATCAGATTTTTTGTATGAAATTTTCGTTTGGCTCACTACTTTTGAAACACCTCTATAATTTGTTATAAACATTTTGTTGCTACATTGTCCTTTGTTTCTTAGACAAAAGTTGTCCAGAAAAATCATTTCAAAACAACTGCTTCTCTTGTGATGCTTTCAACAATTGCAAATTCTGCGATATGTGTTGCGAAAAATCAATTTTAGGCGATCTAGAATGTAAATGTTATAATGAAGATTATAGCAAGGAAAACAAATATCAAAGTAAGTTTTTTTATAAAAATTACTTGGAAGTAGCAGGTAACAAAAACCAGAAATAATTGAATGTACTCTATGAATATCATTTGAGCAAAACACCAGTGTATCTTAAATAAACCCAAATCAATTTGGCAAATTATCATTGCAAGAATGAGTTGAACGAATTCCCCACCACAAAGATATCGAACCAGAAAGAGAATTGTTGATTTAAGAAGATTAATGAAAAATCAGGCGGTGTAGAAGAGATAGAATAGGAGAGAACAATGAACCTTTCTTTTCCTCTTGAACATCTTGGAATTCTCCAATTAATTTGAATTTCCAGAATTTGCAGCAACAAACTAATGATCAATCTTATGCAACTTTTCCGGCACGGCATGATTGATTATGGTAATCTCAAAACTCAATAACTGGGACAACAGCCAAACTATCTACATTTTCGCCCACAACATTATTGTAGCATAGAAAATGAAAAATTTTTACAAAGCTGGTTTTTTGCTCTCTATCTACTTCAATACCCAAGGTGGTTTGCACAACTAGTTCATTAATTTTTTTTTGTTTTACTGCTCCCATGACTTTGAAATTAAAATTGTAGGGGTTGTACTATCGTCTTTACATGCCATGCGCCATAGACAGAGATGGGAAAGGTAAATTCAACCCGAAGAAGGTAAAGCCCCTTTCGCATCTCTATCTATGGTTCATGAAATGTAAAGACGATAGTAGATACTGAACTTTCTTGAAATATAACTTAAATCCAGGTCAAACTCAACAGTATAATTTACTTTCGATAGACTGAAAGAAGCATTCTTGAAAACAGTTTATTTCGGAAGGTCAAAATATACAACTCCTACTGGATTTGAGTCTGGGTTTCAAAGACGTGGAAGTACTAGAATCCAAAAAATGTTCTAATGAACCTTGTTCGAACACTTTGTATAAAAGTTTCATTACAAATTTTTTATATTAATGTAATCGTTTATATTGAAATAGGTGATACTTGGAATGACGTAGATATTTTACAATTCGTTCAACAAAATGTGTCACTTGATATATTTTTCACCGTAAGTTGCAATCACTGCAAAGGTCCAATTACGGTTGGTATTAATATTACATGCATCAGCCCATGGTGCTTACAATTACCTACAAACCAACAACACCATACTATAGAAAAAAATTATGAATCAACATCAGTAAATGAAGAAAAGTTTACTTTTAAAGTAATTGGTTTAACCAACTATAAGATTAAAATTGAAGCTAAAAGGTATAGGGCGAAAACTCATTATAAAGAATACACATTAACTACAAATGCAACAAGTTCTGGACCTATTTTGGATGCGAATATTTACGAAAAGAACAATAGTAGTTTAAGTATACGATTTAAACCGCCTTATCCGAAAATGGGAGTTTTAGATTGGTATAAAATTTATATCAAACAACTTGACGAAAATGATCCTTTGGAATACAGAAAGTTTTCCCCCACGCAATGTAAAATTTGGGTTGATTATCATTGTGTTCACTTAAACAAACTTAAGGAAAACATGGGGTATATTATGCATGTAATCCCTATTAATAATCGAAAACTTTCTGGAGCTTCAACAGTAATAGAAGGATTTACCAAAGAAGACAGTAAAATCTAATAAAAAATAAGAAACTTAGTATTTGCTCATTACTTTTTTTTAGAACCAGAACCACCTGAATATTTATTACTTACATGGCAGACAAATTATTTAAATGTTGAATTCTCACATCCAGCAATAACAAATGGACCGTTAAAAAGCTTTACAATATTCATTGATAATGAGAAGTTGTTAAAAACAATTATTAACAACGTAGAAAAGTTCTATACATTTCACGTATGTAATAAATATATTAAATGTTAATGTTAGTAACAATTTTTTTGTATAGATACTAAAGTGGAAACCAGCAGCTAATATAACAATTGGGGTTAAAGTGGAAAATCAAGCAGGACAGTCCAACATTGTACAAAATTCAACATTTTCACCACCTTCAATTCCCCAAATAAATACAACAGCTATTGAGATCAAACCTAATACATCAAAAATCCAGCTTAATATACCCGTAATCGAAGTGAATGAACATGTTGAATGGTTAATATTTTAATGATCAACTTATTAAAATACAAAGTCATTTTCCTTTTCTAGTTTTTTAGCTGTAATTGTTACAAAACTTTCTGAAGAATGTGAATTTAATCCCGATGTATTTGTATTAGCAGATCAAAAGATTTTAGAAGAAGTTGAGGTACCTCAAAATTATATGAGTTGGGTCGCTTGGAAAAGCAACATCACAAAAAATGAGCCAAACGTTATATCTATAGGAGATGACATTGGTAACAATAGAGTACTTCTTGAGAAAACTAAATATAACATCACAGTTTATATCAAAAACACTTACAATAAAAAAACAAATATTTTTATATGGCGGAAAGAAGTATTGACCTACTTTACTGATCATTCTTGTGTCCCTTGTGAAGCATGTGTAAATGTTTTTTAAGTTTGTGTAGTTTTAGAAAAGTATGAAAAATAATTAATATAAAATTTCCAAGTTGTGGAATTAGATTAAGTTGCTTTTAGTTCACGAATAAGTAAAGCAAATATGTCAAAGTTAATTAATTATAACACGCAATAAATCTTGTATCATAAGAAGAACTGTGTATTTTGGCTCCTTAATGCCATTTATGTACTTTTAACTTGTACCTTATACCCAAACAGTGAGTACTTACTAGGGCGCGCGCGATGTTTAGCACATTTGTTACATTTATTATGTGGTGAAATTATTAACAGTCCATCAATAGTCACGTGCTTAAAGCAACTTTTGATCAAATAGGAAGAGAAAAAAGTTTAAGTCGCTCTTAAATTTCCAGCGCTAAACTAATAAAAGTGTTATCCAAACCTTAGCGATAACCGAAGGAATAATAATCACATTAGAAACAATAAAAAAAATCCTTGTTGATAACTTTTGGAATCTTATCCAAAATATGTTAGAACCTATAATAAACTTATTAATAAAAGTACAATCTAATGAACCACAAATACATATTGTGTACTAACAAAACTGGAGTCGACTTTAATGGACAACATTAATGTCATCAATTTCGAAAATCCGAAAAGGATAGTATTATTAAGAAAATGATTGACAGAAAAAAGTTTGCACTTTTGCTCAGGGGTGCGATTTAAATCCCACTCAGTTGTTGGACGCAATGATGTTTATATATGTATAATATGAGAAAGTATTGTCATATAAAATAATTTCATATAAATGAAATCAAGTCTTAACTTTATTTACTCTATTTACTCTAAGTCTTTACTTTATTTTACTCGGATCTTAATCCGAGTTAGCAAATTTTCGAAATAAAGAAGATACATGGGCAAAAACCATTTTATGAGATAGACATGATTTTATCCACTACTTTTATAGTGGAGAGATTTGAGGGAAACCTGGAAATTGGCAGATATCGCCATAAAGTGCATCCATAACATCAGCGACAACAGAAAGAACGTTTAGCACGTTTAGTTCATAGAAAATAGCTTCGTAAAATGGTAGAAATGCTCTCTCTAAACAAAAACTTCGTACTAAAAATTGAACGCATATGGCGCCATCTGTTGGGGATATTTTGGAATTATTTAGCTAAGAACCATACCACTAGAATACAGGTTGGTTTGGGTTTATATATAAAAGCTCCAACCACAGAATAACTGTTTGGAAAGTGTTTGGAGCCACTATGTGGCTCCAATTAACGTTCCGACTGGTTGGGAATCCCTCAGATGCAATTAACTATGGCAATTACACCTGTCAAATAATGCCGCACATTTGAATATCACTGCATCATATGACATATGAGATTGCATCTGAAGAGCTTCCAACAACTTATAACGTTAGCTGAAACAAAGCTATAATGTGAATTATAATCTAATTATTTAATCATACCATTATTACTTTATTATACTCTTACCGAAAAATCACTTGAAATGACGTTTTCATCTGTCATTCTGAACAAACTTCAACTTTATAATTTTAAAAGTTGAAGTTAGCGACAAATTTAAAAATATAACACGAATTGGAATCTATACTTTTTAAATTAAAAGAATGATACTGGTAATAATTGTTATTGCTGTCTCTCATCATTCCCACTATTAATAATAAAATTGTTAGTTTAATTAAATTATTTCAGTATACAGTGTGTCCCCGGATAGGTGAAACGACTCTTATAAAAGGTAATTTTTTTTCGATATTAATTGTCATTTTTTGGGGTTTAGCCCTGCTTGACTAAAGACTAATTTTAAACATATTTTTAATTTTTAAAAAACAAGCGAGCCTTGACAGTGAAAGAAAAACTCTTTTTGTGGCAGGTAAAGTACATTTTCTGTTCATGAACAAAAAGGTTACTTTACCTGAACTAAAAATAGTTTTCTCTTCACTATCAAGGCCGAGTTGATTTTCAAAATATGTAAATATACTTAAAATTCTCTCCGCACCAAGCAGGGCTTAATNAAATTAATGACCCAATGTCACCAACTTGAACTGGTTCCATAAAATGTTACTAAAATCTCATTACAGCATCGGATGCTGTAAGGAGTCTCATTACAGCACCCGTTTGAGTACTGTTATAGCTTCCATTACCGTAGCGAATTACAAAAAGTACATTTTCTGTTCATGAACAAAAAGATTACTTTACCTGAACTAAAAATAGTTTTCTCTTCACTATCAAGGCCGAGTTGATTTTCAAAATATGTAAATATACTTAAAATTCTCTCCGCACCAAGCAGGGCTTAATTCCACAGCCTTAAGATAAAATTCAAAAATTTTTAAGTCATTATATCTCTTGTAACATCTATCCTGGGACACACTGTATATAAAAATGACACAAATCAAAATATAGCAGATTTCGAAAAAAAAGAAGAAGACGATGATGAAATGGATAAAGACGAGGAATTATCAATGATGGAAGACATATCATCAGACGAATCTGTCTTAATTTAGATCATATCTTTTAGATTTAGATTTTAGCATTTCTTGTTTTATTTTTATGACTTTTCGTTTAAATAACCAGTGTTAATGATTTTTATTAAAGAACTTTTATTTTTGAATTAAAACTTGTTTACTTTTTTAGTGACCTTTGTATTGTTTTTAAATTTTATTCTCTACCCATAGAATTTTCCCTTGAAAATAAATACCAGGGTATTTAACAACATTGCTTAAAATACTACTTTTCTTATATGGTTTGTTCAGTTCTTAATAACCTTCCTATTTGTTGTACTGATAGCAGCCTTATTATTATAGCTGCCGGACTGAGAGGAGCAGCCCCTCTCGTCACCGCGACCTATAACATCTATTGTAACTTAAGCCCTTCAAAAGTTTAGGGCAAATGTAGGTCCTTTATGAACCTTACTATTGCTCTAAGGTCTTGTTACTTTATGTCGGTAGGTGTCAGGCAAACTTTACCGAAAATTTTGTGTCTTAGGCGGCCTCTGATTGCAGCTTACAAACATTAAAAAGAAATATAAGTATCTTGCATCGGAGAGTGTAATAAGGGTGAAGTGATAGCACTAATGTAAACAATTAAAAAATACATTTTTATTCTTCCCTTTCTTTTCATATTTTCCTTTTATGCAGTTTTTATCTATAGCATGTACAGGTGTCCAAATTTCGATGGGTTTGCAGGGTATCTCAGTTATTATGAAAGATAGAAAGTTGCGGCTTTCGCGAACCTGAGCTACTTTTTTGTGAAACTTACAATGGCACAAACCAAATTTTCAGAACCCTCTTCGTTTTTGATATACAGGGAGTGTTTAAAATTTACGATTTTTAGATACCTCCTGTATCTCGGCTATCCGGAAACTTAGTAAGAAAGTAAAAACGGGTTCTAATAGATTTTTTCACGTGGAATCCAATGGTGCACGTAGAATTCTTCTAATCATCACGGTTTTTGAGTTATAAACACAACTCAAATACTGAATACTCAATTTCTAAAATACTCAGCTCTTTATAACTCAAAAACCGTGTGACTAGAAAAATTCTACGTGCACCATTGGATTCTACGTGAAAAAATCTATTAGAACCCGTTTTTACGTTTACTGATAGCCGAGATACAGGAGGTGTCTGAAAATCATAAATTTTGAAACACTCCCTGTATATCAAAAACGAAGAGGGCTACGAAAATTTGGTTTGCGCCATTGTAAGTTTCACAAAAAAGTAGCTCAAGTTCGCGAAAGCCGCAATTTTCTATCTTTCATAATAACTGAGATACCCTGCAAACCCATCGAAATTTGGACACCTGTACAGTGTGTTAATTATTTTAATTAATAACGACGTCATTATTGCAAGTATGCAACCAATATCACAGTATTGGTATACGCAATTTGTATAACACACTATTATTAGTTGAATTTACAAATAAGCAAATTGAGACTGTGTGTTGGGTGATACATTTTGAATATATTTTATTTTATTAATTCAATACTTAAAACAGTTATTCAACAAAAGATGATTCTGATCTGAAATTAAAATTAATCCATAGGCGTGTACTGAAGGATTTAACCTCAATATTTTACATTTATACTTTTTTTCATGTTCATTTTGTCATTTACAATAAAACAACTTTATTATGAAAAATCCTTTTATATTTCTCTTACATTACAAATTGCAATCGAAATGAAACCATTATATTTATGAACTTAAAACATACATTAATCACTAAAGTCAACTTATTCCCCTTTTTTTGTGGGTGGTTTATAAACCCCAACAACAACTGCATGATCCCTTTCATATGGTTCCAATGTGATTTGCTCTTGAGGTTTCATTTTCTCCGCTTTTAATTTTCCAACTTCAGATGCAAACACAGCCTCTGGTTGCGCTGTAGAATCTATACAAGATGCTTTAATGGATATAACGAAATGTCCTCCATTCTTCAAAAAATGATGTGAATTTAATGCCACTATCCTAGCTTGATCTGGCTGGGCGACGTCAGCAAATACTGTATCCACCATTCCAACCAACATCCGGTATTTATGTGGATGTCTGGCATCTTCAATGATGGGAATGATGTTGGTGCGTTTTTTAGCTACATTTAATAAATCTCGTCCGGATCTATGAGAGAATTCGACTGCGAACACCAAACCTTCAGGCCCAACTATATCAGAAACATGAGAAACTGTTGTTCCTGAAGCAGCCCCTAAATATAAAACTCTAGTTCCTGGGCTCATATGAATTTTATCAACACCACCTAATATTGCTGCAGCTAATTTACTTCTAAATGGATTCCACACTCTGTATTCAACTTTATCACCTTCATTTTCAACTGAAATCCTTTTTTCACCATAAACATCAGAACCAGGAACAAGATTTAAAGTAACTAATGCATCTTCTTTCCCTCTAGCAATGAAAACTCCTTCATGCCTATGGGGTTCGATAACGACCGTTTTACCTCCTTTGAAGCCTCCTCTACCACCCCCGCGTCCACCTCCTCTACCACCACCTCGTCCACCGCCACCACCCCTTCCAAAACTGGGACGACCACCTCCTCGTCCTCCGCGGTCACCAAAACCACCACGACCAAAACTTGATCTGCCGCCACCACCGCCGCGACCCCCACCTCCACGACCTCCGCGGTCACCAAAACCACCACGACCACCGCGGTCACCAAAACCACCGCGACCACCAAATCCTAAAAAAAAATTAAATATAAGACAACCACGCTAACATTTAAGGTTATGTATTCATAACCATAAAAACATGTTTATTTATATCAATGTTTTTATTCAACAAAAAATTTAAACGTATTAGATATGTTAAAGAATGATACTTACCAGGTCTTCCCATGGTAAATTAACTAAAAAAGGGGCGCAATTTCACTTAATAAGATAAAAATCACGGCGTACTGTTTCAAACCACGTGTAGAGGTTAGCGATAGTTTACGACTTGAAGTTAGGTACTTTGTATAATATACGTCACAAAAATATGGAGTGGGTCAAAAAGAATACGAAAATAAATTGATTAATAATAAGATTACAATTAATTTTAACAATTAAATGAAAATAAAAAGAGAGTGTGTTTGATAATTAAAAATCTATAAAAAAATATTAACATCAAAAATAAATTTAATGTTTTTCATGAACGTTAATACATGATACAACTCCATCTTTTATACGATGTAGTTGAATATTGGACGGAGTGGGAATTTGACATAACCTCAAAAGTGCGAAAACGTGTAGTTTATTGTGAAAATTTAAAATTATGGCATCTCAATTTTCGAAAGATGGGAAATATTTCGCCACTCTCTCAGTGGACGGCAAGTTAAAAATATGGAATACGTTATCCAATAAATTAGAGCAAGAATACATACCAAATTGTCATTTATCTTGTCCCTGTACCTGTTTGCAATTTGTTGAAACTCAAACAACACATAAAAAGGTATATATAATTTAAAAATATTAAATAAATAACATAGATATAATCGCAAATCTTTATTTTTATAATAGGATGTATCTCCTACAAAAAAGAAAAGAAGAAGCTCTTTGGCATCATGTTCCCAATATGTTATTTTGGGTACTAATACCGGATTACTTTTGGGATACTCACTTTCAACATCTAGCATTGCTTTTACCATAAATAGTAAAACTAATAAAGTAATTAGTTGTTTGTCATGGGATTTAGACACAAAGATCTATGCAGGAATAGAACAAAGTGTTTATGTTTTTAATATACAAGATTTAAGTGTTATTGAGTAAGGAGGAACTTATTTATATAAAGAAAAAAGTTAAAAAAAATTTTTTTTAGCAAATGGAAATGTGAAACCAATAATATATCTGCAATTAAATTAATACCAGGTGGAAAATTATTAACTGCCTCTAAACGTATAAAATTATGGGATATCAAAAGTAAAGAGATTTTAAAAACATACACAGGACATAGCAGTGATGTGTTTGTTATGGAATATATCAAACCAAAACAGAATTCTGAGGATTATTTTATAACAGGATCAAAAGGTGATCGATTATTGAGCTGTTGGTCTTTGAATCAACAAAATTCTGATCAAAACGCTATTTCTACATTTCTTATGGATGATGTTGTTGATAATGTTGCTGTTTTTCAAAGTGGAAATGGAACTACTTATTTTGCTGCACTCACAAGAGGAGGTTCAATTTATTTTTATCAACACATTTTAAATGGGTAAAGTTTTCTTGATTAAAATTTATTATTAATCCAATTTTATTTTATTTATCTTTTCAGAAGATGCAAAGCACCATTAAAACCTCAAACGGTCATTCAAATAGCATCAAATTCTAATGTTCAAAAAGAACAAAAAGCTCAAGTAATCCCAGTTCCAATATTAGGTGTAAAATTTCAAGAAGATTTCGTTATAACCATCTGTTATGGTTCTCATACTCATCTCACATTTGAAACAGTAACAATAACTCATAATGAAAAAGTACAATGTCTCGTCCGAAATGAAAACACCATTTCAAAAATCAGTAAAAGCGATCAAAATAACACAAACGTTCAGCGTCCAATAGTAGGAAATGATGTTCATTATATCACACCACATGCGACCCCATCAAGTATAGCATTAAAAAGAAAATCGGGTGGATCTGGTACGAGCGAAGTTCCAATGGAAAAACGATTAGAAAATTTAATGTTAACAAAGTCAGATGAGAAAGTACCAAAAGTAACAAATTTATCGCAGTTATTAATTCAAGGAATTCATAGTCGGGATAAAAGTATTTTACAAACAGTTTTAAATAAAAAAGATGAAAAAACTATTAGAAATACGGTTCAAAGATTGCCAATAAGCGCTGTTATTTCTTTGCTACACGAATTAAACGAATTTGTTAATGGAAAAACATTTTCTTGCTCGATAGCGTCAATTTGGATTAAACACATATTAGAAATCCATTCGGGCGTGTTACTTTCAAATCCAAAATTATCAGAACTTTTAGAACCAATGTCAAAATGTATAGAGAAACGATTAATACTTCAAATGCCATTAAATAAATTACAAGGAAGGTTGGGCTTATTAATGTCCCAAGTGAATAAAGATGACTTAAATGATGAAAGCGATGACGTGGATGGTGTTGGAACTGAAATTTTAAATTATATTGATAAAAGTTCCGATAGCGATTCGGATATTGAAAATATGGATACATCATTGCAACAGTCTGAAAACGAATGGTCGGAGGAGGATGAAAATGTTGAGGAAAATGGAAATAGTCTATCGGATGATGATGAAGTTGTTATGTTATCTGATGATGATGATTCGACGTAGTTGTTTCTTTCCATTTATTATTTTGATTTCAATTATTTTTAATTTTAAAATAAGTAAATAAAGTTATTTTATAAAGATTTTTTTTAATGTGTTTTTTAACCCCTTTAAAAAAATTAAGTGGAAAGAGTAAAATTTAATAAAAGTTCTTGATTTAAGAAATTCATTGAGGTTAAGATTAGAATTTATATGGAATATTTGACAAATTTTAATTAAAATTCGATGCCTAACTCAATTCTAAAATGCTTTTTCATTTTCATGGAGTTTAAATGAGATTCAATAACAGTGCTAACTTCTGTTATGATCCATGTATGTATGTAGGTCATGGTTTTAATGAACGTTAATATAGAAAAGAATAGTGTGTTCTTTATGTCCGAAATTTGGGGTCATGGTACGCCAAAAATGAATTCTGTTAAGTACGCGAGGTTGAGAGTTGGGACAGTCACAAACAATATGACTTACCGTCTCGTCATCAAATCGTCTACAAAGAGGTGTGGTCGCCAGCTCTTCTTATATGTATATTATATTAGGCATATAATATACATATTTGCTTATCCTCCTGTGGTGGTTGGTAATATAACTAGGCAGAATACTATTAATAAAATCCTTGCATCTACCAACGTGCTTTCCTTTTCATTTAGCTTGGTTACAGATGCTGAGGTCTGGGATGCTTTAACTTACTCCAAGTCCGCTAGTGTCGGAGCGGATGGTATTGGACTCAGATTGCTCTTACCCATTCTGGATATAGTTATTACTCCCCTAACACATATTTTCAACTGTTCTTTTGAACAATCTATATTTCCTTCAAGCTGGCCTATGTTATTCCTATCCCAAAAATTAAATCTCCGTCCCATGTTGGTGACTTTCGACCCATTTCTATTCTATCTACGTTGTTAAAAGCTACATTCAGAAATATATTGAGGAGTTTAATCTGATTAACAAGTTCCAGTCTGGTTTTCGTGAAGGGCATGGTACTACTACAGCACTGATGATATTAGATCTGCATGTGATAACGGTTGTATTACTTTGCTTTATTTTAGCAAGGCCTTTGATTCTGTGGCCCATGCCCTCCTGTTAACTAAGCTTTCTGCTATTGGTTTTACCTCTTTTTGTGTATCTTGGTTCCAGTCCTACCTTTCCTATCGGTCTTTACGTGTCCGCGTGGAATCTGTACTCTCTTCTCCTGTTGACATCAAATGTGGAGTTCCCCAGGGCAGTGTGCTGGGTACTTTGCTCTTCTCAATTTTCATAAATAGTATTAGTGATGGTATCTCGTGTTACTATCATTTGTATGCAGATGACCTTCAACTTTATATTTCGTCAACTGTTAACAACCTGCCAGATGCGTTGTTGCATCTTAACAACGATCTCTCTAGCGTGCTTGACTGGTCTAGACGTCATGGACTTAACCTGAATCTAGATAAAACGCAAGCCATTGCATTTGGCACTCGCCCCTTGCTGGCACAATTTAATTCCTTAACTACCCTTGAACTGAGGCTTGGCGACACCGTTATTCTGTTTTCTAATCACAAGTTCAGGGAGTCAGTAAGAGGGTTTACTTCTGTTTCCATACTTCGCTGCTACCTTCCTCCTGTTGTACGTCGTAATCTTTGTTATTATCTCATTTTCCCACACATTGATTATGCCCTTGCTGCGTATCCCGATTTGTCCGCAGCCCTTCAGGGTAAATTGGAAAGACTTCAGAACAATTCTATACGGTACATTTTTGATTTAGGAAAGTTTTAGCAGATTACTCCATATCGTAACAACTTGCAGATGATGACTTTCCAGAGTCGTAGATCATTTTGTATGCTTACTATGTTGTACCCTCACTACTGCTTATTTGTCCGATGCCTTTCACTTTTTTAAAATCACATGACTTGCTCACTCAATCAATGTCGGACTCTACACTCATGTTTCCAGTCCATAGTACTGGAATCTACCACAAATCTTGCCTTAATCTGGCCTGAGCAGTCGTCATTATCCACTGATCGCAATCGAAGCAACGCCATCACGGCCACCTCCCTGATAAAAACATGCACGTTCAGCATAGTTTCCATCGTGGGTGTCGAACTCATGGCGCCCGTAATTAACAGGCTGGCCAGCCGTTGCAACAATTTAGCCTTATATGCATGTTTCAGTGCTGAGCACCAAACTATGGCTCCATGAGCTACCATGGGTCTTATCACAGAAGTGTAGATCCACATTGTAACCTTCGGATTTAATACCCATGTGGGACTATATGCCCTTTGACATTGGGTGAGTACAATCGTTGCTTTTTTGGTTTTGCAACTAATGTGTGATTTCCAAGTCAGTCTCTGAAGCAAAGGTTAATGGACTGTTGCAGAAATGGGATGGTGTATGGTATATGGTATTGTATAACATTGACTTAGTGTTTCGTTCTTGTCAGGAATACCAAATTTTATCGCTGTACCAATTTCGTTGCAGTTTGGTACAGCGATAAAATGGGCCAAAATAAGATTTATATATTTTTTTATACTTGCTAATAAGGTCCACTTTGGCAGCATTTAGTACCTTTATAGTACGTTTAAAAATATTAATTACGTTTTTGATCATCCCCTATAAAGTTTCAGTAAAATAGATAACCCCTTTTTGTAAGAATAATGTGAAAAAACTATTACACAGTTGAGCAATATTTTGAAGAAGATCGTAAATGACTTGCAAATTAAGATTTATGCAGTAAAATAAGAACCATATGACATTTACGGATTGTTGATTTTCGCGCAATTTAATATGTTGGCTTCTTTATATGTTAAATAGAACTTTTGAAAGGACTTATAAGGATTAAAATTGAATTTTTAAGAATAATCTTTTTTATTGTGAAAAAGATATACACTTTTTTCAATGTTTTACATAATTAATAAGAAAATACCTTATAAAATTATTAACCTACAAGAAAAACAAAAACAATGTTTTTAATTCTTATTCCATTGTTTCTTTTAGATTGATTTTGAAACATTATTACAGCTTAAGATAAAATAATAAATCAGAAAACAAGATTATTCATCCAAATCCTTTTTTTTATCTTTCTTTTTCTTCTTCTTTTTCTCTTTTTCAACCTAAAACCAGAATGAAAAGCAAAATCATGGGGATAATAATTATTTAAGAATCTTACCGGTTCTTCACTGGAAGCAGGTGTTTCTTCAGCAACTACTTCACTCACTTCTTCAACCGTCTTCCTTTTCTTTTTCTTTTTTTCTTTTGGTGTAGTTTCAACTTCACCACTTTCATTTTCCGTCGCACTCACCTTCCGTTTTTTACTACCCTCTTCTTCATCATCTACAATTTCTTGTTTGGGTACTTTTGTTTCTTTTTGTTCAGGTACAGCCCAATTAACATATCCACTTAACCATTCTTTTGGGGTATTCTCATTTGGTTTGCCATATTTATCCAATTGACCTTTAGCTATTAACATTTTCTTTTGTTTAGCTTTTGGTCCAAGACCCCATTTTCTTGGATATGTATCCCGTTCCATTATTACCCTTTTTATTTTCGCCACAATTCCATGATCACAACTGGCAATTGTGGCTGTGGTCATTAATGCTACAGCTAAAGCGACAGCTTCACCTTTTGTCGTTACAATAACAATTTCTTGGTTCAATTCGATATTATCGTCATACCGTAAAATACCCGGTAACAGGATTTTAGCACCATAGCAAACTGCATTAACAGAACTATCTTTCATAATAATTCTTTTGTGATTTATAAGTAACCCTTCTAAAGGTTTAATAACACGTCTTAAATATGATTCATCTTTATGATTATCATATAACCATTGAGCATCTAATATATCATGCATTGTTGCCATGTTGTCTAATTCTGTTTGAATACCAGAACGAACACGACGTAATTCAACCATTTGACCACCAACACCAAGTATCATACCCAAATGAACACACATTGTTCTGATATAAGATCCAGCTTCACAACTTACCCAAAATACAGCTAAACATCAATTTTAAAGTTAATGAACATATTTAATTTTATAAAATAATATAGATATGGATCTTACCCATATTTCTCGTTTCATCAAATTCAAACAACTTGCTGTCGTAAACTGTACGCACTCTGAGTTGTCGTTTTACAGCGGATATTAATGGGGGTCGTTGGAATAAAGCGCCGCGAAGTCTTTCGAGTGCTTGAACTACTTTTGGAACACCGCCATCGATTGCTGAGAAAAGTTTTAAGACAGAAACGTATTCTTTTCCTGCCGATTGTTGGGATTTTACGAGACGTGTTGCTCTGTCGATACATACTATTAAACAACCTGTTGAAAATCAATAAATTAAACTTTATTTTCTTTAATTAATTAAAAAATACTTCTTCTGTTGATGTATACGATTAAATGCTGTAATATTACAGCTGATAAAAGATGTGATATAATCGCCTTTAACAAAATTAATCAACCAATGCATGAGAGAAAATACTTTTCCAATTGCTTTAAAATTAGCATTGGTAACTCCCGTCTTTAAGAAAGGCGATTCTCTTATAATGGAAAATTAATATACTCTCCACAGAGATATACACAGATACAGAACCCACAATAGTCATAAGCTAAAACCTAAATTTTGCAAACTCTCTAAGTCACAGAAAGGTGTAGATTTTACCGCGCTCAAGTTTTACAATAAATTACCTTTAACGGTTACGCTTTTACCTGTGATCAAGTTTGCAACATTGATAAAGCAATTTCTGCTGTTGAGAGGTTTCAATTCTTACTCGGGGTTCCTTAAATATGAATTTTTTGAAAGGGATTTTGTGGCATTGGCGTTGGTCGTAACAACATCAAATCATAGAATGTGCTTTAGATTTGACGAATAGAATTTATAAAGTTGTATCTCAAGAACGAATTGAGATATAAAGATGAAACAAAGAACATTTTAAAGCTAATTTTATGAGTATTCAATGTGCCATAAATAATTTCATATTTCCCAGAAACATGGTTGTTATAATTTTTTAAACCCAACTCTGCATGTTTGATTATTGTAGATTTGACAAATAGAATTTATAAAGTTGTATCTCAAGAACGAATTGAGATATAAAGATGAAACAAAGAACATTTT